GCCAACTACTCCTGGGTGCCACCCGATACGTTCATTAACTGCTCCAGGTGGCGGCCCTCTTTGACTGTATAATTGTGCAGGTTAGGTTAGGTTAAGTTAGGTTCGGTTAAGTTAGTCAGGTTAGGTTAGGATGACACGTAAACAAGGAGGGTTTAGCGCAATTACGAAACTCTTTGGCGCAATTAAGGAACTCTTTGGCGCAATTAAGGAATTCTTTGGCGAAATTAATGCACGACCGTCTCATTTGTCGAGTGGTTGTAAGGGGGTGAGGGGGGGGGTTAAAAGTTGGTTGGAGCATTAAAATGGAGGAGGGTTAATAATTGTATTCATCTATACCTCCCACAATGTCTAAATACACAGACAAAACCATCAACCCCAATGTTATGCGAACTTTTCTATATAGAGTGTTATCAAGTTCACCAGACGCTAAGTTATCAATTTTTTATCTCAATTACGAGGAATTATAGCTGTTCCGCCGCTAAATTTTGCAACCAAAGCACAACTTTTATCATTGGACGATTGATTTGGACTGTAAGTGATCCGGGGTGTACGATATCTTACTCCGTGTTTCTCGCTTTTAAACAACAAACAGTCTTTTGTACAGTGGCTTATCCCGATGGGGGGGGGCTGGTTAGGGGTTTGAAGTTTGAAGCCCCCTCCTTGACCTAAAAACGCAATTTTTTACATAAGCAATTTGTTACTAGTTTCTACAATTAAACAATTGGTCTGATATGTCTCTAAATAGCCTAAAAATGCAAGTTTACAGGTTTTAATTTTCAAACACTTTCCGGGAGAGGGCCCCCGTACCACGCCTTAGGGTCATCCTAGTTACGCCTATGCATTTGTATGCTGCAAATGACATTTTATGTCCAGATATGGATTTTTGAATTGGTAAACGTGACTTCACCATATTTTTCGATAAGACGGGATTATCTGTATAGTTGTACTCAAACTGATGATAAAAATTTGATGGTCCATTGATCTTATGTAGCCTATTTCCTCGTTTTATGTGTTGGTTGAATCACAGCCACGTTGAATTCATTTACCCCGTCAAAATACACCACTTTTACCATTGAAATTGGATACAATAAGTCAATTGTACCTATGTCTATTTTATCGTTGTAGATTATTGATTGTGGAGAAATAAAGATATATATTTTTTTCTATTTTGATTAAAATAGGCAAATTTATTTATTTTATCCTAATCTATTAATATTTTACAAAAAACACTTTACTACCCTCCCTGTAGCAGCAAGCCTAGGTACTTGTTAAGCCTAATGTTATTCAAACAGATTTAATTGAAAATCCAATCAGGAAAATGTAAATTTGCTTAGACTGCAGGTTTGCTGCGGTGGGGTATTTTAGGAACATGTTTTAATTTGATTCGTCTTGTGGTGGCCAATGGAACAGTAGTGTCGGTCCCACAGCACAACTGAGGTCGTACCAATGTCAATGCTCCAGTTCCTGCTGCCTCGACCAACACACGCACCTGGGCGCGGAGATGACGAAATTACTCAAGTTGAGAAATTAAACCTTGAGATGTCATTACCAACGTACCATAGATTAAAAATGCTCACACATAGATTTGTCAATATGGATCTTGATGAAGGCAAATTTAAGTTACGAGGGGATATGTGCGCAAACGCATTCGAATAGGGTCATTCCGAGAAAACGATGCTCTTTTACTTGTCGAGGATTACATTATTGTTTAAGACATTTATTCAGTGAATACAAATATCACAAGAAACTTAAGTTTATTGTTTTTAGATCTACATCCTAAAGAGTGGTTTACCTATCTCAAATCAGGCTACAATAAAAAAGTAGCCCATTTATAATAGAATATTTCATCACTAGGGCCTCGATCAATTACCGACCTCGGATTTACCTCATAAAATTTTAGCTCGGGTCGAAAATACACTTTTTGACCGTGTGATGAAGTATATTTTTCGTCATATTGCACCATTACTTGAACAAACTATGTTGTAAAACTCAAAACTAAAATAGTTTTCATTTAAAGATCAATCTCTAAAAATTACTTTTAACTTTTTAATTTGATTTGGTAATGGAAACTAGCAGCTGTTTGGTAGTGATTCAATCGTTTCGTCTACTACGGTTGTGTTAGTGTACATTACCACTATAGATTTGTCGAACTATTTACAGTAACGCAACAATTAACGACAATCGAAAAGTCTATACATACTTTCGATACATGTAATTGTTTACAATCGAAATATACAACTGAGTTGACAACAGCTGATTTTTTTCTCCCAAGGGGATAAAACGCGTTTTACTCCCTAGAGTAGGTAGGGCCTTGTTTAGACCCACAACGTATGCATTTAAAACGACTGTTTTTGCTGCAGTATGACGAAAAATCCATTTTCATTACCAATCCATTTTCATTCTAATTGTCTTTTGTTTACAATCTGACCTGTTGAACAACAATTAATTCTCATTTAAAACTGTTATAAAGACAGTTATAAATAAGCAACACTGGACCTTTAAAAAACACTCTTCGGGAAAAAAACAGAGGCTATAGGGAGCGAAGACCTTAAGGTAATTCCTTTTTAACTACCATTGGTCAGTCCGCTGGATAATAAGCTTTAAAATAACACCTTGATTGTAATCAATCTGTTATGTATAACACCCGGGTGGAAATGGGATGTGACAGAGAACCCCTTTATTGTAGGTATTAATTATACAGATAGATAGATGATATATATATATAGATATAGATAGATGGACGGATGGATATATGGATGGATGTATGGATGGATAGATGGATGTTTAGATAGATATATTTTAGATAGATAGATAGATGGATGGAGATGGATAGATAGATAGATGGTAGATGTATGGATGGAATAGAAGATAGATTTTTATCTTTGGTCTAACACGTGTTAGTTGACAAATTATTCACACATCTTACATTTCACCAACTTATTGACACTATTGAAAACCAATCTAATAATAAACTTTTTGTTTCTGATATGACAGCTAAAACCTTATTCCTCAAAAATATATATTTTTCACCACACTACAATGTTATGGCCATTTTACAAACGTTTATTAGAGGCCGAAAACGACGTATTGCCACTATTGCTGCACATGCTAGCTGTCGTCGTTATTTGGGGACCGAGCAGGTTTTTACATCCCTAGGACCGAAAATCAGCTGTCCGCTTACAATACTCCGCTGTACTTTCTTAATAGTATATTTCATACCTAGGGCCGAAAATGAGGTTTTGCTGGCTCGACATAGTTTTTAAGTTCGAGACGAAGTCGAGAACTTGACACGATCGAGAGCTGCAAAACCATTTCGGTCCGTGGTACGAACGCTATTTTTCACCACATACAGTACCCTATAAACACTATTCACTACAATAATAATGCACACTGATAGTCAACACAACTACAACTTTAAAATTATGCAAAGAAATAATTTGAGGAATGATAAAAAAAATAGTTGCTAGGCAGCGGTGACAATAAAACAATTCTATTGAAATGCTATGGATACTGATTGAGTATTTAATATGCATTCATGTTTCAAGAAAGTAAGCGGGCAGCTGATTTTGCAGCCCTAGGGATGTAAAAACCTGCTCGGTCCCCAAATGACGATGACAGCTGGGATGGCCAGCAAAACGTAGCTTACAGCATTCTTACAGCCACCAATTAACGTATGTAAAACAGCTAAAGACATCATTGTGTGGTGAAAAATATGTTTCAGCAACATTTATAAAAAATATGACGACATTGTAGCTACGTGTAAAAAATTCGAAAGTTTGTTTACGTTTATTCTTTGCTATTTACACTTCTCTTATATATTCTTTTGTTTATTATAGACGGAATTTTTATTTGTCTCTCCAACACAACAATAAAAATTCCAAAATATTACTCGATACTCGGTGAAATGTAAGAACTCCTACTCACTATTGACAATTCTCATAACGAGAAAATGCGAATGGAACACGTGACAGTAAGTTGTCAAAGGTTGTTGACCTTTTCTTAATCAACACTCATAAAGGACTTTCTATCGTCTATTATTGTACAGTAATAGCATTTGTTAAGCTAATTGGATTCCGATATATCAGCCAGTGTCCGTCTGCTTGCATTGCAACTTTATTAGTATAGCTAAAGCTAACATAATTATCAATGGGCTCCAAATAGTTTTGTCAATACTGTATTTAAAAAAAGGTCAAGACGTGTTGCAGCTAAGAGACGATTCAATTGTAATTTGATGGCTGATTATCTTTCGATAACAAGTGCCTTCTCGAACCTCAAAAAGAGAATGAATGGACAAGAATGTGGCCCGACCCCACAAAAACTATTGTAGGAGGTGTTAGAACGAAGGAATGAATAGCGCTGGGATGAAAGGTTCGGCTTCAGGGCAGGGGCAGGGGGCGAGTATGGTGTGATGAGGGGGCGGGGCGGGGGGGGAGAGAGGTATGCGCCAGTGGAAGGGAGTAGGGAGAGCTCGGCGTCACACTGTCTGGCACGGCGGCCTGCTATGGCTGCCGCGACGTTGCCACATTTCAAGGGCGATTCAAATACATTTTAGACACGTAATATTACGATTTTTTATCGACTTATTGTCATACGTAAGTGAGTTAAAGTTAATGTACAACTTGGTTAAGCGTTGTCAAATGTGAATTTTGATTTCACAAAATTTGTGAAATTCCTTTTAAATAATTGGCAAGTGTAACGTGGCAACAACGCTAAAACTTGTTTTTGTCTCACGCTCCCCACTCTGCTCACTGCTGGTATTATTTATCCATTATTTTTAAATATTTGATAACCATATGTATTTTGGAAATTTTATCGCCATAATTATGTGTTATAAGGACTCTGTAGTCTCGGTTTAAATTATATGAGTTGCGTTTGCAACGTGCTGGATTTAGATAGAAGCGCGGTTTGAGATTTCGTATTTTCTAGTGTGATTCACACGTGTGAGGTGGACTGCCGCCGCCTTGTCTGGCCGAGTCGCGAGTGGAGGGGGGCGAGGGGAATGTAGGATAGCCCGGAGTGAGTGAGATAGAGAATCGGAATTCTCAGAGCTGCTGCTAGTGCAAAGTGTCGCTGGTTCGTGTGTTAAAATTGTGCTCTTATGGTGGTGTCAAACGGTGATACGATGGCTCACGGGATAAAAGAAGAATGGGAAGAAGGGACTGTGCCTCTGACGACGGAAAAGCACGCGAAAATTGACGAGAAGAAGGGAAAATCCGACGGCAAAGGTATGAGTTCGAGGCGGATTTTCTCACCTCAGTTCAAGTTATTAGTGTTAAATTCTTATAGAACAGATTCCGATTGTAAGGGAAATCAGAGAGCTACTGCTCGTAAATACGGAATTCATAGGAGACAGATTCAAAAGTGGTTACAGATGGAATCTAATTTAAGACTAACAGTTCAAGCTACATCAGAAAACAGAGCTAACAAAAGCGAGGACGAAGTGGCCTTGAACCTTAGCTCGCCCAGACAGCGAGGCGTCGTCGACGACGAGAGCTGCGCTGCGGGTTGCCTAGAGACTCCTGTCTCCGTCGGCCAGCCTTCTCCAGCAACACGACCATCCTCTGCTTCTACATCGGACACCGAGGAGATCAACGTGGATGGCGACTCCAGCTCCGAGGATGAAGTCAGCAGTACAGATTCTTATGACAGAAGTGATTCTGACAGAGCTTTGGACCTTACCTGCGCCGCCTTGAGCAAACGTAGGTTCTACTCGACCGACTTCAAGTTGCAAGTGTTGGACGCTTTCTATTACGATAAAATCTGCCACGGAAATCAAAGAGCAGTAGCGAGAAAATTCGGAATCCACAGAAGACAAGTGCAAAAATGGTTGAAGCTCGAAAACAGTTTACGCAGTGAGGCTAGTGAGGACTGCCTGGACTTGTCGTGTAAGAAACGTAAAGCCGAGGAGGAAGTGTGTGAAGTTCGAGCCAAGAGGTTTTCACCGGGTTGCTGCACAGCTCTTTGCTGCGACGATAGAGTCGAAGTGACCAGCACTTGCCAAGAGTCTGCGCTTTGCCTGGTCAAACCGAGGACACCACAAGAGGTATCAAGCACTATGGATTTGTACGCTTACCAAACCTCCCCTCCTGTCTGTTACCTAAGTCCTACTGAATTACCAACCTATGACCCACACTACTTGCCCTGTTGGAGTACACCTTTCTACCCTTCCTACCCCATCGACAATGTTCCTAAATGGTTTAGCCATGATTATAGTGATAGTTCGATCAAAGTTTATGGGATGTATAGGTGAAACCTAACAATTTATCCATGATTTCACAAGTGCCTAATCTTTTTGAGTACCGTAGTGTGATTAACTATTAAAATACTTATTTAATAAGTGATAACTTATGTTGTTAGCATTACCGTACTGGACTGTAAACGAATGAAAGCATAAAACACTTAATAGGTTCCTGTAAGCCTAATATAAAAACACATAAATTATAGGCCTAGGCCTAGCAAAAAGAATTAGCATAAAAACATATTATGTTTTCAGCCCTTTGTTAAGCCAATTTTAAAATACATACCAGTATATTCTATTTTAATTAAAATAAGTTAGCCTACATACATTCTATTTTAATTAAAATACATACATTCTATTTTAATTAAAATACATACATTCTATTTAAATTAAAATATATAGCCTACATTCTATTTCCGGGTTTTGAGATTTTTGAAATTCACTGATTTTTTATTGAAAATAGCTTATGTACACTTTGAGCGCTAAAGATTGATTTAAAATTAAATTACATTACATTCAGATCATCCTGCAAAAATACAGTTGGTTCTTATTTTTTGGTATCAAGACAATGAATTAAGTTAACTTAATCCAACTTAGATTGTTGGAATCTTTTACTAACAATCCGTTCAAGATTTTGTCAAAACTGAAAAAATTCATAAACTTTATCAACATGAAAAATACGTAAAAAATACCACGCCATATTTTTAAATTTTTGATTGACAAAACTTTTGGAAAAGTATATGTTTGCAATATAGGCTACTTGTATGCAATAATTTTTGTACTTTTTCATATCTTGGTGTTTTTGAAAACTACAATTGGCCTTTTTGGGCAAGTTGCAAATGCATAGTATACTAATGGTTTGTTCAAACTATTAAAATACAGTAATTAGGGACTTTTTAGAATCTTAATCTTTTATATAGGTATAAAAGAGAGATAAACATAGCAACTCTAGGTAGGCCTACATACAAAATTTACATAATTTTTTCTAGGCCTACCTACCTTAACTTAAAAATTTTTATATTTTATTTAATTGAATAATTTTAAAAATCTAACTAGGGTATCTACACATTGTTCATATCTAGTAATTTATTAAAAAAATTTAAAACTTTGTAATTTTTATTTTTGAATATAAATGTTATATGTCCTTTGGCAACAATAATTGTTGTAAATCTTAATCATACAAGATTGCAGAGTGTAAAATATGAAGAATTTAATATTGAAGCTCTATTGTTTTTAATTTACAGTCTGTTCTTAACAGTAGCATTTTATAGATTAGTGTGTTAAATAAGTAGGCCTAAGGTAAAATTTTCAATTTCAAAAGTGCCTTTCTCTGTGAAACATGCTCAATTTTAATGTGCCAACTAATAGAGTTGAGCAATAAGCTCTCAGTATTTGTTAAGAGCCATAAATTAAAAAAAATATTGTGTAGTTAAAAATTAAAAAATAAAACGCACACTACTAAAAAACATCAAATTTATTTTACTATGTTTGTTGGCAATGAAAGTTCTAATAGACTATTTAAAGATTTATCTTTGATATAACATCACAAAATAGGTTAATATAGAATATTTTGTAATTTGATTTATTCAGGAATCGATTCCTCAAAAATAAAACATTTCAGATTCAAGGATAAATATTTAAGGATAAGGTGATCAATAATAAGTTTTGGCAAACCAACCTATATTGTTGCCGACTAAAATGTGCCTTTTATCGCTAAAAATCTACCAAGTTAAGTACGTTTTATAGGCCTAGATCTTGTACTTTCTTTTATAAGTTTCAGAAAACTAGATGTTAAACATATTTTGTGCCAAATAAATATGGGATTTATATATTCAGTAAGAGTTTCTTGGCTGGATGTTAGATAGTCCTAGCCTATAATTTTCTTTTAATAAGAGAAGTTTATAGAAGTTTTAAAGAAGAAACAATAAAATGACAATATTTATAACTTATTTGTAATTATATTTATAGACGTTTCAGTGATTTTAGTACCAAACAAATATGTTTGCAGCCAATGTAAAATTGTTCTTTCAAATATTTGTAATTAGTCTACCTAAAACTCTTTTGAAATAACATGATGTTTATGAGAGTTTATTTTTATAATAATTGTAAATACTGTAAATAAAATAGCAATATTTTATAAGTTTGTAAAGACAGGGTATATTACATGTTAAGTTTGTAAATGTAAAATATTTTGCTTTATCTAACTTAATATATTTTATATAAACATACATAATGGAGTTTTAATCTACATACCCCTGTTTGAGAGTCTTAGTTAAAAATTGGTTCAGAAAACCAATTTTATTTTTTAGATGTTTTATCTGGTGCTTTTAAATCTAATAATTAAATCTTTACTTACCATCACCTTTTACTATATTATTATATTCATGAATAATTATTAGTCAGATACCACAATAAATGACAAAGAACTTACTGACAGAAAAAAATAGGCTTTATCAATAGTTTACTTTAGTGATAGCCTTTTGTTTTGTTGTTCTTTATAAAATCCACAGAACCAAGACTTATTATCTTTATCAAATCTTTGGTTTGAAGTTAGTCACCTAGTTAACTACAGTGTTAGCAAAACAGGAGTGCCGATGGAGACCTGTGGGGTGACCTGGTCTCCATCGGCACTCCCATTTTGCTATTACTATAGTAACACAATATAATTTGTTCATTAATGATCCCATATAATAGTTTTTTTGTAACTGCAAGTACACACTTTTACCTATTCCAAACATGAAAATTAAGGTACACTGGTACACTGTATTTTAAAAGTGCAACATTTGCGGTGTAAGAATTGGACAATTGCAGCTCAGAATCTCAAACCTCACATTTACCACCAATGATGACACAGTTGGATGTATTTTACGCCAAGTAGTGTGATTTAACATCATTTTGAGATAGCCTACCATATCCGAATATGGTTAGTTAGGACTGGTAATCAGTAGGCAACTTCAAATTTGGTAGTGTGTACTTATATTACTACTTTTTCATTGTAACTTCTTTTGTAAATATTTTTAAAAAACTGATAATTAATTCAGTTCAATAAAGATGATGCTTTAAGATGAGCTGTTGGCAGGAAAGAGTGGTCTTCTGAGATACCTACTTTACTTACAGTTGGCAGTTGAATATAGACTACCACGACTGCAGCTAGGTTAAATAAGCAAAAGGGTCAGATAAAAACAAAGAAAAAAATTAAAAACCCACTAATGTATTCTCCATTTGCAAACCTGTACTTAAAAACCACCAACTATCTCCGTTTTTTTAAGATATCACCATGAATAATATAAAAAAATACAGCCAAAATGAAAACTATGCTACATTGAAAAAAAGTTAAATATAAAAGATAATTTATTATACAAAATTAAATCCTTCTTGCTCCATCAAGCAAGCTGCTGAACACAAAGGATAGCAAAAAAAAAACAATTGAGGCTAAACCGGAAAAAAAAAATACTTCTCTCAGTTAAGTGACTAAACTTGAGGGGGAGGAGCAGGGAAGTTTGCAGGTTTGAGGAACTGGCAAACTGTAAGATATGCAGCACACATAACAAATTTACAGAGTACAATGAAGCTCAGATGCCTAAAGCCTTAAGGGTCTCTTCTACCTCAGCTTGGATTTCTCAGTACGATGTTGCTTAACGCCAATGTTCCTATACCATTGCACTTAACAACGCCATGAAGAGTGCTTGCAAGCCTTTTGAATCTGGGTGATTACATCGTTATCCTTAAACCTTTTAAACTGCAGATTCTTGTTTTTAAGAATCTGTTGCACTTCCCCCGTTGTTAATTTTTTTCTCTGAAAATTATTTGTATGCCTTAAAAAAACTTATGATAAAAATGAGTACCGTACCTATTTTAACATTTTTACTAACTTTTCAGCCAAACATTTTTTTAAATATCAAAATTTTAAAAAAGCGCAGGACCTACGATGATATTTAACAAAAATATGACACCAAGATCTTTTAAATCGGTTCACAATTGGTGCTACAACCCCTTGCATTTGTGCATGCCAGAGAGGTAGAGCGCAGCCTTAAGCTTAATTTCCAATCACAGACTTGGTAGCAAAAGAAGTTGTCTCCATATACCTGCATTACTGCTCAGTCATACTACATAGAAATAGCATGTTATTTCTTGGTCCGGGATCGTCTGCAGGAATGGCTGGACAACACAATAAGACGAGTAATTGAGAAGTGAGACTACTATATTATTTTTGCAGATCGATCTGAGGTAAAGTATTAATGTTCTTTACTCTCATCATAGTTACATTTCTATCTAGTTAAATGACAGTTATTTTTTTCTGAGCCAAAATCTAGTGGGCTCAGTTTGTTTGAATTTCAAATGCTAACAAAATTATTTTTTGAATTTAATTTTAAACTAAAAACCTTTTTGATTTATTTCTTGGAAACACTTCTAAATAAGCCAGAAAATGATGACAATAGAGGTTCTTGAGGACAAAAACTAGGCTGAACTGGTGTGTAACTAACTATAAAATATGCACCTTAGAAACTAACAGTAAAATGAGAAAGAAAATGCCAAATATTTACATACAAGGTTTATAAATATACTAGTGCACCTGTTGTTCTAATTCAAGCAATTGCAAATTATTACAGGTGTTATTTTAAAACGAATAACAGTAATAATTTCCAATTACTTAAAAGAGTCAACTCAAAGATAATCACTCCATTCCAGTTATCGAAACTGAAAACAAACTCACTCTGAAAACGAACGCTCTTGTGTGTATCATGTGTTTACTATGACCAGCTGTAATTAATACAAATTATTCGTCTGTTAAAGAAAACAAACTATTTTCATCATAAGAAATACATTAGGATTTTGATGGCCTGTGGGGCAAAGCCCGAGGACTATGACAGGAATTGGTGAAAGGGGGTGTCTACACAAAAAATACTCAATTTTGACAGATTGTTTGTAAAAATCCGTCCATTATTAATGGAGGAGTAGTGTTTTGTAGAAAACGCCTTCACATATTATTAAGGATTTATACATACAAAAATATTTTATAGAAAAATCATACCCATCTAGTGCTCTGAATAGAAATACAATTCGTTGTGCAACAGTCTATAAATTTAAACTAAACGATTATGATTACTATTTTAATTAAAAATATATTGTAGGCTGCTCATGAAATATAGAGGGTGTGGTTAAGCTCCCTCATTGGCTGCATGAGAATGTAAATACTGACACTTTATTTTTAAAGGTAATATATACCAAGAGTATAGTCCAATGAAACCCATTTGATAGTTTAGGTGACATGTTTTTCGAAATTATTGCTGACATTTTCACATTAGTGAAAAAATTTCCTTGTGTTCCAGTAAAAACGTTCACAGAGTATTAAACTTTTGGTTAATACAATAGATTAAGAGTTACTCGGAGATAGTAGTGTTTGATTATTTGACGGCAACCTTCATTCCTAATGACTCAGTCACAGCGAAAGGTGTTTACTGTTAAAAGCTTTTAGTTTTTATCAGTGAGCTGAAAAGCCTTCGCCAACAAGGCCAATTAAATAAAATCAGCCACATGAAATTAGACGCCTTAGTTTTAATAAGAGATGCACGTAGAAAAGTTATGAAAGGATAAAAATGTAGCTAGTTGACAAAACTTTTTAAACCAACAATTAAAAAGATAATAATTAAAGTTAATCAGCTAAATTAAATATATATATATTATAAACATATACAACAGTTTGAACGAACTGTGTTTTTGGCCTCTGGGGACATCATAATGAAAAGAAAAAAAATAGTCCCGGGCCTAGGTCTTACCGTGCCACCAACGGTAATAGCTATACTTCCCTATAGGGAAATTCGCTAATATATGAACACATTTTAGATGATTCAATTAATAAAACATTTTAATACAACTTAATAAAAAATTAAATCCACATAGTTTTACATTTTAACTTCCAAGTCGATTGGGTTGTCGTATGACGGGATTGGAGGAGCATTTGAATGACTGATTATACCCTACTTTCCATACTAGCAGAATAAGTGAATTTCCACTTTCATGATTGGATTTTCACTAACATAGTTTTTTTAACATTACAGTGTTATAGCATTAGGTTTGAATAGAATTAGGGTGAATGAGTACCTAATTAAAGTTTGCTGCTAAGAAGATGTAATAAAATGTGTTTTTAATCAATTTTTTATAGCTGTGTTTGAAATAAAATGATTTGTAAAATTTGATCAAAATAAATCCATAAACTACCAAACTACGACAGTTTACTTTTTCTCCATAAGATAATTAAAAGTGTACAGTTTTTTTTATCTTCTCCGTAATCATTAGACGTAAAATAATGCTTAAAAATAATTGTACTAAATTATTTGTTTTTTTACTCTACAAAATGGTAGTTGAGATTATTTTATACAGTTATCCATGAATGAAAGAAGATATTAAAAGAAATAAAAAAGAAAGTGGTAAAATGTTTCATAGCCAAGCCTTAGAAATTATCTGTATACAGTACTGAGAGGAATTATGACAAAAAATCGATTCTTGCTAGAACGCGGTTGCTAGTATGCTGTTCTTAGTCAGGCTAATAGCTCGTTTGGGTGGCACTATTTACTTCCCCGTCCGAACTTGCTTCCTCAATCCTCATTTCCAGGCTTCACCAAGAAACGTGCGGCCTTTAGGGTGATGTTTAGAACTGTGCTCAGTAGCAATTATAGAAGTTTTCATTCTGACAGGGCTGGTTTAAGGGGTTTAAGCAAAGTATGTGGCCGTGTAGGGCGCCTAAGCGCTCTCCAATGTTCAGTATTTGGAAGGAGACAAGAGGCATTGAATATATAAATGTTATTTATATCGCCAAATAAGACGGTAGGAGTAAGGAGTTAGGGAAAATCGTATATCGTACGGTGCGAGACCTTTTTACGCTTACTCCCACTACCCTACTCTATTTATTATTGTTCCCTAATAACAATAACCACCATAGTAACAATTAGACTCGTCCTTCGGCACCCCTCCGTCACCTACTTGGACTCGTCCGACAGATGTTTACACATTTTGAACGTTCCTTACCAACATCCTTACCAACACCAGTGACTTAAGGTACCGTACATGCCACCCTAGGCCAAATTAATCTGAGCGGCCCCACTATCGCGGCAAAATCATGAACATCTCCCACAATCGTGGGTACATCATCCTCACCACCCGAGATCGCCATGAAATTGTTAATATCCCCCGTGATTTCAAAACATTACCATTGCCACCTACGATTGCTGTGAAATCGTGAAAACTCTCGCAATTACGGGGACATCTTCATAGCTATCCGCGGTCGCTGCGAGATTGTGAATGTCTCCCGCAATTAGTGATGCGCGATTGCGAGATGTTTGAACAATCGAAATGTTCCTTCTCAAGATGTTCCGCTTATCGATTGTTTCGATTGCTTAGCGAGAGGTTTGTACAATCGAGATGTTTCTGTCGATTGTTGCATTCGTTAGGCCTAAACATCTGTTCGCATCTGTCTATACATTTCATGAGAGTTGTTACGAGGATGTTAGTTCTTTTTCTAGATTCTTACAGAATAGTAGTCTATTATGTACAACATATATACTACTGACATATGAATAAGCACTTATGTCACTCCGTCATGGCATCAGATAGAAAATTATTTTAAAGTAATGGGTAATGGTAAATAATACTGTTAACATTTACAAAACATTTATGAGAACCTTCTGTCTCGTTATAAACATTTTGATTTAAATACAAACATTTTGTTTGTAAAATATCTTGTCTTGTTAATAGTTTTTATTGAGTGGTATTAAGTCACTATTAAGATAAAGTAAGTAATATAAACCTTCCTTGGTTTTGAAGTAAGATATACCTCTTATTGGGGTCAATCCCTGGCAGATACTATAGAAATTAGATGATAATAAATGACGATGCCGCACATTTAACAAAACAATCACCATGAACATCACGTTAAAAAGACTTTCGGTAAGGACTTCTAGCCTCTCGGTTTTCTAGACGAATGCAAGTACGAGAGAAGCCGTGCTGAAACAAAACAATTGTCACGAACATCTCGTTAAAACCTCTCGGTAAGGACCTCTCGCCTTTCGGTTCGGTTCTCTAGACAAATGCGAGACGAGATACGAGAGAAGACAAGCCGTGCTGAAACGAAACAATCGTCACGAACATCTCGATAAAACCTCTCGGTAAGAGCCTCTCGCTAAGCAAAATACAATCGAAACGTCTCGAGAGGTTCAAACAATCAAAACGTTTTGATTGTAACATCTCGCAATCGGGCATCACTACACGCAATCACGGGATATCTTAATTTGTTCCGCAATCGTGCAAATAATTAATTTTTTAAAATTAAACTTTAATTTTTTTACTAAAAATTGTTTTAACACAAAAAGCTGCAGCCCCCTTTGACCAAAATCCAGCACTGACTACTATATTATTATGTTCTATATAAGGGTGGGGGAGGGGGGGCCAGAATATTGTTCGATTAAAAAATAAAAATGTCTAGAACCGGCCCTGCATTCTGAATTATTGACATCCTTGGTGGCTGGACTATACCTGTCATCATCTGGCTTTGAAAGCTGTCACATAAAATTGTGTTATCTTTGGTAATGTGCTTATATTGGAAAAGCTGAAACATTGAAAATTATATCAGTCCATATGAAGACTTTATTTTGATGAATCGTACTGGAAAATATGTAATGAACAGCAGTTAAGTTGAAAATAAGCATAATAATACCCATGTTCTTTGAAAATTCATAATAAATTGATATTGCAAAGTGGGTAATAAACCTGTTATGCTTATCATTATGTTTGCCATTATTTTAAAATTGTTAAGGACAAGTGTTCAAAGTTTTATCTTCAGCAAAAGGTAAATTAAGGTTAAACACTTTAAAAAAAACATCACACAACAACAAACAAAACAATTACTGTCCTCTCTTTACCATACAAACTCTGATAATGGCTGGTTTTATGGATATTTTTGACAGGAATATAAAAATAACAATTTAAAAGCATAACACTTTACTTATTTTATACAAAACATTAAACAATATACAATATAAATACACGAAGGAAAAAGTGCGTAGAGAGGATAACAGTACTTGAGTTACGAGTAGCCAACGCAGAGATGCAAAAAGTTGTCCGGATAACTGAGATGTTCGCTCATCCACTGGAGTGGGGTGTCCCATGGTGGCTCTACGCCATGAGTCATCACGTGAACTGAAAACATAAAATATCTCATGAGAAACTCAACACAGATTTGGCACTGTTGTGGCAAGCATTAGTATACTGTCTGCAAAGATAAGTTGTTCACTTAAGAGCTAGAGGTGTCGCCCTGAGGATCTGACGTAGCAGTGGAACTTCTGAGTGCCACACTCTCTTCTGGCCGTTGTGCTGTATTACCTAAAGGTGGGCTGTTGTTTGAGACCCAAGAGGGTAGGAAAATCAAAAAGGTCACTAGTGCAGGGCAGGTGTCGATCCTCGGTCCTGACCATTGGAATGTCTCTTTTTACAACATGCTTCACCTAGACATGTGTCATGATGTTTCTCTCATGAGTTTCGCCGATGATGTAGCTGCTATCATCACCTCGAGGACTCCAGAGTTGGTCCAGATACGCTTGGATCAGGTGATGATCCAGGAAATTTGATGTATGAAAAGCTAAGTAAAAAAACAAATACCCGCATTGATCCCAATAACAGTCGGGAATCTAGACTCAGACAAAGGCAGCAGCGAGGTATTTGGGCGTTGAACTTGATTTTCAGTTCGCTAATGGGAGCATATCCAAACAGCATGCAACAAGGCTTCAAAGGTCACTCAACAAGATGAAGACAAACTTGTAATGGTAATAAATCAAGCAAGAGACGTCTCATATCCGTTGTAAAATTAATCTTTCTGTGACGCACAGAGGTCTGGGCAAGTGCTATGAGGACAAAACGTTACAGCGAGTCCGAACTTGCCATTCAGCCAACACCCACTTTAAGGTTCTACCCAGCTATAAATAAACATCCTGTCTCGTAACAAAATGGTTGATAGTATCTTTAATATTGACAAAAAGTTCTGTACTGTATTACGATAGATTTGGAAAGCATCAATTAATATTACTGTACTTAAGTTATTAAAATAAGAATTTATATTGACTCTTGCCTACAACTATAATTTATTCCACTGAAAATATTTGACTTAACCGTGTTTTGTGTTTTTTGTGACTTTTTTATCAATAGGAAAATAGGAGATAAGTGTAGTTGATTTCATAAATAATGCAAGTACGATTTCAAAATAATGATTGAGTCGGTTAAGACTTGTGTTAAGATACTTGTTGTTAAGATCGTGTCTACTGTACTTCATTTATCATTTTCAGAGCTACATTTAAAATAAAAAGTCATTTGGAACAGGAGAGGCCCAAAAGCAGCTTGTAGCCATGAGTGAAGATCTTCAAAGGATCAGTTATGAAACACATTTATTGGCAAAAAAAATTAGATGTTTACAACAGTGTACTTTTGCGGTCCTACCTCATGTTTTACTGTATTGAAATTCAGCAGGACCGAAGCCCTGTTTCTTACACAAACAACTAATTGGGTTATGGGGTTATAAATATCGTGATGTTTCAGTCCCTAGAGCCAAAACCCCCCAGACTGGGACTTTTAAAGGACCAGGTCCTCTTCAGCCTTTAGTGGATATGCCAGGAATTGAACCCATCCTTCCTGCACCGAAGTCCGGAACACTACCATTAGGCTAGCAACACATCCATGGTTATGGGATTTGTACTGGGGACAAGCGCCTTGAAATTTTTGTTTGATAGAAAAGTTCTGGTAAAGTTCTGACTTATGTAAGCGGTGGGATTCATCTCCAGCAAAACAGGCCCAGGAAACTTGTAAAAATGAAATTAAGTATAAGAAAGGTAACTGATCTGCTAAGTGTTAATAAAGGTAACTTGGCCAGTGTAGGAGGGAGAAATGTGGACGATAAGGAAAAATAGAGAACTGTGATTACTGTACACTGACCCAGATATTGTTGCAATGGTTAAAGGAAGAAGGTTAAGTTCGATAGGGCATGTGCTAGGAAGAGAGAAACGAACAAGATTGTATGAAGTTTGGAGAGCCACACCTGGAGGTAAACGTCCATTGGGAGGCCGAAATTGAGATGGATTAACCAAGTATTGAATGACATCAGGACGATGGGTAAAAATTTCAACTTGGCAGAATACAGAGAAGGGTGGAAGAGGCTGGTACATGAGGCGAAGAATCAACTGAGATTTGTGGAGCAATGGCAGTTAGTAAGTAAGTAAGTAACTAAGTAGTAACTGATCTACTAAGAGGGTTATTGATCTGTTAAAAACCGCTTACAACAAAACCTACTGGGCATTAGAGGTTTATTTCCGTATCAAAATGATACAATTGAACCAGTGCTGTTAACTTACATGAAAACAGCTTTCATTTCAAAGCTAAACAATTTTTGTTTTACTTCAGTGCATACAAGTGATTTACTATAATACCAAAAGTTGAGATTATTTGACAACTAAATTATTACTGTATGTTTTTTTTTGAAGAGAGATCATAAAGAGGGATAGTTCTTCTTGCCTAAATTACTATACCAGCTCTAATTATAAGTCATAACATATTGTTAATTGAACCATTCAACAGATTCAAGTAATAAGCCATGTCTGTGAGAAGTGATAAGTGCTAATGAAAGTATTTTACAATGTCATTGCACTTCTTCACAAAGTAGCAAGGGCTGTCTAATATAGCGTTTAATCCTCTTTTGAAAGAACCTTAAAGAGAGAAGGGATTTTAAGAGTCTTGGAAATTTGTTCAACATATTAAAACCCAGTAACAAAAAAAAAAAATGTTGAGACTTTGATAGCGTACACCAGAAAAAAAACTAGACATCAAGATTAGTGCTGTTTCTAGTTACAGAAGAATTTCTAGAACTTACAGTTTTCATTTTTTTATAGGTATTCATGAGCATTACTGCCACAGAAAGATACGTATTTGTAAAAGTTGGCGAGAGAAAGGATTTAACTCCACTATTTTGGCTTGTGAGAGATTTTTTGCAAGGTTATACAGTAAAGAAGGCTATACGTTAAGTGCTATGTTAATACCTGTTTTTTCTTCTTCTGGGAACAGCTCCTGGACGAGACCTCGTAGTGTCTTCCTGTGGCCTTGCTCAGTCAAAGGCTTGACCAGTCGCTGTACCATGCAATTGTCCTTGCTCAGGTGGTAACACCGGAACGGAATGTATTTAAATGCCTCTTCTCCCGAACTGAGCTCCATCAGCTTTCGGTTCACTGCCCAAAACTGATCGAACTTGTCTGAAAATGTTGATTCAATTAATAATGTAGGCCTAACTGTAATAACAATAGTTAAAAGTATCTATATATTAAAAATTATTGTTTTTTCTTTTCCGAGTCGGTTTGGCTCTTCTACCAGACCGATTTTCACAATTTTGGTCTTAAATTAAAGGTATGCATGCACAGATTTGCCATCAAACATCGGCATTAATTTATCTGACGTATCTTTCGAGTTAATCACAAAAGCAACTTCTTCCCTGTACATTTCTTACGGCCAAATTAAATTTGGTTTTTCCTTTCCGAGTTTGTTTGGCTCTTCTATCCAGCCGATATTAAAAATTGTGGTCTTAAATTGAAGGTATGCACATACCGATTTGCCATCAAGCTTCATCATTTATTTATCTACTGTATTATTCAACCAAAAAAACATGAATTTGTTTATTTTATTATTCTTACTTCAGTTAAATTTGTATTCCACCAGTACTAATCACATTATCCTATATGGTCTAAGAACCTTCAGTAAAATGCCAGCTTTCATTTGATCTATTGATTATTAAAATAGGACTTACCTGAAGCATGCTGCTGAATCACGAATCAACAATGATTATAATTATTTTAGGGTTTATATGCAATTAATGATATGTAACTCTTTGTTTATTTTAGTTATTTTATATGTCTTGGTCTTAAAATTCTCCTAGAATAAAGGCTTAGGCTTTAATATGAGATATTGATCGTTTGAGTCAGTTGAGTTCAAGATACTGTATTACTCAATCAAAAAACACATTTCCCAGTGCGGAGCAGAACAGGGTCCTCTAATAAAATACAGTAATATGTTGTTACCTTTACAACATTGGAGTGACAACATAAGTAGTTTTTATTAAATAGCCCTTTCTTTTATTCCTACTTGTGAAATGTAGCATTACATGTCATTCATTCATCATTAACCCTTTGAGGTCGAATTTTTTCCCCATTTCTCAGTGAGTTTAGTTTTCCATTCGAGCAGTCAAAAAAATGGTGCCTGGCGGCTTATACTGGCCATTTGACCGTAAAGATAAACTTTTTTAATTTTTTCTTTTTCTTTTTTTTTGTGAGTATAGGTTGCCATTTTCGAGCAGTCGGGAAAATGGCAGGCGGCGACCTATACTCGACATTCGACCTCAAAGGCTTAATATTAAATTTCCCTGTAATTTTATATGTTTTCTCCTATAATGTTAGTTATTACTCCATAATTAAAGCAATTAATGGGAAATAACTTTGATTGCCGATAACTTTTTACGAGAAAATCCAATACCAAGAGATCAATAACCTTGGGACTTGATTAACGCATATAATTGGTCGGATGTACTATAGTTCTTAACTGTAAACGTTGGTTTTTGGTACTGGTTCTTTTCCTTAGAACCATTGGTGCTCAGCAAGAATCATTTTGACATACTAACACATCACTGTAATTTACAAATTAGTTATCGTTGGTGTTGCCCCTCATTTATTACAGGCGTATTCAATTTAATTTATATCTTAACTGAATAAGTTTTGCTTTTTCTGTCTGGATTAAAAAATGTTAGTTTATGCTAAGAAAACGAACGCATTTTAGTAAAATATTTATTCAGCAAACAATAATGAATTGTTTAAACACTTTACATTGTTTATGTATCAATAGTTCGTGGCCTATTTTGGTAATTTTTATTGTAAATTACCAATCTAAGTTGTCTATAGTACTTCATTTCATATAGTAAGCCGTCATTTCAACAGCATTTCGGGTCATCTTCGGTCCAAGCAAATATAAATTGTTATGATAAAATTTGATGACATTAACAAATACCGGTACTAATTATACTAATTTTATATGTACTTTGTAAAGCGTAGCAAATTCCCTAATTAAGTTCTGTATTTTTGTGTGTATGTCTGTTGGTACCGGTAACTCATTAATGTCCTTATTTCTCAGTGTTTCACGGACACCTTCACCTCAGTGTTTTCAGCACCTTTGTAATGAAAATGTCAACCCAAATAAGGTGTTAAATTGTGAGGTTGAGGTAGTACCTTAAATACTTTTAACCATTGTCGAAAGTAACTTTCAATTATAGGCCTTCCTTAGAGCTATGCCTCATAGATCTATAAAGCATTTTTTTAGTTTAATCATGGGATTTAACATATGGACCAACACGATCCGGGTGACATTTAATTAAAAGTGTTTCTCAGTACAACTGCTTTTCAGAACAACTCTCGTCATATTCTAAGTAACAATAACTTAACTAACAAACAAATAAATAGAAAATATAACAAAACAGAAACAGGAAATCTACATAACAACTAATCATAACAGTACAATTCCTTAATTTTGGCTGTAAAAGATGGCGAGGCATATTTTTTAGGCCAGAGGGGAGGTCGTTGTACAGCTTTGGGTCGAAGTACGAGAAGTTTCTCCTTCCAAACTCAAGCCTCACTCTTGGAAAGCAAAGCTGGAGACCTCCATGGCGGGTACTGAGCTGAGAGACCTCCTCCCAAAAAGAGAGCGTCATTTTGAAACTAGGTAGCTATTATCATGTATTCAACATATTTTTACAACATAGATATATGTAAAACTAGCTGTACCCTCGGGCTTTGCCCCGTTTAACTTCTTAATTTTCAAGATGAGCTCGTTCGCATGGCTCAATCACGTCCTGATTGAAGTTCGTTCGCTACGCTCACTCACCTTTAGGTTGGAGCTCGTTCGCTGCGCTCACTTGCCTTCAGGTTAGCTCGTTCGCTATGCTAACTCGCCTTCAGGTTGAAGTTCGTTCGCTACGCTCACTCACCTTTTGGTTGCAAATTAGCAGTTGTCATAAATTTAAAAAAATAATAGTGCTGCACCCTGTTGGGAATCCTTGTAACTTTAATGCTATTGAAAATCGTAGAACAGAACCACCCTGTTTAATTGAAACAGCTGATAAGATTCATTAATTCCATTTAAATATGAAAAATCATAAGGTTAACATGGGAAACTCCAGAGCCACTGGGGCGGAGCCCGAGAGTCCGATCAGAATAAAAACAACTTAGTTTTCCTATTTAATGCCTAAAGAATCGGTGTACCAAATTTCAGCCTCCTAGGTAAATGGGAAGTAGGTGAATTAGTGATGAGTGAGTGAGTGAGTCAGTCAGTCAGTCAGTCAGTCAGTCAGTCAGTGAGGGCTTTGCCTTTTATATATTTAGATGAACAATTTGAATGTTAAGTCAACTATTATGTACAGTACTATCTTTACTTTGCATTTAGTAGGTACTATTTCGTTGGATGCCGATTATACAGGAACCAAGTCCTCAGATCTAAAAAATCGATTTCGGTCACGAACTGGTAAACACTCACCATTTTGAAGACCCAACCAGAGCTGCTTGTGATCTTTCTGTTGCATACTTGAGACTAGCTGTGTCCGATGCTTCAACACATCAGCTTCTTTGATGCAGTTCATAAAGTGAGATTCAACGGCCTCCCTAGAACAAAAGGTATAAAAAACACTCTCAGTAAGCTGACATAGTGAGTTCAGTTGAAATTCGGATTGGGTGGTCCCAACAAAGCTGTTTGGGTATCTACTGCTAATATTTCAGGAATATTGTATAAGCCAAAATGGGGGGAAAGGATTTCTATGATAGAAAAGTAGGAACGAGGTCTGTCTTAGATCAGCTGTCTTCCACTCGGAAATTAGGGACTCAAAACTCCTAACCCTTGCTGAACACAGACACGAGCGAACGCTAGAGAACTATAGAAGCAGGAGGATCCAGGTCAACACAACAGCTTCTTTATCTTGTGACCAAATCATCAACTCTATATTTTTAACTGACAAACACTGTTCAGTAATCATTTTAAGAGTAGGTCAGTTGATCAGAATGACGAAGAGAAAGAGCCAATTGCACAAACCTCATATAGCCAACAATACAGGTCAAAATTTGAACATTGTCATTTTCTTTAAGTGTATTGCTTCCTCACACTTATCGTTATTCTTGTGTAGTATCAATTGTTTGTTATCCTCATATTTATCTGGTTTTACACTTTCAATTTATTTGGTTATAAATTGTGTGAACCAACAAGATTATGTGTGTGAAACTTTGGACAATGATAACTGTTATTTTGAAGAATCTACCTTTTTGTCAAAACCATGTGAAACATTAGGTTATACAAAATTCTACACTTCTAAATCTTCATTCAAGACTCTTAGAACGGCATTTTGGTATTCAAATTAACTGGAAAAAATATAAAAAGCCATGGTAATTTTGAACCCAAATTAAATTCCGTATCTTCAACGAATGCAGTTCACTATTTAAAAAAAAACCTTAACAGGGATACACAACAAACACACGATTGAGTAACAGAGCAAAAACATGTATAGGCCTATAATGTATTTTACAGATATACTGTATTATGACCAAATACATTTTTGCAAGGTTCACTCATACCTTGTTTGACAATGAATGAGTTCATCCTCTGGAAACTTGTCAAAATGTACAGTGATGTTCCATGGAAGTTGAATGTCCGTCTTGTTAAGATCAAACAGCACTCCTATTGGGTAATGCCTGGAAAACGAGTGATGTAAATATGATATAAACAGTGTTAGAGTGTGGTTAGTGAGAACACCACCACTTGAGACTGGGATAGTTTGGTAAATTAAAATCTTACCTAACAGATTTCAAATCTATATTATAACGAGAAACAAAATTACACCTCCTTAAAATTTGGTTGTATATTTTCAAACTGTTTCTGAAGTATAATTTTGCCCCAACTAATAATGCACAGCTCCAAGCACCACAATATAGATGATATATTTCGTTCAATTTTAAAATAAAACCCAATTTTTTATCCTGTAACATCACACAACTTTAAAAAAGTTATAAATTATACCTTGTTTAGAGATGATTGGTTGATGGTAAAAATTCATAATGAGATTGATTACGGATTATTGATGTCAAATTCATGCATTTGAAAACATTGCCTAGTTAATTTACTTTGTAATTTCTATAATACAGTAGAACCCCTGATATCCGGCCTTGGTTTTTCCAGTCCTCTGTTTATCTGGCCACTTCCAGGAAGCCAATATCAAAATATTTTTCTCAAAGCTTACAGACGTTTAGATGCAAGCACTAGTCTTTGCGACTTGTTTGAGCTAAACTATTTATCTGTTTCTTTCAATACATTTTACTGTGTCACTAAACTCAGTTGAACTAGGCCTAACCTCTAAACAGTTGGGGCCCCGGGTTAGGAAATTAATCTTTGTATTTTTATTTAACAAAATGGATAAGAAAGTTGAGTAGAATTGTATTTACTTTTAAGGTCCTAAAAATCTTCAAGGCTGATTTAATGTAACTTTTACCTCCATTTTTGTTACCTGAAATCTTAATACTCGTACGTTCATTCCTTAACAACTTTAGCCTACAAATATTTTTTTAAATTTGTACAAACATGTTAATTTCTTCAAAAAATAATCCTAGAATAGACTTAAATTATACTTTTGACAGCATGTATTGATTAAATATTATTATAGGTATTATATATGAATCATTTTCATTTTCATAGTAGGTTGGTTTATCCGGCCAAATCGCTATCCGGCCAGGGGCTTGGTCCCGTGGTGGCCGGATATGAGGGGTTCTACTGTAATAATAACTAAGTGGAATTTATTTCTTAAAAACTAAGAAAAATTTTACATTTAGGCCTACAGTATTAGTTTACCACCACTGTTGTTCCCCTATTTTAGGTTGTTAACATTTATTTTCCTTCAAATGTGTTGAAAATGTCACTGACATAATTCACACAAATTAAAATAAGCAAGGCAAAGGTTTTTTTTTTATTGAGACACAATCCATATAACTAATTCATAACTAAGTATTATACCATTTCAGTGGTATTCCGTTGAAGTCAAGCCACATTTCATTATCTTGTTTTTCCTCATCAATATATTTTTGGTAGTATTTTCGGACCTGTAACAAATAAGAAAGTCTGCAAAGTCAGTGTGTATTAGGATTGTACAGGAGGTTTTACAGAACAGTCCTCAGTTGGATCATGTTTGGTATGATTTTCTCTACAAGGCTTTTTACAACAAAGCACAAGTAAGACTAACTTACGTTAAAAAACACATAAATAGTCTGGGTAGCTGAAGCTGAGTAGCTGAAGGGTTGTAGTGCTTCCCTTAAAACCTGAGGTTTGCTGGTTCAATTTTAAACAAACTATGGATTCTGGACCCAGATGCAATATTTCATTTTATAAAAAGTAGATAGGTATAGCCAGGGCCGTCCCTAGGGTTAGCGGCGCCCGGAGCAAACGTGGTCGTGGCGCCTTTCCCCCCAGTAATTGTCGCATCGCATATTTTTAATACTAGGCCTATGTTATACAAATAGCCGCGGCGCCCCGGTTGCCCCCCTCTTCAGACGGCCCTGGGTATAGCAAGCCATCAGTTTGGACCGTTTCCTTATAAAAAGGTTTGAAAATACCAACGGCGCAGAGGTAAACTTGAACCCCCACCACGCTTAAATTTAAGGAGATCACAGAAAGATTTTAGAACTCATATCTCATTTAGTAATCAATCCACAAATTTAATGTAGGCTTACCCTCTAAGGTAAGCCTGTTTATTTTCTTAGATTATAAGAAAGATTTAATTCTCATCTGTATCCTAGAGTGTTGCGGCAAAAATTCATTATTGTTAGTCACACGATTTACCTTGGTTTAATGTCACTGTCCAAGAACAAAATCAGAATACCAAATTCCATTTCAAGTAATTAATTTAATTTCTACAGCGTACAGCTTGACCCTTTGGGTGTTCAATGACTAACGTTGTGATTCATGCCACAACCACCACTCTCTTCTCTTTGTCTCTCTTCCTCCTTTGTAAGCTCTCCAATATTCACTCTCGCATCCTAGGATGCTAGATCTTGCCTAGAAGTCATACAAAAGAAAAATGGTGGACTAAACCTAGGCTACCTATGTAGAAATAGTAACTTATTATAGTAATGAATTTACCTTATCTGTTACAAGAGGAAAGTAACTTAATCTGGGGACCATCAAATAAAATGGTTCTGGTGGTTGCAGCTTATTTGCTTCTTCTGGATTTAATTGAAAACATATTGGAAGCTTCCCTTCCCAAATTTCTCTTAAAATTTCTCTGTCACAAGCCATATTAGAGTAAAACTTAATTGTTTTGCACAGACATGATTATTATGTATGGACAAAATAGCAAGAATTTAGTTTAATATTATTTAGATTAGTGTATACTATTAATGAAGAAATATTAATTTTAACTATTAACTTAAAGCGTTAGAGCACTTCACTTCTTCAAACAAAACATAACCTAGTCCAATTCCAATGACAGCTACCTTGTTCTTTTTCATCGGTGGATTCGATTTTGATATCAGCTGTTCAACCTTTCTGGTATAATACTAGGTACAGGACTGTGGACTGAGCTTTTCAAGAATACAGCAATAATTAATGTGACAATTCAACAATAAGAAGAACGGGTTACCATTGATTATTACGTAACAACAGCTTTTAAAGCAATAATACAATGTATTTCTGTAAAATGATCATAATAATATATTAATCTTGCACAACGTTACTACCCGACTCCATCATAATAATCGATTTTAACAATCGATATAGTAGTTTTCTTTTGGGTTAAGCGAAGCCATAGATTAGACATACTCCATTGGTTAAGTTAAGTTACGTCATTGATATAATACGATAATACACATGGAGTTAGATGTACTAACAGTTTCACCATTAATTTTCATAACAAATCAATTGATTTCATCAAACGTTTTTCTGTAAAAAATCCTACTAATTATGGCCAATACTGTGGTAATGCGCTCAATGGCAAAACCTTGATCTGTGTATTTCCTAGAATATTTCTATTTCACATTAATATATTACTAGTGAACATGTTGCTCGAAATCGAGCAATAGCAAAGAAGTAAAGTAGTTATTTAAAAACAAATAACTTATTTAAAAACTAATAAAAGTCATAATTTCCGATGAGTTAAAAAACTCAACTCATAGATTACGGTACGTACATAACAGTTCCATATAATCAACATTTCTTGTAAATATTTTATCATTTTTCAAAGGCTGATCTGGTTTTCAGTGTATTCTACAAATAATGTTTCCCACTTATAGCCGCATTAGGTTGCCTATGTTGATCTTCGTCAATGATAATGTAGTCTGCATGGTAGGCCTACTACCCATTGTCGCCAGAACGTTTAAAAATTTCAGACATTTTTTTTATAGTGATAACATTTTGTTTACATTACTTAAGAACTGCCTGATTTTCTGCAAAACCTCTCTATCACAATTGTATTTGCTTCAATTGGCATCAATTTGGCTAGCTACTGTTATAACGTAAGTTATATTTACCTGAAAAAAATGCAGAATTGAAAGGCCTAATGTTGTTCAGATGGTTTGTTGTTTCCCTTAAATGTGAATAATGCAAATCCTACAATGAAAGTTTAATCATAGATAAATCATACTCCCTTGTGTTGCTTAGTCTATGGTTTAATTAAGGTTTCTTGGATGTAGTCATATTATTTTAAAATCACGACTTTTATGAAAACACTAGCTGTAACCCGCGGGCTTTGCCCCGTTTAACTTCTTAATTTTCAAGATTATCTCGTTCGCATGGCTCAATCACGTCCTGGTTGAAGTTTGTTCGCTACGCTCACTCACCTTTAGGTTGGAGCTCGTTCGCTACGCTCACTCACCTTTAGGTTGGAGCTCGTTCGCTGCGCTCACTTGCCTTCAGGTTAGCTCGTTCGCTACGCTAACTCTCCTCCAGGTTGAAGTTCGTTCGCTACGCTCACTCACCTTTTGGTTGCAAATTAGCTGTTGTCATAAATGTAAAAGAAATAATAGTGCTGCACCCTGTTGGTAATTTTTGTAACTTTAATGCTATTGAACATCACAGAACAGAACCAACTTGTTTAATTGAAACAGCTGTTAAGATTCAATAATTTCATTTCTCATAAGGTTAACATGGGAAACTCCAGAGCCACTGGGGCGGAGCCCGAAAGGATTTTTGAAATAAGAATATGCCTATATGTTAATCGGGAATGTGAGCTATCATCATGCCAAATTTCAGCCCAATCCGACCAGTATTTTTCGCGTTCACTTGTCACAAACATACATCCATACATCCATAATCCATACATCCAAACTTTCTCATTTATAATATTAGTAGGATTATATAATGTCCTTGCCGTACCAGTTTAATTCAGCCTTATAGTGTTTTCCTTTGCCAATCATCATAAAGTTAAGTCCGTATTTCCTACAAAATATTAACACTTTGGCTAACATACTTGTTCATTGTTTGTGGGAATCTTCATATTGTATGTGTTCTTCATAATATATGAGGCAAAATATATCAAATTGCCCAGGATTTCTCGATTTTTTACATTGTAAATTAAAGTAGTAAATATTTAATTTAAACAAAATCAGTAAATCAGTACCCAATGCGTTTCGTTGAATTCAAAAATAAATAACAGCAATTAAATTATACAGCTGATCAAAATGTAAACAATTATGTCCTTCATAAGGATAACATGGGAACTTTCAAAGCCACTGGGGCAGAGCCCAAGGGACTTTAAAAAAATGTAAGGCCAGTTTGCAAATCTACGCGACACGCTCTTTCCAATGAGACGTCAATGGATAAAATCGGTTAAGAAATGAAGGAGGAGTTCAACCGACAAAGTTTCATGTAATGAAATGAAATGAAATGAAATGAAATGAAATGAAATGAAATGATATTTATTCGTCTATAGACATTATATAAATGCATGAGACACAGTCAAATTATATAAATACATGCTGGTAGAGGCACAAGTCAAGTTCAAGCAACTAATAGTAATAATAAAGAATTATTACAAATCATGCAAATAAATGATCATACAAAAGCAGATAAGCTATAGACAGGCTGAAAATACATGCAAGGCTGGTATTAAATAATCATTTGAGGTTATGTCATTGGTTGTAGAGCAAAAAACTCATCAATCTTATACAGGGGGTTTCTGACAAGCCATTCATAAATTGCATTCTTAAAACTATTGTAAGGGAGTTGAATTATTCTTGGCGATAGTTTGTTCCACAACTTTCTACCCATAATAATATGGCTTCTTTTAATCTTTTCCAGTCTTGTAAAAGGAATGTCAAGGTTTTCTCTTTTCCTAGTGTCAAAGCAATGAAAATCACCCCTTAGAGCAAAGGTTTCATGCAACTTAAAACTAGATAACAATACATTATAAATATAAAGGTTTATCACAGTCAAAGCATTAAAGTTAATAAATAATGGTTTACAATGTTCATTTTGATCTTTGTTAAATATAGTTCTAATAATCTCTTTTTGGGCAACAAGAACATCATTGATGTGGTAACTATTTCCCCAAAGGATTATCCCGTAGCTTAGAATTGACTGGACAAGTGCAAAGTAAACATTTTTGAGATGATTTACAGGCAGAAGGTTCCTTAATTTTCTAAATAAAAAAGTAAGCCTACTTAGTCTTGTGCATATATGTTGTACCTGGGAGTTCCAAGTTAGTTGGGGATCAACAATTACTCCAAGAATCTTAACATTTGAGTTGTTTTTTATAGTTTCCTCCATTTGAGGTATAGGCCGCAAGCTAAATAGCATATACTGTGTTTTGTCCTCGTTGACAAGGAATTTATTTGCTGCAAACCATTCAGAGGTCAAACTTAGGCTACTTTCCACTGCAGCTACAAGCTGCGTTACATCTGCACCCTTACTTAGAATGGTGGTATCGTCTGCATACAAATATGCTTCACAGTTGAGGCTGAAGGGCAGGTCATTGATGGCAATGAGGAACAGGAGAGGACCTAATACTGAGCCCTGAGGTACTCCACAGTTAGTGGATAGGACAGAGGACCAGGTATTGCCTATGCAAACTGCCTGTCTTCGATCAGCAAGGTATGTCCTGAATAGGCTGAGGCTCGCACCACGGATACCATAATACTCCAGCTTTTGGAGGAGGATGCCATGGTCAACACAATCAAAGGCCTTGCTTAGGTCAATAAAAGTGGCCCAAGCAGCCTCTCGACTTTCAAAACAATTGAAGACTGTGCGGACCATGGCATCGATGGCCCCCGTAGTAGAGCGTCCAGCCCTGAAACCAAATTGTTGTTCGTTGAACAGAGCATGATACTCAAAAAAATTTCTCACCTGGTTATAAATCACATGTTCGACTACCTTAGCCAAAGTCGGTACCAGACTGATAGGCCGATAGCTCTGAGGACTAGCTTTATCCCCCTTTTTGAAAATCGGACAGATCTTTGACAATTTTAAAAATTCAGGAAAGTGTCCTTCCTGAAGACAAGCATTTATGCATACTGTGAGAGGGAAAACAACACAGGAGGAGGTCTCTTTGATGAACCAGTTAGAAATGTCATAAATATCTTTTGTTTTTGAGTTTTTCATTTTCCTAATTACCGATAGGACTTCATCACAAGTTACATAACCAAACCTGAAAGATGCATTTGTTTGAGGTGCATTCTTTAGAAAAACATCAAAAGAAGTATTTACATTACTTATCTCAGATCTAATACTAATTACAGAGTCAATAAAACCTTTATTGAGATCATTGGGATGCAAGGGAATGTCAACTTTTTTTGTACTACCACCAGAGTTCTCTTTTACAATTTTCCAAGCAGTTTTGCATTTGTTTTGCGAGTTCTCTATTACCTTGGCATTGTGTTTTAGCTTGGCATCATTGATTGCTTTTCTATAGAACTTCTTAGAATTTTGATATTCCAACTTAAGGGTAGGACAATTATTACTAGACTTAAGGTTAAGGTATTTAAGATGAAGTTGTTCCTTGAGCCTGAATAAATTATCATCAAACCAACTATGTTTAAGTGTGTTCTTGTTATTCTGAGGCTTAGATCTAATCAGTGGAAAACACAAAGCAAACTCATGCATAAAAGTGTCAAAAAAGTTTTGAAAAATGTTACCTGGTTGTAGTGTTCCAAGGGTAGTCAATTCCTTTGTCCAATCAGTGTTGAGCATTTTTGACTTAAAAAGTGTGAGATTGTGTTCAGAGAAAGGCCTTATAAAGGTATTCTCGTCTGTATTTACAGGCTCAAGGTTTTTACATATAATAGCAAACAGAGCGAGTCCATCATGGTCCGAAAAGTGACAAGGAACAACAGAGGTGGAGAGGTTGTCGCTGCCACAGTTTGTGAACACGTTGTCAAGGCAGGCGTTATATCTTGTTGGTTGGTCGTTGTGGTGATACAGGTTATGTTGTCTTAATAGGTTCAGGAGTCTGGTGACCGGAGTACTTGGCTTGGTAACGTCGAACTGGGCATTAACATCACCACCAATTATAATTTTGTAATTGGGCCATTTTGAGATAAGGTGGAGGATTTTTTCCAGGTTTTCCAGAAATAGCCATACACTGCTATCTGGTGTGCGGTATATAGAGATAAGAATAAGCTTGTGCTTACTTATAACTACAGCACACGCTTCAATAGACTTTTCAATGCAAAAGTCTGAAAGGTTAATTTCACAGCACTGAAGTTCACTTTTGGAAAAAATTAGAGTTCCACCTCTGCTAGAGCTATCACGGGCAAATTTACTGACTAGATTGTAGCCCTTAAGGGTGCAGAAGTCTACATTTATTTTAGATATCCAATGTTCAGAGAGACATATAACATCATAGTTGTAGCGTATTAATTATATAGATCTTTGAAGAGTGTAGCTGCTGGAACCTATATTCGCTGTACAAATTCTAAAGGAGGACTGATTTGATGGCTTAAACTGGGCTCAACTTAATTTATTAATTACCTCGGTTATTGTGCGTGGTAAGAAATGGTCCTAGTTGCTATAGAATCAGCTGAACTTTAGTAGGACATTAAAAAAGATGGCATATTATTAATCATACATTGGCATCATACTTTATTCACTCATATTTGCCTTAAAAAATAATATGAAACATATAATAGTTGTATTTTTGTGTTACAAAAATGTAAAATAATTATTCCAAAGTTTATTTTCCAACAGAGTCAATTGTTTAAGTGATCAACTTTATAAACCAATGCTATAATTTAAGAGATAATACTACAATTACATAGTTTAAAAAATACTGATGTTTTCACCAACATTAAGAAAAAGCAGTCTCTCAGACAATCATCATGTCATGTTTGGTATTTACTCAGGGGAGGTATAGAAGAGGCTACGATGACAGCTGTGGGCTTCTTATTAGCTGAGGGAACGCCTTTACCTTAACAAAACGGTCGATAGCCATCGGCCTCGGTGGTCTAATGGTTAGCGTGACGGGCTGATATACTGTAGGTCCCGGTTTCGAATCCTGCTGGTAGCATTAACTTTTTGTCCAAGATTTTTTTATAATCAGCAAGTTTGGTTGGTTTGGTTCGGTTATTACAGTTTAATTTTATTATTAAGTCATTACAAAATTTTAATTGAGCAAATTCTAGTTTTATTTAATAAACAGAATTATTTTTCCGATTACTAAACTTTTGTTATAGGTATTATTTTTTTATCAGCAGGTTTGGTTAGTTCGGTTAGGTTATCATGGTTTAATTTTATAATTAAAAAATAATAAAATTGAATTTGAGACATTTATAATTTTATTTCATGAACAGAACTATTTTTGCGATTAGCAAACCTTCATTGCCAAAGTGCTCTCTACTACAGCGCTGTTCACGGAGGAATTTTGAACTAAATGCCTCATTCGTACCTCCCCTAAGTCAGACCCGTCATGTTTATATGTTATCGTTATCCCCTTTATCCCACTCATATGTTTACGTTGTCTGTCAATTTAACTTTAACCTAAAAATGTAAATATTGTAAATAATTGTAATAAAAATGAAAAGTTGTACCTTTTTTGTACCTAATTAATTGGCACGTTTAATTCTTAGGTTATTATTACCTAAAAGGTATTTCATTTAGATATTTTTGAATATTTTAAAAAATAGTATTCGACCAAGTAATAAAATGTGGTTGGCCCAAGTGAGATTTGCAAAATTTGATTTAACTTACAGTAATATATATATCTAGCCTAGTTGTTAAAATACCTACTGTACTTACTTTGTATGGTCGCCATTTCAATGAAATGTATTAGGCCTATAGTTCTTTAATTATTTTCAAGTTTATGTATATTGATGAATCCTTGATTTACTCCAGTTTAAATATTTATTTTTAGGCCATGCATAATCCTATAAGTAATCAGTTTGTTACCCTCATTTATTTATGTAAATAGTATGATATCCGACTGTGTGTTAGGCTAATCTCGAGATATACTCCTATGCATATCAAATTATTTGTTGCAGTGTCATTAGGCCTAGCCTATATCACACTATGTTAACGAGCTTAGGCCTATTACCTCTAGAATATACCGTTACCGTCTCAGTTGTTGGCTTAACACAGTTTATGCTACTTATTTTTTTCATGTTTAAAAATATTTTTGCCTTTACCACACACTCTTTCTTCATAGGTATGAAGTCTTTTTTATGAACACAAAGTTGAAATCCTCCTTCATTGCTGATCTTATTCAGTCTGTTACAGAGACGGAGATGGAGGCCATTGCTCATATGATCATAGCTTAGATTAGTCAAAATCATCCTTCTCTTAAACATTTTCTTTGACATTTTAGTGCTTGAAGTACAAACTATGGCTGCAACAGATGCTAATGTTTCTGAAGAAATTGAGGAAGAAGAGATTCTAGTGTATGCTGATTTTGATGCTGTGATAGATGAATCGATGATCCAAAAAGATTCTTTAATTAAAGTTATTGGCCTTGATGGAGACGAACCTTTTCTTCAGATGGGGACTCAGGTACGGTAGGGTAAAACTGTATAATTGTGCTCTAAAAATACATCTTAGTTACCGTACTAAACCAGATATTGGATTGATTTGCCTTACCGCCTTTAAAGTGAACTTCATATCCTTCATTGTCTCCTTGCGTACTGTCAGTTTATCTGTTATTCAATGTAAGGACTCCAAAACCGCTCCACAACAAAGGAGCTGCAATTTGACAATTTAGGCAGATTAGTTTACCTGCAGTTAATATAAACGATATTTAGTGAATGGTATTGGCTATCCAATTAATACAAGATGTTGTGAGGCTTTACAATACTGCTCTGTCTAGATTACTTTATATGAATGAAAACGCCTCCTGTTGTAGAATGGGGACAAGATATCGCAGAAGAGCTGGTCAAAAGCTCGTAGTCAGTGGTGTGATGGTTGGAGTCTGCAGGCAACTCTATTTTTTTTGGGCCAATAAAACATTTTGAGGTTTGCTTTGGAAAGTAGGCTATTAAAAGATAGGCTATTATATATTGTTAGATTACAGTTTGCTTAAAATACTGTTTGATTGCAGTATTTTAAGCTGCAATTAATATTACTGCTTATATACAGTACAGAGGTCGCAGCAAAATTGTGAGAGTCTACTGAGGTGTCGTAGCCAAACTGTGAATATCTTCCACGGTCACACACCATGTTCCCCTCCGCAACATTTCACCATCTTCTGCAATCATGGTATATCGCAAACATTTTTGTAGTGGCGGCAAATTTGTGAGCATATACTGCTGTCACAGTAAAACATGAATGTCTCCTGCCATTACAGCTAAATTGTGGATTTGATAGGGTAATCTTTGAAGACACTTTTTTCAATCAAAAATCGTGCTGCTTGCACAATATAAATTACCGGACCTGACCTTGGCCTAAAAATTATTTCCTGCCCGAATCAAGCTCTCAAGCCAACTGTTGGCCAGCCTGACCAGAAAATTGCGGGTACCCGTAGACACCTGGTGCCAAACGCAGAGGAGGATTCTTTGCTTGCTTTCCATAATTATTCTGCCTAATGGTATTTTTGATGATTGCAGATGTTCAGCGGTAAATGGCACGATACTGTGGGCACAAATCTGTTTTTTGAGGCAGAACCTGCACCTCCGCCTGCTGATCCTGTGTTCTCCGATACGCCACAAACACTTTTGAACTATAAATACAAGACTAGCAAATGTTTAGAACTGTCCAGGGTATTCATCAATTCAAAGACCAAAGAGAATGAAAGTCTCAGTTTACTGGATGGAGACGGTATTACAGAAAATTCTGTTGCACTTGGAGACAATCCTAAAGAACCACAGCCTATGGAGGCTATGGAAATCGAAGAAGTAAGGAAGTTTATTATTATTTTTATTTTAGTGTAATATAAGAACATTTTGTTAAATAATACTGTTTAGGCTCAAGGTTCCATTAAAAGGAGAACATAGTGTAGACCAGCATCTCGAGACCTATTGTCAAGAGAAAATTAGTCGTGTAATATTTTTTGTTTTAATATATTAAACAAAATAACCACCCCATGCTGTAAAGGGACCGGAAAGAAAAGGGATGGTGGCGCATAGAGTAGAGGTGTCAAAGCTTCGGTACATGTTTGAACATGTCAGTGTCTTAAATTTTTGAATTTAGGCAAAGGTAGGGAGAGCCCTTTTCATTAATCCATAAATGTTAAATGGTAAAAGGGATAAAAGTACTACTTGTCTTCAAATTGATTGTACCTGATACAGTAGTACATTTGACTATTGATACTTTATTACATTATTCTGAAATGACAACCATACGAATGTATGATTTTTTAAGCCTAGTACGAATGGAGTATATAAGTGGTGCGATCTTGTAGTTTTGTTAGTGACTAAGGTCAAGATATATATAACTAGACATTACATCCCCACGTTTAAGTTGTCGCTAGTTTTTTAATCACACGATTACTGTCCTAGTTGATGTTCTTGTGAGCAACAAAAAATAAGGTAAAAAATCAAATTTTAGACACTGGCACATTTTATTTTTGTAAAAAATTGACAACAGCTTGTCCATGTAAATAGGATGTCAACTACAGTATCCAATAAACAATGGCCGTACGCTAAACAATAATTGTTTAGAAAATAAAATATATAATAATAACAACTGGAGCTCACTCTGTGGTCGAAAACTCAACCAAAATTATGTAGGCCTACCGTATTGTGCAAACTTCTCTATTTTCACCCCAGTTTTGTCATTATTTCGTCACATACATGACAACTCATAAGGTCCATGTTAATTTTTTGTGCTTATTTTTTAGCATATTTGAATTTATAAAAGGATTCTGCACATCTACAGGCAAATATCTTTCTAACAGTGCGTAGATTTTCCCTGATGCACAGGAACTGATAAAAAAGGCTTTCTATAAACATGGTTGTCTATTAATATATAGATTTAGCCCTCCCCTGTAAATCGGTCCAGTAGTATGGTCAGGGTGGTTGTTGTAAGCTTAAAATTTTGGTCCCATGTAAAAACTCCACAAGAAATGTTTAATTCCCAATTTTGATCCAATTAACATAAATATTGTCAAAATACAAATATACCCTGCACCTATAGGACCGATAACCTATTCTCCTGGTACAACCCGCGTGTAAATCGGTCCAGTAGTATGGTCAGGGTGGTAAGCTTACGTAAGCTTAAAACAGTTCCCACACTCCGCACTGCTCGCCTTTACAACTTCCATCACCACTTCCTAAGTTGTGGACCTGTGTCCCTCCCTTCCCATAGCATTCAAGTATTGCAGATACGTTAATGTAGCTTCCACAAACGGCTCCCACACTCTGCACTGCTCTCCTTTACTACTTCCAACGTTGTGGACCTGTTTCCCTCCCTTCCCATAGCATTTAAGTATTGCAGATACATTGACCTAACTGCCACAAACTGTTCCCACACTCCGCACTGCTTGCCTTTATTTTTCCTACATCATGGACCTTTTTCTCTTCCTTCCCATATCATTTTAGTATTGCAGATACATTAATCTAATTGCCACAGACGATACCTTCTTTGAACGACTCCGTAAAATGGTTAATATAGTAAAATAGAAATCATCCAGTGGTTGGAAACTTGACCAAAAATATGTAATGTACAGACTTCTATATTTTCACCTCACACTGTAAATAAAACATGTGATTGGATTTTCTGTTTATATTTTTGTCACCAGCATAGCAACCCATAAGGCCCATGTTAGTTTTTTTAAATTTCAAATTCATTTTTTTAGCCCATTTTAATTTATAAAGGGATTCTGCACATCTACAGGAAAATATCTTTCATTTGGTACCAACTGCGTGTAATTCGGTCCAGTAGTTTGTGCAGGCTAGCTGGCGTAAGTTTTTTAGTTCTTAATATAGTTTTACCAAATATTGCAGTTTATATTTGTGTAAATGGGTCGATTGATATTATTGTTTTAGTATTTCATCAATATTTTGGTTTCCAGGGTCAAGCACCTTTAAAACAAGCAGCAAGCAATGTCATTGTCAATGATAACTCTCACACGTCATAAACCTGGAGTTTTATAACACTTGAAGCAATTCCAATGCGTCAAAACATTCCATACAATGCAAGAATCCTCCAAAGAAAGAAGTATATCCAGAATAATCTTTTAAACAAAGTAACATTAAACTTACACATAACCTAAAACACGAGTTTAGACTACATTCTGCTCATAATCTTGGAACACATTTTAATGTTCTTAAAGTGTGTACCCAAATGTAGAAGATAGAACATTTTGTACACTGTGACATATTCAATTTGTGTGTGTGTATGTATAATCTTGTACATGAACTTAAATATTCGTACTAAGTAGCAGTTTGTATTCAATGGTTTTGTAAATATAAAATGTAAAAACTGGTCAAATGTATTTTTTATTCTGATTTAAAGGCTTTAGTTTGTAGTTATTCCAGATTAAGATGCATCAAAATCCATCTAATAACCTTCCATGTTATCTACAGCACACAAGGATAGTCTTCCAATTATATCTACAGTCAATAGTTATTTATTTGTGTAACTAGTGTGCGAAGTGGCATTTTGATGCACATGAGAAAAATGCTTACGCACAAGCCGCAGGCGAGTGTGGAAAGTTTCTCGAGTGCAAAGGCACTTTGCACAAGCGTTACACATTTTATTTTTCCTTTCAGTTACTATACATCATTTAAATAATTAGACTTTGAAACACTATACAAGACGTTTTTAGGTTTGGTTAAATCCAAGCATTGAACGAAATGGGAAATGCTGCACCAGCTGATCGTAGTCGTAGTATCTTTAAGTGTTGCCAACTTATTTTCAAGTGTCCACGTATTACGTGCCTAATAAAAGCACACTGTTTTGTGTTGTTTGGTTAGAATACTGGAGTGCGGCAAAAGGAAAAAGAGTGCGGCAAAAGTAGTAAAGGCAGCAATTAGCTACATTGCGTGCTATAATCAGTGCAAGGAAGCCCACTTTGTCAGGTAACTGTATCAAAAATCGTTTGTTTATCGCATCTGGCACACTAACCACCCAAATAATGGAAAAAGGTAGAATAAATTAACAACACGTATTGCAATGCTCTTATAATTCTCTGAGAGAGAGTACAAAACATACAGTGTAAAAAATAACAATCTTGTACAAAATTACGTATGACTATCACTGGTACTTTGAGCGAATAACTTTGTCAGCTTCTTTCAGCGAGATGTAGTTGTTGACTGCCTTAACTCTCAGTCTGGACCAGATGATGTGGTCGTTGAGAGCAAGAATCTGGAAAATAGTTTAAATTGGTAACAAAACTTTAAAAACAAATAAATCCACTAGCCTGATAGTAAATAGTTTAACAATTCAAGATTGTGCACAAAAGTACTGCTCATGGAAGTGTATTGCATTCTTCAAGAAATTGACACGTAGGAATCACAGTTAGAGTAATTAGGTGAGAAATTTTATTAAACTGTGGTATGGACTGTAAATTTGAAAGGTACATAAAACCTTTGACTAGCATATTTTAAGATATAAAAAACAAACAACTGAAGTGCAAAAGGCTAACTAAATAGTTTAGTTTTACATTTGTGTTGCATAATAGAATTTGCAAATAAATAAATATAATGGTATTTCCTAGAAAACATCGGTAGGCTACAAAGGGACGGCACCTTTGTGACCCCATTAAACTGTTAAAAACATCCAATCCAACCCTCATGATCCAGGCACGCTGTATTGCACTAAAAACAGTTTTAGAAAATAATCAAACCATTCCCCATCAAAGTATTGTTGTGTATCGAGTAACCAGAGAGAAAAGTTCCAAACCAGGGCAGACGGGCGAGTGGACACAGAGTGACACAATAGTCAACAATAAAACTGATAACCAAAAACTTACACATTTTTTTAAATTCTCCTAAAAAACTACACTTAACAGTAACATTGTTTTAAAATCATATGAGGACCACACTGAACAATTAGGTGTAGGAGGAATTCTTTTAAATATTTAGGTTTTGGCTTGGATGCACCTTGCTGTAGGAATTAAACATATGCAATAATAGTGAATGCAAGGCAGAACTCAATACATACCTGAGCAGCTGCCAGAGCGGCAGCCTCCGGATACAACACAGTGGTACAACCGAGACCTGAAGGAGTGTTGAGGGATGACCAGATGTCTCTGTCTATGTTGTCTGGGCTGAGGGGAGGGCAGTTGATGACAGGCAACACAGTGTTGCCAGACAACACAGGGCCTAGACCATTACTGCGGCCAGCCACAGCCACCAGCACCACAGGCATGTTGCTACCTGCAAACAACATTAAAGGTTCAGCTAATAAACATACATTCCGAATGGAGAGGTAATTAAAATACCCACGATTATAGGATAACAAATATTTATATACTTCCTTATCTACAGGTAGTGTACTCATTGTTACTGATTTCAATCTAGATATGTTGGATACATTTCTTAAAAAAGTGTCAAAATAGTAAGTCTAGTAGGCTAAATGAAATAATAATGTAAGAAAATCGCTAAATGAAATAATAATGTAAAAAAATCATATTGACTAATACATGATTTCTGACTGGTATTTTGGTGACCCCATTCCATTTGTGATGTGTAACAAAAAAGATAACTATAATGACATGTACATAACTACCCAAATGTTGTAGCTTCAATAAACGGCTGAAGATTGAGACAGGCTATACATTTATTGAGGGGGAATAATACATCCATAGTTAATCTGGACAGATATATTCCGGAATGCAGGAGGCTGTATGGCAGGTTGAGGCAGGGATAGAAGAGGCAAGTGCTTAAAGATATTCAAACATCTGAAATATACCGAAGATACAGGAGGGAGAGGCATAATTGGCGAGGCCAAAAACCTACTTAGTTTTCAGTAGCCAGGGAGAGGGAGGTAAAAGTAATGGTTTGATGTATCTACCTTCATACTCGGCCAGTATCTGCATAGTCTCCTGGGTGCCTTTGTGTGCCGAGGTGCATCTCAGTTGACACTTGACACCAAGCTTCTCACAGTGGTTGGCTATCTTAGTGCAATGCTCTTCATCAGACGGAGACCCCATGAGCACCACCACCTGCAGTCACATCAACTTTAACTAAACCACAACTACTAGAAGACATACGGAGTGAGGGGGTTTTTAATGGTGTAGGACCTATATTACATCTGATGTGATTGATGTTTGAAAACAAAATGGATTAACAGATTAATAGCTAAACAATACACAACATTTTTAATTTCTGATTCTGCAAAAACCAGAATAATACACTTAGTCACCAAAAGGTCAACATGTTATAATTTTGAGGACTTTCTCAGATATGAGTCTTTTTAATTGGTTATCTTAAATGAATAGTTATGTATGTATTGTAGACATGTATTAAACCATATCCAGGACAAAGAAACAAGGGAGGAAATGGAAATTGAGGACTACTTTTGTCATCAGTTGATGTCCAGATTTTAAATAAAGCCTATTTCAGTACAGTATGCCTACAATATCTCAATGAGAAACTGCTTCAGTTCTACATGACTCTGCAACTTTACAAATCATTTACAAAACTGAAACTGTGCAACATTTTAAGCAACTGACTGATTACTGCAGAGTTGCCACCTTTGGTTAGGGAAAAATCGGGACGGGCCCCCCCTCCCCCCGGATTAACATGAACATAAACACGCGTACAAGGGACCAAAATTGGGACTGTCCAAACAGAATCGGGAAGGGTGGCAACCCTGGATTACTGTAACGAAAACAAAGCCTATGCACTCACATAATGTTTGCCTTTAGTTTGCCATTTGCAAAAACTGAATGCACACATGACTCAATTGCACTTTATAAAAATTTTGGTTACGAGCATCAGTGTTATTTTGACTAATCAATTTTCATAACTCAGTTTAAGAATCATCATTTTATGAGTTAAAGACTCATTTGCAGTCAGTGTTTGTTAAGATTGATGTGTTGTTAAGATGTAAAGATTAATAAGAATGAGCTATAAAAAGCATGTTTAAAAAAAGTAAATACCAAGCCAGTGGAGGGGGGTGCAAGGTACGCCAGCTGTTCCTCTATCCACTTGAAGTTGCTCTTGATGGTCTCAAGGTCAGCCGGAGTGACGTTTGTAAGGTTGCGGTAGACCTGCTTGTCCTTCATCAGTCGCTTGTCTCCGGACGGCCACAGCCTCCACGAGTCACTGTCTATCACATCTGCCACCACGATCTCTCCTGGAACATCAGTTATAATATAAGGTTCCAGAGGTGTTATAAAGCTTCTAGTCCTTAAGTAATCTAGGTTTATTTTTACCTATATTCGTATGAAAGTGGGATGCAATATGTAGCTTTCTTATTCATTTATAATAATCGAGTGTGTAACAATTACTTTTGTTTCAACAAATATTTCTTTTAACAAAAACTACTCAGTGACCAAGACTGTTTCTCCAGCTAGGATCATTCAATAAAAGCCTTATGATCAATCTGTATCAGTTAATACAAAACAAACAACAGGAAGTAACGTGTATTCACTTATACAATTAAAAAGTACAACTTAGTAAAACGAAACTTGACTTTAATCATGTAAAAACTAACTGACAACAAAAAGTAAACAATCTTGTTATTTGTATGTAACATATGGTAATAAATAATGTGAACTCTATACAGACCAAAAGCACGAACACTTCACCTTCTCGCTGAGATTGAACTACTGTCCTTGTCTTCAAGAAGGTTTTTATGCTTTAGTTGGTCAGCGTGTTTTTTAAAGATTCTTCTATCGTTACCTTCAACTTTCCACACGTTTCGCCCTAGTATCTTCAAGATTACGCCGGGTTTCCACACAACATTTCCGTTTCTGGTTTCTGCCCAAAACACAGGTTCATTTATTTTGAAGTTTTTTAGGCTAGTAGTGGCTCCTTCTTTATTCTCTTTCTCTTTTGTTTTATCTTCTTTATTTTCTTCCTCTTCTGTTTTAATCTGACTTCCTTTTTGGGGTTGAACTAAATCTAAGATACATCTTAGCTGACATCCTAAAAACAACTCAGAAGGTGACATTCCAGAAGTTATGTGTGGTGTTAACCTGTACTTAAATAAAAAGTTGTTTAAGTCAGCTTCCAAACCTTTAGGGGATTGTTCTTGGCAAAGTTTTCTCAACGCCTGTTTCATGGTACCGACGTATTTTTCAACTTGTCCGTTGGAACACGGATGGTAAGGTGGAGTGGTTACGTGGTCGATTCCAAATGCTTTACAAAACTGTGCAAATTCTACGGACGTAAAACAGGGTCCGTTGTCTGTCACTATGGTTTTAGGGATTCCATATCGGCATATTAACAGCTTAATTTGTTTGATTGTTACTGAAGTAGTCATAGAGTTCAACTTGATAATTTCTGGCCAACCGGAGTATGCATCTACGACCAAAAGAAAAACACTATTAAGGAAAGGTCCAGCGAAGTCCAAGTGTATACGGGTCCAAGGGTCAGTGCATCTCGGCCAATTACTGAGGAACTTTCTCTGTGGTTCTCTTGCAGCATACAAGTTGCATAGTGCACAAGTTCTTGCCACGTGTTCGATGTCACTGTCCATCGATGGCCACCAAAAACGATCTCGGACCAACGCCTTCATCTTTACCATTCCTAAATGAGTGTCGTGCAGGTTCATAAGTAATTTCTGCTTGAACTTTTCTGGGATAATTGCTCTAACCCCCCACATTAGGCAGCCCTCATGTATGGATATTTCGTTCTTCCTTGACTCATAGGGTTTTAACTCCAGATTGTTTGTCTTGTTTGGCCATCCACTTAATACAAACTCTTTGACCCGATTAAGAGTGACATCATTCGACGTTTCTTCACTGATTTCTTTAGCTGTAACTGGTAGACAATCTATGTTACCTGAGAATATTAATCCAACTACGGTGCTATAACTCTCATCGGCTTGGTCAAAATCAATATCTTCCTCGAAAGGCAAACGACTTAAACAGTCAACTTTCCCAAATAGTTTAGTAGAAACGTATTCTATGTCAAAACGGAAATTTGTTAAAAACAAAGCCCAGCTTTGTATTCTGCAAGACGTGGTTACTGGCACTCCTTTGCTGGATCCGAATATAGACAATAGAGGTCTGTGGTCTGTTTGGATCAGAAAATGTGTGCCCCAAAGGTAGATGCGGAACTTTTTAATAGCATAAATCAAAGCTAAAGCTTCTCGTTCAATTTGCGAATAATTTTGCTCTGCCTTGTTCAGTGTTTTAGAAGCATACGCGATCGGCTTCTCTTCTCCGTTAGGATATCGATGAAAAATTGCGCAACCAATCCCCACTGATGAAGCATCGGCTGCAACCACTATAGGTAATTCACTATTAAATGGCACTAGAATAGGAGTGGAAACTAAAGCATCTTTAATACGGTTAATTGACTGAGAGCATTGTTCTGTCCATGTCCATTGAACATTTTTCTGCCTTAGTTTGTTTAATGGTGCACAGATCTCAGAAAAGTTTGGGATGAACTTTGAGTAAAAGTTTGCAATTCCTATAAATGATTCCAACTGTTTAATGTTTTGGGGTTCAGGCATATCTACTATGGGCTTTATCTTGTCTTGATTCGTCGAAATTCCATCTTTGGAAATACATAGACCCAAATAGTTGACTTTTTCCTTCATGAAGTGACACTTAGCTCTGTTTAAACAAAAACCATTGTCCTCAATGCGTTTCAAAACCTCTTTTAACGTGTTTAGATGTTCAGTGTCATTTATTCCTGTTATAATGACATCATCCAGTAGGAAAGCGACTCCATCTAATCCAGAAAGCATAGAATGCATCTTTTTTTGAAAAATTGCCGTAGCAGGAGCTACGCCAAAACACAGTCTATTGTATCGCATAAGACCAAAAATAGTATTAATGACAAGGAGTTTTTTAGATTCTGTGTCCACGGGAATAGAAAGGTAAGCATCAGAGAGGTCAAGGGTAGTAAATTTCTGTCCAGAACCTATCTTGGTCAATAAATCGTCTTGAGTTGGTAATGGAAACTGCTGCACCTTTAATGCTTGGTTGAGTCCCGTTGAAAAATCTGCGCATATTCTAATAGCTCCATTCGGTTTTCTTACAATCACGCATGGCGCAGCCCATTCTGAATGGTCTATTTCTTCAAGGATACCATTTCTTTTTAACCGGTCAAGTTCTTCTTTAACCTTGTCCCTTAAAGCTAAAGGAACAGGCCTTGCCTTTTTAAACACTGGTGTAGCACCCTCTTTTAGGTACAAATGAGCAGTTGTCTTTGGACATTTATTTTCATTGGGTTGAAAGACGTCAGAAAACTCATCCACAAGTTTGGCAAGTTGTTGATCCGTATTTTCTACTTGTAAGGTTTGTTTATACGGTTCTGAACATATCCTTTGCATTAACAATTGTAACTTACGTCAATCAATCCAGTTGTGTATTGGAGGGACGTACGTTTCGACCTTTAGGCCATCTTCAGCCCCGCTGTTACACTAAGTTCCATCCTTAGTTGCATTGTTGGTGTAGCAACCGCGTCAAATATTTACAATTAAATAAATGACGCCGCAGTCCCGAGCCCGTTCAGCCGTGCGCACGGTGATAGTTTTGTTAATATGTGTTCGTCTTCGTCAATGTCGTGTTTTCGTGTTTTTTATGTTCTTAATTGTAAATATTTGACGCGGTTGCTACACCAACAATGCAACTAAGGATGGAACTTAGTGTAACAGCGGGGCTGAAGATGGCCTAAAGGTCGAAACGTACGTCCCTCCAATACACAACTGGATTGATTGACGTAAGTTACAATTGTTAATTCAAACATCAATCCGTTTGCTACAAATCAATCATGATATCCTTTGCAAATCGGAAAGTGATATTTTGTGGAGAAATAAAGGTGTAATCCAATCTCTTCCCAAAATATTTTGTTTGACACCCGAAGCGACAAAAGCTCTGAGTTTGGTTTTAACGTTTGCAAAAACAACTTCTACATCCATCTCACCAAGAAGTTTAACACAATGACCTGTAAATGAAGTAAAATTCTGTTTACTTAACAAAAGGTTGGGTTTTCCTATCTGTTTCCAAGTATGATCTGAGATAATTGAAGCGCAGCTACCTGTATCAAACTGCATCCTTACGATCTGGTTATTGAGTAAGATATTAAGAATAAGTATCGGGTAAAAGGTTGCCTGCTTTCCGATTGAAAGAACGTCCTGTATTCCTCCCAAAGAGTTCGTATCATTATAGCTAGTTACATCATTATCAACAACGTTACTACCGGATTCCTTTGACTTTGGACCATTCTCAACAATGTTGCTTTTAAGGTGTCGTTTCTCCACCTGTCCCGTTTTACATATTCTAGTTATGTGGTTCCTACTCCCGCATTTGTAACATCTTGGATTTTTAATGTTACAATTCCTTTTCAGATGTTTACCACTACATATAAAGCATGGTCCTAGAGATAAAACATTACAATCTTCCCTCTGAGAAAAACTATTTAATGAAGCATCTTTTACTGAAAAAAGAGAATTAGCTACGTTAATGACTTCTGAGAACGTTTCATAATCCTTCTCCATGAGTTTGGATCTTATATTGTTATCACATATCCCCATTACAAAAGCGGTAACAAGTGCTTGTTGGAAAAATTGAATGGGAAATTGACAATCATTTACTTTATGCCTCAAAACATTGGCAAACTCCGTCAGACTCTTGCAGCCCTGACGCAGTGAAAAAAACTTGACTCTTTCTGCAATGGCGATTTTTTTAGTTTTAAAATTGTCCAACAATAGTTTAAAAAGTTCTTCATACTTAAAGTCATTTAAATCATTAGGTCTACAAAGCTTAACCAGTGTGCTTAACACATTTGTACCCAAAGCGTTTATGAATAGCAAGCGTTTGGTTTCATCATCGTTAATTCCATTGAGTTTAAGACCTGTAGTAAACTTAATGTGCCACACATCAATTTCTACTGTGTCCGGGTCGAACAAGTCACATTTAAAATTACAAATACTTTTTTCATTACGAACTTGATCGGTACCTGGATCGTCTTGATGTCGTCTATGTCTACCTGATGTCGGCATTGTGTGAGTTCTAATTCCTCGTCGCCAATAACGTGTATTCACTTATACAATTAAAAAGTACAACTTAGTAAAACGAAACTTGATTTTAATCATGTAAAAACTAACTGACAACAAAAAGTAAACAATCTTGTTATTTGTATGTAACATATGGTAATAAATAATGTGAACTCTATACAGACCAAAAGCACGAACACTTCAGGAAGTACTTAAAGTATAAGCTTAAATAAGACTTTGTACTGGTTAGAATTCTTTCCCCGAACTGGTTTAAACTGTTTACAGACTAGTCAGGAAAATCACTTAAAGGGAAAGTATCCAGCAGTACCTTGAGGGCTGACACCAAACTCTATTTTCATATCAATGAGAGCGCAGTTTCTGGATGCCCAAGCTCTCTCGAGCACTTCAAACACAGCCACGGACATACGCTTCATCATGTCTACCTCATCCCTGGAGATGGTTCTACCATAGAACTGGAAGGAGGCAGAGACTATCTGCTCGTCTGACCATTGCGGGTCGTGATTGGCATCGTCCTAGAACAGACGAAAATATGTTGCAACTTAATTACTGAGACTAGTAGACTACTTGGTTTTCCAAATCTGACTAGAATAAGTCAGTTTTCAAAAAATTGTGTTCAAGCATTTTTGATAAAGTTTTCACTTAAGTGCAACAATTATACGGCATTTGTTATTTTATACATTGTTTGATTGTCAAAAAAAACTTATCAGGTTGACTTAACTATTCACGTTCAAATGTATAAATGTGAATATAGAAAAAATTATTTTCCTTTACAATTCATTAATTTATTGTTCATGTTTACATTAGAACCCCTGTTAACCGAATTTGAGTTAACCGAAACCCGGATTAACCTAAATGGTTCTATAAAATAATATAGGGCTGTAAAATGTTTTAATAACTTCAGTTGTCTGGTTTAAAGTATTTTCTATCCCATTGTAGCATTTTTGTAGCTGAAATATAACACTGAATTACCTCATATAGACATTCTCTTAAATTAATTTTTCCTACACACTGTGGTAAAACATTGGCTATTTTTAGCAACCGAAAAATAGGTTATCAGAAACGGCTCTCCACCCTTTATTTCGGTTAACCAGGGTTCTACTGTATCTCCATATTGTTATTAAACATGATAAGCGTGGAAATTCATTAATAGACACTACTGGTTTAACATCTTGTATTTTCCTTGTAAATATGAAGCGATTTCGTACATAAATGTGGAAGATCAAATTAAGGTAGATAATAAACCCTTTTAATCCGACAAAAAAAATATTTTTGTTTTAGTGTTTTTTAGAGCTTGATTTTTTGTTTGGAAATTTTGTAAGAAAAAAAATTAAATTGCTTATTCCCTATATGGGAAATTCGCTAAAACATGAATTGACACTCAAGATTAGTTTAAGATGGCTTCCACCAAGAATAACACTCCCCTGAAACTGAATAAACCATATTGCACATCTGCACAGTACACTTTTTTTAGCTTCATAATCACAAGTTTTTCACATATTTTTGTTTATTTTACAGTCCTGGACATGAGGGATTAAAGGAAGTTAACTAATATAAATATTAATTTTGATCGTCAGTTTGTGTGCTCTAAAGGTTTTTTATGAGGTTTAAAATACAGTAGCAACATTCTAAACTTTAAACACTTTTTTTTGGTACAGCCTATGTCTTGTTCTTGTTAATTTTTCAACGTTGACATGTTATTAGGGAACTTAAATTAAAAAAATTCAATAATAAACACTGCAACCTGGTTCAAAATAAAACTCTTGAATCTTTATTTACAGTCCCTTCCATTTCTTTCATTGGACTAAAACTTTGAGTGCTGATTACCAGTCGCGTATTTTCTCTCTGGAAAAGCACTATTGTAACTCACTTCCTCAAATGAATACAAACTGACCTTGAAAAAGGTTTCTTGCTTGGGTGGATTGAACCGGTAACCTTCAGGGACTCCTGGATTACGTTTCAAAAATGAGCCGAATGCCACTCTGCGAGTCACCCACTCTATAGGAACCATTTCACATTTTTTTGCGATGAAAGCAGTTTTGGTGGCGCTCTTTACAAAAGCTGTTTTAAGACCTGCAAAAGTCATACAATTTAAAAACAAACTTTATCACAATTTTACTGGAAAGAAGTTAGCCTACTGAAGTTAAAGATTGGTGCAAGTTAAAGTTAAGACATAATTATTCATGGACACAGTAAAAAAAGACTGATAGGAGATACATTGGAGAGCATTTCCTTCTTCTCATGTGTCCAGTTTGGGCAAGATTCTGTGCACCAGGTTCCGCTAGTTTCTTAAAAAAAAGTACAAACATATCAAATTAAGATATTGAGAAGAAAGCCTGTAACTTAGTTGAAAAAATTACACAAAAAACACACTAAATGTTTTTTTGTTTTTGGCTTTTATTCGTTTAGTGTTTAAGGATAGTTTAATTACTGTAGATCAAAGATAGAAACTGGTAAAATATAGAAAGGTTATCAACAAAACTACAATGTTATGTAATCAGTGAGAAGATAATGACCAATTAGACTATTTAATTTGGTCTGCAGTTAAGACCAGAAAAACATTTAACAACTTAATTACAAATTATTAGCCTAATTACACTGTTGCATAAGTATATTAAAAAAAAATGTAGCTATAGGGAAAAAAGTTAAAGCTATGTGTTAAAGCAATTCAGTCTGTGATATTTTGAACAAATATTGACTCCCATACCACACATTTTGTCAATAAATAACAAGTTATTATTGTTTGTTGATAGAGAAAATTATGATAAAATAACACACGTCATTAATTCATGGTGTCATGTTTTTTGTTTGTCGAATGTTTTCAAGTATAGATAACAGGGTAGGCCTAAAAAGATACAATTAGTTATGCATCTTGATTCTGTTTGAAAAACAAATACATAGATTGATTTTTTTGTTCAGTAGTTCCGCTGGTTCCTACCCCTATTCAGACCCCTAAATTTTGATTATATTGTGGGAAGGGGGCAGGTGGCTATGTTATGGTATGAGGGGGGGGGGGGTGAAGAAATAGGCATTGTGATTTTGATTATGTAAGGGTATGATGATTCATGTAGAAAACTTTTTTTGTTTCTGGAGCTTTCTTCCAAACTGATTGTTTAAGCAGAGTTTTTTTTTTACTATCAAAAAGCTACAGACTTTTCTCAGAATTGAAGCAGCCAACCTTTTCAGCAGTAAACCTTTTGAAGCAGTAAACCTGTAATTTATATTTTAAAACCCGTGTGATATTTTTGTTAAATACTCACCAACAGAGTTTAAAATTTCAAAAATCTTTCCATTGGTCTGTGTTGATATTTCTGCTTTTCCCTCCAAGTCATGAGCTTTAGCGCCATCACCAGCTGTTATTCTGTCTTTGCTCAAAATCAAGACTTCATTGGGATGTTCTGGGAGTTCAAATACTTGTTTGGTTTTACCTTCGATAATAAGCTTTCCAATCTTGTACCCGCCGATTACTGAACCTAAAATGGTATCATCTTAATGAAATGAGTTATAATATTTTATACTTAACCTTCTGTATCCAATAGTCAATGACTTAACTTAACAACTAAAACATTAACTATTAAGATAATTATTGAAAATTGCATCAATAGTAATAACCAAGATCCACATATCCTATGTGGTGGAAAATAATTTGATAGTTCATTATTTTCCTTAGTAAATTTATGATAAACTAGCAGAGCACCCGTCCTTCGTACGGGGTTGGCATATAAGTAGAAAATGCTTTTTGCAGTTATAATCAAGCTTTGTGTTTGCAATGGGGGAGGACACAGTTTGATAAAATTTGTTTCATAAATTTACGGTATGATATAGGTAGTATAACACATCTACCATTGCCATTATGTTCTACCACTGCACATATAAAAACTCAAAAATAACTGTAATTAATCCTACTTTGGCAGTTCTCATTGTGTATCACAGTTTTTCGTTGCTGTTTAGTTCAAATTAGCTGTTGTCATATATGCAAAAACAAAATAATAATAGTGCTGCACCCTGTTGGGAAACCTCATAACTTTTTAATGCTATTGCATATTATAGAACCAACTTGTAAAGTTGAAACAGCTGACTAAATTCTTTAATTCCCTTTAAATATGAATACTCATAAGGTTAAAATGGGGAACTACAGAGCCATTGGGGCGGAGCCCGAAAGGATTTTTGAGATAAGAATATGCTTAAATGTTAATCGGGAATGTGAGCTATCATCATGCCAAATTTCAGCCCAATCCGTCCAGTAGTTTATGCGTGATTGAGCAACACACAAACACATACACAAACTTTCAGATTTATAATATTAGTAAGATAAGATTACCAATTCAATTGTAAGGTTTGTGGTTGAATTTTCGAAATAAGAAATTTTAAACTAGCACGGTATAGCTCAATAATTAGTACTTTTTAGCTAAACAAAGATGTCAACTACTTTGAAGTTACTATAAGATTGATCTGGAGGGTTCAGTTTCAAACTTGGGAAAAAGGTCGTTAGGTCATTACAGAAGAATTGAAAAAGTGTTGAGAGGTTCACACTGATTTAGTTTACTCTCTGGATTCATCTGGACTTTAAAACAATGTGAAACTACAAACTATGCTGTAAAAACCACATCAAATTGTTTTCCAAACACTGTCTTTCAAATATAGATAAAAATATTGACATTTTTAATAAAATATCAAACAAACTAACTTCCTAAACTAGTTTATGTCAGTAAAACCTCAATTCATATGCTGTTCTTATATAACAGTTACATAAACAAAATCACTCAAGTTGCATTACATTATGTAACTCTAAGGATTTATCAGCTTATTTCTTTGGTAACTTATCTGTTCTATCCAAGTAAAGTTTACTTTTTCGATAGGCCTAAGTTAAAATATGATGGTAGGAAAACCATTTTAAACCCAAACCACAGGAAATCAACATCATTGAAAATTATAAGCCTGAAACAAACTTGTCCAAAAAATTGAACTGTAATGAGAAAAAAGGTAAGAAGATGTTGGAAGCTATAGTAATTTTGTCAGTGATTTTCTTAAAAAATGTTATAGGCTACCCATAATCCCTGGAACTAAAAATAGCACCTGCATAAGGAAGAATACTATTACATGATGCTACATTTTGCCAGGATAGCCTGAACCACTAGGCCTAGATGATTGTTTGTTTCAGTTTGCCTAACTTTAAAATTGACTCAAAACTTTTCCTGATGAACAATTTAACATGTCTACCCAAATTTTTATCTCATAGAATAGTGTGGGCAGTGGGAACAGAGACATGACAAATTAATATTAAACTTATTTTAAAGTGTCCTTCAAATTGGCAGTTGGACAAATTGGAAGCCAATTGATTAACGAGACTACTACGGAATAGGTTGAAGTATTACAAAAAGATTGTCATACCTTAGCCAGCCTATGAGCAACATAAAAAATAAAACATGCTTGCAAATCAATAAAGTATGTAGGCTACTGATCAAGTTTAAATTTTTAGATATAACTTAGCTCAAATTGCCTGTACCATTCAAGCAGCTTCGGAAAACCTGGATACAGAAACAAACCTGTTTATTTACAACCAGGCAATGTTATAATTTGACCCAGTTCTATGTTGGGCCTAACTGGCATAAGATTGAAACTATCGATTAACTTATAATAGATATTTTTAAACTAAAGCTGCGTTTACACCAAAGTTTTCCACTAGGCCTAGTTGCTTTTTCTACAAAATACAGCAACTTTTTCTGTCGTCCACTAGTGGAGAGGCAAGTCTTCCACTAAATTTTGGTTTCTCGCAGAGATTCAGTAAAGATCAAAGAAAGTTTACAACAAAAAGTGGAAAACTAGTTGCTACGCGCTTTGCGCAGGCATCTTGTGGAGAACTGTTTCCCCTGGCTCCTGTATCAGCCCGGGTGTGACGTCGGGCGATAGCCAATTCTTTGACAACAAGTTTTCCACGGTGGTTGATCTAAAGCCGCGTTTACACCAAAGTTGTCAACCAAAAGTTTACAACCAAAAGTTGACAACTAAAAGTTTACAACTAAATGTTGCTCCTCACTAATTTAGAGCAACTAGTGGAAAACTTGTTGCCAAAGAATAGGCGCGTAATAATAAGTACAGTGTGTCAAGGATGTCGTCAGCCATTTCAAGATCAAATTCTCCGTATTTTGGAAAAATCACCATTAAAAATAAAAATTCAAAAATACCTGGAGATATTATGGATTAGTACCTACATACAAATTTTAATCAAAATCAGACCACGGGCGTGGTGTGTAGCTCTATACACATCCAGAGTTATTAGGCATAATTAAGATTTTTAAATAGAAAGATAGCTAACGTTTACCCTATTATAATAATTAAAATAATTCAATAATACACATTTACAATATGTGTACAATATGGGAGGGGGAATAGTTCTCCACTAGTTTTCAACAAGTTGCTTGCGCAAAGCGCGTAGCAACTAGTCTTCAACTTTTTGTTGTCAACTTTCTTTGATCTTACCGACTCAGCGGGAAACCAAAATTTAGTGGAAAACTTGTTGCTCCACTAAACTTAGTTGACGACAGAAAAAGTTGCTGCATTTTGTAGAAAAAGCAACAAGTTTCCGAAACTAGCCGAAAACCTGGTTGTCAACTTTGGTGCAAACGCGGCTTAGATTAGTGAGAAGCAACTTTTGGTTTTCCACAAAAAAATCTTCCACTAGGTAGTTTCTCAAATTTGTTCAGAGAAACATTTAGCTGTAAACTTTTAGTTGTAAACTTCTGGTTGTAAACTTTTGGTTGTCAACTTTGGTGTAAATGCGGCTTAAGTAATTAAGTAGCCAAACTTACTGATTAAGTTTAACTTATGAAAAAATCGAATGAAGGTTAACTAATCGAATTGATATTTCCAATCGATAGTAATTTAGCGTAGCAAAGTTAAGAAACTGTACAAGAAACTTTACCAATTGATAAAAATATTGAGTATTTTGTAAGTCTTAAGTTTATTTTACTTAGGTAGGCAGTAGGCCTAGTCTATATGTTTACCACTAACCTTGTTTAGCCATGTCTAGGTACCTATATCACTTGTAAATATTCAAGATATCACTTGCTGCCTTCTCTTTCTACCAACACTACTAAGTACTACTATACTATAATGAGAGTGTGGAGGATTTTCAAGTTTAAAATAGACAAGAAGCAGCTCTTATCTAACCTCAAATTGAACCTTGAACTTGATGTCTCAAAAACAAAAACCTGTTGCTGTCTTGGCTCGGTCACGTGGATTATGTGAAGCTGAGCCGGTTTACAACTGTCACTGTGTTTTGTTTTTGGCAGACGCAGACAAGCCACAAGGGTTTGAAAAATTAAATCAGTTAAATACGTGAGTGGTGGGGGGGTTCTTAGGAGTCCAAACATCGTGCGTTTGATCGTTTTATAACTTATTTTGTTGTTACATAACCGTGCCGGCACCAGTCAGTACGAGAAAATTACTGTTTATTGTTCTGTAGTAGTCTCTCAGAAAGAGGTGCTGAGAGTGGGTCTTCAAATTCCATTGAGGTAAAATGTTTAGTGCCTAATAAAACTTAATACTATTATCATGACGTTTTATTAGATAGAGGTTAGGTTTTTACTAACACTTAAACACCATTAACTTATTGAAAGAGATCTACTCATTAGTCCTTTGATCCATTACGCTATGACAATCTAATAATATGTAAATCATTTAAATTGTTTTGAATTTGAATACATTTCTGTTTAGCTAAACAAACAGATAATACAATTATAAAAAAAAAACAACAAATAAAATCATAGTTAACTCGGCCTCCAGCCAGCTCCGTTTTCGTCAGCTGTTCAAGTAAGTACCTACTTTTGTTGTTTATTGCGGAAACGGAATACGGATAAACAAACACAACAATGAACGAAGCTGCGGCAGGAACTTACAAATACTGTCAGCAAAAAATCCAGTTACACAGATTGATTTACGGAGCTTATTAATCAAATCTGTTGGTTTTAATTTGAAAATACAATAATTTTTTTAGCTTTGCATAATTGTAACTAACATCAACAATAAAAGATCAGAGACAACAGTGTAGTTCTGCGTGTAGGTAACAAATTTGTAGGTAAGATTTCTGATATTAACATTCCTGAAGATTATATAAATAAAATGTACTTATACTCATGGAGTCTACGTCTACAGCTGGTAGCATTGACTATATATAGCCTACCTATAAAAATGCTTGTAGTCTATGCTTGAATGGATGTCTTACAAGTTTAGACCAAAACATGTTACACTACAGCTCATTATCTAAACAACTTTCACTGGAATAAGGCTTAAACAAAATGTTTAAAACCACATTTTTACAAAAAGCAATTATAGTTGTGATTATAAATTTAGTTATGAAAACGAGATTCTTGTTATTATCACACACACGTCACAGATGAGGCACAGGAGAATGTGCGTCATTCACTTTCTATATACGGTATCTACTATGTTCTTGTTTTGAAGTTAGCTAGCTTCCTTCCTGCAGTCAAAAATTCAAACAAATTTATAATTAATGAAATAAATAAGTTATATATTTCTGAAGTATTTTCTTTTTATAAAGTAAGTTAAACTCACACAATTTGTAGTTAGCTATTAAAGAGAAATTTTCATATTTAACCAATAAATATTTGTTAGGCCTATTCATTATCATATTATACTTTTGAGACAGCAAGTAAATTAAATGAGTTGATCTGTCACTGTGAAGGTTTAATATTTACCGACTGCAATCAGTATAGCATAGTTTCTCTAGTCAGGATCAGATAGTCCTTGATCATTGGGCTTTTGAGCCCAATGTGGTCGTCTAAGTTGCCAGGGTTTGGCAGCAACCTTTTAGAATTTTGATTTTCATGTCATATGTGAGCATTTTATAACCATTCAGCCACCAGCTTTAAATCTTTATAGCATACGGTATATAAGAAATTGTTTTTTTTACTAACTATTTAAATTATTCATATTTTTTTTTTTTTTTAGATAAAATTACTTTAATTTCACATAATGATTTACAATTTCAGTAACCATCATAACCCAGCAATCCCAGATGGCTGACTCCAGCCGAGGCGCCAATGCAGAAGAGATCACTGGAATGCGCCATGAGTGTGGAGTTTTTGGCTGTATTGCGGCCAGCTCCTGGCCTAGTCAGAACGATGTTGCTCAAGTCATTTGTCTTGGACTTGTAGCTCTTCAGCACAGGTAAGTAAAGTACTCTAATTGTCATGGATTTTAATGAGGAACATCTCATGTATAGAGAGAGGCTGATCTTCTTTTGTAAGATTCCGTGTCTTTTTAAAACGTTTTTATTGGCTCGCTTTCTTGTCCGGTACAAATTTTTCAATCAATTTTATACTAACTTCCCGATGAGCTAGAGACTTGAAACTTGAAACATAGCTCACAAATGAAAGACAATGCAATATTATATCATTTAATTTTTATATTTCCCTTGGGCTACGCCCTATGGGCTTGTTTTTATTAGCTCGCTTTCCTACAAATTTTTATATCAATTCCAAATGAAGTTCCCGATGAGCTAGAGACTTGAAATTTGAAACATAGCTCACAAATGGATGACAATGCAATATTATATCATTTAATTTTCATATTTCCCTTGGGCTACACCCCATGGGCTTGTTTTTATTAGCTCGCTTTCCTGCAAATTTTGATACCGTATCAATTCCAAACAAAGTTCCCGATGAGCTAGAGACTTGAAATTTGAAACATAGCTCACAAATGGATGACAATGCAATGTTATATCATTTAATTTTCATATTTCCCTTGGGCTACGCCCCATGGGCTTCCAAATTTTCCATGTTTACATTTTGAAAGAATGTAAATAGTATATCAATTAAATACTTAAACAATTAAATATATAATACTCAGCTGTAAATACTTAAATTTGACAGTTAGAAGAGCAGATGGTTAAGAGGTACATGTTCTGCCGGTGGGGCACACGGAAGATTTCTCAGGTGCCGTTTGACGTCACTAACTGCTGCGTCTAAAGAAAAAAGAAACAGACAATTTTAAAATTTTCTATTATTAAATTAATTAAACTGTCATAACCTAACCAAACTAACCAAACGTGCTGATAATGGAAAAATCGAATAAAGGTTTACTAATCTAAAAAATAGTTTTGTTCATAAAATAAAATTAAAATTGCCTAAAATTCAATTGTATAATTTTTTAATTATAAAATTAAATTGTCATAACCTAACCAAACCAACCAAACTTGCTGATATGAAAAAATTGTTGGTAAAAAGTTAGTGCCGCCGACGGGATTTGAACCCGGAACATTCGGATTATCAGCCAGCAACGTTACCCACTGCACCATCGAGGCCGACGGCTCAAAATCGTATCGTTGCGGTATTGGTGTTCCCTCAAACAGACGTCAGCAGTTAGTGACGTCAAACGGCACCTGAGAAATCTTCCGTGTGCCGTTTCGCATGTTCTGCTCCCGAGATATTCTGATTACAGATAATAATGTTTTGGTTATGTATTTACAGACCATATCTATAAATTATTTTATACCATTTAGTGCGTTTAATAACGTCAATTTAAAAAAAGTATATTTATTTATAAATTACTCCTTATTGATAGGTAGACCTTCAACTTCTGGTGTGCAATCAGTCAAGTCATAATCCCATAGAAATTACCAGGTTCATGCTTGACAGGATATTTTGATTACAAAAAAATAAAGTTCGCCTACAGTTACCTGATAAAAGCATAGGCTTCCTTGCACTCGGATTAAGTTATACAGTAGCACGCAAAGTAGCTAATTGCTACATTTACTTACTTATGCCGCACTCATTTTACTTTCCCTCACACTGTGAAACTCAGGCTAAATTTATATTTAACTTAAGTTAACTTCTTTTTTTACAACAGATTGCTATAAAACTGTTAATAACGTGTAAAAGAGTTCATAATATTTATAGTAGGCCTACAGTGACTTGGAAATCTCCTATAGTTAATACCAGGAGCAGGAAAAATATGTAATCTGAAATGGCAATATAGGTTTTGGTGTCATCAAAAGATGTGCTCTATAGGCTATCAGTGGCGATTCCAAGGAGCTAAAGTCCCCTCCCCCATTTGACCCTGGAAGTATAAATTCAAACATACACTTTGTTATAAAAATGTAACAAAAGTTTTTGGACATATGTTCTAGAACTTAAAAGAGGTGTTAAAAAGTCACTAAACCGCTTTTAAAATAGCAAATTTTTCCCGGACCCCCCTCCTCGGTGTGGTAGCCCCGCCTTAAGGTCCTAGAATTGCCAATGTAGACTATTATGTTCAGAAATGATTTATTAATAAAAAAAGAACATCATTCCGACCTTTCAAATAAAACTAAAAATATCTCAGAAGTTCATAGCCTGTTATTTAGGCACTTTTGAATTAAAGTAATATAAATTCAGAACAATTTATTTGTACCTGGTTTGGATTGGGTATTTATTCATTTTAAGTGATTTTTTACTTTACACAGAGGTCAAGAAAGTGCAGGAATCGTGACAAGTGAAGGAAACAAGAGGCATTTCAATGTAAAAAAAGGAATGGGAATGATCAACATGGTATTCAATGACGAAGCAATGAAGAAACTGAAAGGTGACTAATTTGAAAAATGACAGTTTATTACTTAAAACTGTTTCAAATTGAACTAGCCTAATTTGAATGTCTAACTGTGTTTACAGGTGAAAAAATAAATTATTTGTGATCCTAGAATAATTTAAAATTGTAAACTTACCAAATGTGTTAAACCAAACATTCAGGAGTAATTTTTGGCGTCCCCTCAATATACAACCCACCTAGCTAAATATAAAATTTGCCACATAATCTTTACGTAATTGTCTCACGTAAATCACGTTTGCGGAAGATAACTACGATGTTTTTGTGATGGAAAGAAATGATCACAATGTTCCCACCGTGATCGCGCGAGATAGCCTAGTCGTCATGATTGCAGAAGATAGTCACGATGTCTTTGATGTTACTGTGAAGTAAGTCATCATAGAGGATGATCTAGAGGAATCTTCTGGTGCTAAAGAAGAGAAATTTGATACTTCTGATGAACTTGGGTAGCCTAATGACACACTGCCCTCCAGTAGCTTCAAATCATTTTTGCATCTGTGCTATTTTTGTGGTTGTTAATTTATATTTAAAAAACTGGCTGAATTGGGCGCTGAGTTTGAAAGGTTGTGGTGTCCTATCCGATGAAGGTGGTCTTTTTTGTTGAAAAAAGTGCCAAAAATCAATAGGGTGTTTATTTGAACCCTTTGAATGCCATGCAACAATATATCGTTGTTAACTAAATTCTCTAAGGGATATAGAGAGGACACACAGGATGGGAATCGAACCCGAGCAAACGAATGCTACTGGTCAAGTGACACATGCCCTAGCCACCTCGGCTATCTGTGCTTGGAGACTATGGAGTAAAACCCGGCATATAAGCTGACGTCAACAATTGCCAACAGATGGCGCTACAACCTTTATACTTTTTTATACTTTTCATTCCAAGTTATTCAATGCGTTACTAGGTAGCAGCACTAGTTAGTCACAGTCTGTTTTGATGGCATTTTTCAGTTGAACCACAGCAGTGATCGTAAATGGTGTTACTGAGGTTTTACTGACAAACACATTTTTTTTCTTAAAAGGCTATAACAATCTTATCTAACCACATCAAGGTTTAATTCAATATTACCTGGTATGTTGTAAACTAGATGTCTTTAGATTTTATGAGACTTTAGTTTCAAATAATGCTATCAGAGAGCATTACAATTTATAAGAAAACTAGAAAATTTACAACAAAAACATAGTTTTATTCGATGTTTACTGTAAATACCAAGACTTTTCTTTGTTCTTTGATTTTGTGTTATATATGTTCTATTGACTTATTATTCCAAATTAGCCTGATTAATAAAATAGTGAGAACAAAACAGTTACAATTCAACAACAGGTAATAGAATTAAAAGATAAAAGTTATTGGCCTAGAATGGTGTCGTTTCTTAAGTGGGCTGTCACTGAAACTAAAAGCTACCAACTATAAGGATGCCACCCATATAAATTAATCTTACTTTTCAATGCAAGCAATTTTTTGTTGTTGAAAAAGTTGTCAAATTAACCAATTTGTAATACTACATAGTTGATTTAATTTTACTTTTTGTGACTTTTTATTGAGCTCTTTATTTGTTTACCATATTGAGTTATGTTTAAATGTTTGTTGTTAAGGAAACCTAGGGATCGGCCACACAAGGTACTCCACAAGTGCTGCCTCTGACGAAGTCAACTGTCAACCGTTTGTCGTACACACAGCACATGGAGTCATGGCTGTGGCTCACAACGGAGAGATCGTCAACGCTAACTCTCTGCGTGAGATGGTAAGTTGATAGCAAAGAGGTATGCTGATTTTTTGCAGTTGAGCTTTTTGACGAACAATATACTCTGTAGATGGTAGCCTATATGTTTTAGTGATTAGAGTGTGGGGTTTATGTCGATTCCACATTTTAAATTTACAATCTAATAAGGTACTGTATATAATTCCGATCCCACCTTAAGAAAAAAATTAAGTTTTTCCCCTTCAAAAGAGCAGTACAATAATTTAATGTAACTTACGCAAGCCAAACGTTTGCTCAGGATTTGAATTTCACCCCTAATTTTTATACCTGGCATAGTGATATCTTTTTACAATTAGATTTTAGTCACACCTCAGAGGGCTGCGATGTTTTAAATAACAACTTCAAAGAGATATTTTTAGTAGAGGTAGTCGTGGTAGAATGAGTGGGTTGATTTTCTACGTTTTCAGAGATGTTATTCCACTTCCAGCATGAGTTGCAATCTCATTAAGTTGTATTGCCAATAATCCTCAAACAAATATGCAAGATTTAATGTTCTTAATTGTTTTACTTACTGTTTTAAAACGTGCACTCTGCAGGTATTCTCAAGGGGTGTTGGCCTATCGACCCACTCCGACAGTGAGCTGATCACGCAGGCGTTATGTCTCAACCCGCCCGAAGGTGAGGTGAACGGCCCTGACTGGCCGGCCAGGATCAAGCAAGTGATGACTCTCGCCCCCCTCTCCTACTCTCTGGTGCTCATGCTGAGTGACAAGATCTACGCGGTCCGAGACCCCTACGGCAACAGACCACTTTGTATCGGAAAGATTGTACCTCTCAATAGCAGACTTGGTATGTCTGGGTTGTTTTACTTACTAAACTTAATTTTACCTGTTGGGTCACAACAAACATCTTCATCTGTACTCAGTTCAGTACGGTACCAGTTTTTGGATTTGATTTACACTCTCATCATCTTGTTTTTGTTCTGACCACCAAACTCCTCCTGCTTTTCTTTGGTCTACTTGTCTTTTTGCTACCTTGCGGGTTCCATTCCAGAGCCGAAAAGACTGGCTGTAGAGTTGGACCTTCTTTATGTGTAACCAATCCACAACAATCCTGAGTGTAAACTATACAGAGTGTGTTCATGGTTAGAAGTGTTCAGTGGACTTTTATAAAAAATTCATTTACATGCTTCTAAGAGAAAGCGGTCCAAACCCAATAAATGTTTTGTGGATGTACCAGGAATCGAACCCGTGTCTGCCTCACCAAAGCCCAGAAGGCTAATCACTAAAGCAAGCATCACACAATGAAGCTTTGATTCTACAAGTTGTTGTTAGAGGTGTAATTTAGTTTCTACTGTCTTTTATTATTCATTATTTTTAATATTTTTATCTACATTAATTTGATACCATAGACAAGTATTGTGTTTACAGTCTATTTTGTTTAAAGTATGTAAAAGTATGCCTATAGCAGATTTTAAGTGTCACCAAAGTTATTGTCTAAATTCTCGTAGCATTTACAGTAGAACTATCCGAATCACTCACAGAAAGAATTGGAAAAAACTGCAATAATAATAATTGTTATTAATTAAAGAAGGCAGAAGCCAAGATTGTGCCAAAATCCTGAAAATCTCCTGTGGTCACAGAAACATCATCGTTGTCTCCTTTGATTGCGGCAAAATCTTGATTATCTCGTCTTATACCATCATCGTCTCATGTGAACAATTGGACCTCATCAATGTCTTCCGACGCTCACGGAAAAATTTTCATTGTTTTCTGTGATCACGGCAAAATATTGAACATTTTCCACAGTGTGGTAAGCATAATTGGTCATGTAAAATCATCATTGTTCTCTGCAATTGCGGGAAAAGCTTGAATTAATACGTTCAGTGATCGCGATGATGGTAAAAACTTGGCTTAATCTGGCCTACTCTCTATAAAATACTCTGTGATACAGTAAATCTAAACATCCAAATGTGGTTCGGTCCCTATTGTTTTGGATAATTGTAGTTCTGCTGTACAAAATATTATTCCATCTTCATGGATAAGCATTATTTTTGTGATCCATAAGTTTAAAAACACTCAAACTAATTTTTTTGTTATATATCAATAACTCCTGTATTGTGTACAATTGTTAACAGTTCACAAGTTCAACTTATTTTAAAAGGCTGTGATCATTTCCACTCGGTGTTCTTTGTTTGATGAATCTTTAAATTTGCAGAATCCAATGAGGCCGAGGGATGGGTGGTTTCCTCTGAATCGTGTGGGTTTCTGTCCATCGGAGCTCGCTACGTCAGAGAGGTGTTACCGGGCGAGATCGTAGAACTAACGGAAACTGGTCCTCGGACTGTCACTGTTGTAGACAGGCCCGATGCATCACTCCCGGCTTTCTGCATATTTGAGTATGTCTATTTTGCCCGATCGGACACTATTTTTGAAGGTAAGTGCTTTAAATAATTTCAATGTAGTTAAGCTGTCTCAAGTTCTTTGTACAGTAGAACCTTAATAACAAGACTCTCATGGGGATTGTTAAATAAGACTTGTGATCAAGGTTTACTTCTTATCGAGGTCTGTAATAACATGTGATTAGAGGTAAAATAATTTCAAGATTTTTTTAAGATGACACTTGTTATCGAGGGTCTTCTTATCAAGGTTTCACTGTAGTATAAAGTATTTCTCATTATTTTTGTTACTGGAACATAGATATACCAAGTGTCAATTATAGGTCGGCCGCTTAGAAAACGACCTCCTCCAGCATTGGTTTAGCATTAGCGCGCAGGTCGTTTTCTAAGCGGCCGAACTAGTGTATTATTAATTCTTATTGTTATCTTATTGCCAAGAAACTTTTACATAAGAGATTTCACCTACATTTGGTGAATAAAGACACCTTTTGTGTTACAGAATTAGTCTGTCACTTTTCAATATGGTTGTCAGCTCCAAGACTAATGCAGACTAAAATTTTTTTGGACTTTTTCGGTTTTATATCAAAGGGAGACCTACTAAAAAATTTTAGGGAGACCTACTAAATGTCCTAAAAACATTTTTTTCTCTTTTGGTACAACATTTCATATAGAGTTCAAATGATTTGTAAATGTAAAATGTGGAACGTCAATATTTACATGTAAGCTGAGTTAAAATGTCCTCCTTTTCAAGCAGCATTGTGGATAATAGCAAGTTATACCCCAAGTTAACATTAAAAAAGTTATGTTAGTTAAAAATAAGCCATTGAACAGCACAGTGTCCCGAAATTCTTTTGTACAAACACAGGTCAGATGGTGTACACAGTGAGACTGGAGTGTGGCAAGATGCTGGCTAGAGAGGCCTGGGTAGACGCAGACATTGTGAGTTCAGTACCAGAGTCAGGCACGGCTGCAGCACACGGCTTCTCAAGGGAGGTAAGACATGACTGTCTATGAGTATACTCATTGAACAAGCTTCCTAATGAGAGTAGGCTACATGTTACCAAGCATGTTACTAAGCAGGGAGTGGCAAGTTTGAATATCTAGTTGAATGTTGATCACTTCACTAAAACAGTAACGTTCTTTGGGAATGTACTGTAATGTACGATGAGTGTAGAATGGATTGGTGATGATCTGTATAGTTGTCATTAAAATTAGTGTTCAGAGATATGAAATTAGGACACCTTTTGAGAAGTACGGGGATGGTCGAAACCCTGAAATTTTGAATCTCAAAACCAAAACTGAAACTTATGAAAGCGAATTTATAATCTCAAAACCTAAACGCAATACTTGCCTGATTAAAAATTACAAAAAACAAAAAATACAGGTTTATTATCAAAAGAAATTGGATTTTTTACAAATACCAAATCATAAATACATAAAATTGCTAACATTAAACAACAAAAATAATATTTGTTAACAACAAAGACTGACATAAATGAAACTCCTGTCACAGTCATAATACCATGAATGAGTTCAATACTTATTTACTTTGTTTTGAATCTCTAACCACGCTGATCAAATCTCAAAACCAGAAACTTCTCCAAAGTTTTGGTGGTTTAGAGAATTGAGATTTGGTTTTGACGCATCATTGTATAAGTAATATTTACTTAAAATTTGGAGCTTTGAAAACCACAGTGTCAACAAAATGTGGATTTATCCCTTCCATAAAACATTTGACGAAAGCTATACTCCCTTTAAAAAAATTTGGCCAACAACTGCATTATAAAAGTATGCAGATCACATGGTAAATGTAATAAAGGCCACATTTTCATATTAATGTCCAGCTGAATTTGTACTTGAACTAGGCCTATCTGCTTTATAATATTAATTGAAATCTTTTTATCTGAAAAAAAATATGTTTCTAAGCAAAAAAATCTATTTTGCCATGTCCATCCCAAAAACTCTCACTGTATCTGAAGACAGGATGCCGATCCACATACTCCTAACATAAAGATTATATCATCTTCAATCAGTGTGTAATATGAATTTAGTTTTTAAATATTTTGCAATCCCTTTACCTTGTGATTTCAGTCGGGCATCCCATTCGCTGAGGTGTTGTGCAAAAACAGGTACGTCGGAAGAACCTTCATTCAGCCGTCAACTCGTCTGCGACAGCTCGGAGTGGCCAAGAAGTTTGGAGCTCTATCAGAGAATGTTCAAGGCAAAAAGATAATACTGATTGACGACAGCATCGTCAGAGGCAACACCATCGGACCGATTGTGAAGCTGCTGCGAGACGCTGGCGCTAAAGAGGTCAGAATATGGTGATTGATTGGTTTAGTTGATTGATTCGCATTTCAGTTTTGTATTCATGGTATCTATATATTTAATACGCTAGGCATATTTTTGTCATAATTGTTTTGGAGCGGTAGTGCTACCGATCACCATGTCCAAGGTGTCATTAGAAAGGTCTTAGCATGTAGTTTTGCCATCAAACAAAAAACTTAGGAATTCCATCAGGGCTCTGCCCCAGTGGCCTTCAAAGTTCCCATGTTATTCTTAGGGAGAAAATGTTTGTTTACATTTGAACTGATGAATACTTTGAAATTGACACTAATTTTTGAAACAGCTGGTTATACTAAAATTGGAGACATGAGCATATGGATTTATTAGATTAGTTGAAAAGATTGATTTTTATGTGCACAAAATGAAAATTTAACCAAAAAAACGTTCGACATAATGGAGACAATAAGACGTCGACCAGGACGGCCAATAGAAGGAGGCCGACGAACTTTAACTGGTAGACGTGAACGAAATACAAATAATACTATTGTCGTTGATAGCCGAATACAGCAAGCACCCTTTTGTGTTGTGTTTAAATAGGAGAGAACAGGAAAAGTCTTGGATAGGAAAGATCTGGAGATGAGAAAATAAAACTTGATGAGAGACAAGGAAACAATTGAGACGTTTAGGGAATTGGATAGAGAAATAGGAAAAACCAAGGATACGCACAGGCTTTTAAATAAAAAAAAGAGACAAACGAAAATAAAGAAAGAAAAAAATTAAAACTTCCCCATGAAGGTGAGAGGAAAGGTTAGAGTGTATCCCAATAATCCTTATCACTCAGGGCAGGAGGAAGGGAGCCACGCCCTTAGGGTTTTGGACACATATTGTGTCTGAACGAGGATTGAAAGTGGCCAAAGCCTGAGAAGAAAGAAGATTATTCACGGGAAATCGGCCTGGCAAATAAGTCCCGGGCTTCAGAGGTGGTGATGGGAACGAGGGGCTTTGGTTTATGATTTAGTCTATCATCGATTTAATCAAAAGATAATCTTTTACTGACTTTCACAAATAAACTGCAAAAACTGCACGTAAACTGCGAACTTAATTAGGCCTTTAACCATCTCCACCTTTAACAACAAAACCAAGAAACCAGAAAACGCCAAATAAAAAGATCAATAAAAATGCTTCATCTCCTATGTCTAGATTGCGCACGATTGTGTGCGCCAGGTTCGCTAGTTTATATTGTTTTTGTAGATTGAATAACATGAGTGGTGTGTTTCTAACTATGGCCCCCTGAAGTCGGTAAAACAAGATATTATAACCTGAACCTTCTAAAAATATTCAGTTTCTCCTTATTAAGAAACTGGCAACCTTTAAGTTAAACTATCATTCTAAACAATGGCTTGATGTAATTTTAATTAAACTCTACGGTTTTGTTACTGAATTAAAGAAACTTTAAGGAAAAGTTTACTACCAACCAAACATTATGGGTGTTTCTAAACTAATTAATCTAAATTGATTTTGCATTTGACATTTGAAGATATCCTTACAAGTTGATAAGCATACTGCCTGCTAACCTATATTTTTAGGATCTAAAACAGTTGAATTTCCAACATCAAAGCTATGTTGCAGGTTCACATCCGCATAGCTTCCCCTCCCCTCCACTACCCTTGCTACATGGGCATCAACATACCGACCAGAGAGGAGCTCATTGCCAACAAACTGGACACAATGGGCCTGGCTCGACACACTGGTAAGAGTAACCACTCACAGAGAAAAATAATGCAGTGGAAACTTAAATAATGCGCGATTTGGGTGCCACAAAATGGTAGGGTTGAGTAATAGGCAAGTAATTTTTCAAGATTTATAAGGTTTAAATTACCTTTTTCGTCAATTGATCCTTGTGTTATAAAATAACTACAGCTGTTTCGTTCTGCTATACGAGCACATCTTCAAGTTAGAAAGCTAAAACAGTTTTCTCATCGTGAATGAGGTTGTCAGCATTTGTAAACTGCACATGTATCACACAAAACGATATTTAGGTATTTACAATAAAATCCATGGACTACTTGGCCAAGTTTTTTATTGTAAATATATCAACGTTTTTCGTGTCATGTGTCCTAAATGTGCAATGTACAAATGCTGATGACCTCATTTACGGATGAGAAAACTAACCTTAAGATGTGCTCGTATAGCAGCACAAAACAGCTGTAGTCTATCTATCTTCTATACTGTTATAAAGAAGAAGTGGTGTCTGTCTGTCTGTGTTTGAATGAGATAAACTCAAAAAATACTGAACCGACTGGGCTCAAATTGGACAAAAATTTGCTGCAGCTCAAAGGATACATATAGAACTATTCCCGCTTCGATATTGACCAAGGACTTTGCCCCAAAGGGCTTTTCGGAGTTCTGAGGTGAGAGTTTTATTAAAAGTGAATGTTGATTGGTCTCCATGGTAACAAAGAAAAAATACACAAAGTTTAAATGCAAACAAGCAGAACTGTCAAATGAAATTTAATCCCAAATTTCCAAAAAGCTGGTTCAAACATATTAAATACTGCAGGAATATTAGAACAGAAAGGGTATCGATCATAAATTTAAAATTATGATGTCACTCGCCCTAATGTAAACATTATTTAACATTACTTAAATGGAGCTGTCAAACCATATGTTAATGTCATTTCATTTGTTGTCAGTTATTAAAGTGTTTTTATTGGCTCGCTTTCTTGTCCGGTCCAAATTTTGCAATCAATTTTTAAACTTATTATTTGGCTCTGTTCTGGTGGCAGCCCTAAATTCTCATGTTTGAAGAGGCAAAGTGGATTTATAGATTAATGTAGCAATTAAAAAATATCATATCAACAAAAATTAACACCATGTCTACTTCATCAAATGACTACGTACGGTCGTGGAGAGACCAAAATTACAAAAAGCACAAACTTACCGTACATCTTTATTAATCTTGAACTTCCTTTTTTTACTGCAAAACCACCGGCACAACAAAACTAACGCACATCCCAAACCAGTCTCTAAAACTAACTGACGCTATCGCCGGCAGGCTTGCCACTGTCAAGTTCCAAAGTTGCAAATTTTGCCATTATGGTCGGGACATCATATCAAGGAACAGACTTATTTTGTCATGGTAGTATTTTGGTATATTTTTTTAAACAAATGATGTCTGGTGTTTCTGGCCTCTTGGTAAATTAAGTAAATTTGTCCTGGGTTTAGGTCTTACCATGAGAATTACGGCAATAACTTATCGCCTTTGTGTGAATTTTACTATAACACTATAATAATTTCAAACAGGAGCTGACAGCTTGGCCTACTTGTCGGTTGAAGGACTTTTGGAAGCTGTAAAACACAATATCCAGCGGAGCAACGGACTACAAATTGGACATTGTACAGCCTGTCTCACGGGGAAGTATCCTCAGGCTCTGGAGTGGTGATCCTTGGATACTGGATATGTTTGAAGCATTCAACTTGGGCAAGTCAGAAAATTGGAAAATTGTTGGCTTTAAAAAAGTAAATAGCAGAAAACACACAGGATCGGTTAAAATACATTGGGAAAGTACTTCTAAGTATGAAACAATTGTTGTATTCATCTATTTGCATTAGATTTTTGAACCATGTGAATGTAGAAAGTGTATAATATGTAGAACTTAAGTTCAGTCTTTTGGTGACTTTCTTAGTATTAAATAATTGGGTAATCAAACTGCTCAGGGTAAATTGTTAGCGTTATTTTCTTGATGGAATCAAGAATATATTGAGGGATGCATTTAAAATGTGAAATCAATGTTATATTTTTTTCAATGTAGTCAACCAAAGAGCTTATCTGAACTTCTGTTTTAGAATCAAAACATTCCAATGGTACCTTCTTATGTAGTGGTAAGAATCTCAGGTTGTTAGTGTTAACCACAAAGGATGTTTATAAATGTTTATTCTTCTTTGTAGTAAGGGAAAATGTTGAGGTATTGCTCAATCTACTGTTTATATGTCTACATTTGTTGTTAAAATACTATTTACAGATTTTTACATACATGTAGGCTATACTTTTATACATATTTTTATATTAGATATTAAAGTTTATAATTCAGTATACAAACTGTGTTTTCATTTGCCCCTTCTTTTTGATATATTGAAATAAGTAAATTCATATCACATAAAAAACAAGATACCGTACAATTAATTTAGTATTATTCTCCGTTCACAAAATTTAGGCGGTTTTAGGGGAAGAAATTCATAATAATTAACCGTTAAGAATTAGTAAAATGAGGAGAAAGTATGTGTCTATTTGCTGATAAAGTATTTTATTTTTTAAATATTTGATTAAAAAAACTATTAAAAATTTGTTTTTACACACAAGGAACTTATATTAATCAATGACCCCTGGTAAAAGCTTGAAAATCAATTTGTAAAAAAAGTTAATGGGTTTAGAACACTTGTGCAAGCATTTGTATTACCTTTTAAAAATGCCACTGGCATATACACAAATAAAATACCAACTTTACAATGTTGACAGTTGACTAGCAAAATGAATCATGTAAGAATAAAAATGTATATTGTAAAAATAATTTTAATTGTTTATACATATTCCTTAGATGTCTAAAATATACTAATATTTTATGTACAATGGTAAATAAAGTAATAATAAAAAATAAAGGAAACTTTGTTGTATTGAAAGTAAATCTTTCTGAACACAGTCAGTATTCAAAGGAAGATAATTTACAATGTAAACTAATAAAATTAACTCTACAGACTAGAACCGACTAGACTTTCTATAACTTCAGGCTCCTTCGGGCACAAACTGGTTAGAAGAACGGGGTTAGAATCTGTTATCAAAATGTTATCTTCAATTCTGATCCCTTGTCCGCAAAACTCTTCATTGACGTTCTCATTGTTTTCCGATATATATAAACCTGTAAACATTCATTCTATACTATAAGTTGAAAAATTGGCACTATGAATACAATTTTTTTAAATAATATTGTTTATAAAATCCATTTAATCTTTTCATAATTTAATAACCAACGTTACTTTAACAGGTGCTATAATTGACTTTCAGATTCTGGAGCTAACATCTGGGCAATCTGTCGCTTACTTAATAAAAAGAACATAGTTAAATGAACCACTGGGAAAAATGCTAGTCTAAACTTGTATTTTCTCCCTCAGGCTACGACCACACGGGCATTTTTTTCACACACGAACGTTGCCTGAACACACGCAAAAAATATGAGCAGCATTAAATGTAATCGGGGAATGCCAACCGCAGGGTGTTTTCCCGCAGTATCAGGCCTTTATATATATCTATCTATAAATTAATAGGCAAGCATGTTTCTTTAAAACCTTTTTTCTCAGTTTGTGTGCATCACAGGGAAAATCTACGCATACTGTTAGAAAGATGTTTTCCTGTAGATGTGCAGAATCCCTTTAAAAGTTAAAATAGGCTCAAATATAAGCACAAAAAATGAATTTGAAATTACAAAAAATTAACATGGGCTCTATGGGTTGCCATGCTGGTGACGAAATAACAACGAAATATAAACGTGTGGGTTGAAAATAGAGAAGTTTGTACCTTTGACCATGGATATAAAATACTCCTTTGATCTACATCCTCATGTTAAAGTTGTAGCGAGTTTTTAAATAAAATTTGTCGTCGTTGATGTGAGCCACCAACAGATTGCGCTGATCTAAATGACTAATTTCTGTCGAATACACGATGTGTTTTACTAAATCAAACTTATGGAATGACTTATTATGAGCTATAGCAACTGTTATGACCCATCAACTTTGTCAGCAACAAAAAATAAGGTAGAAAATATGATTGTAGACACACATTCTGTGACTGGTTCACACAACTACATGTTCTTTAAAAAAAAAAAAAAAATGGCGACAGCTGGTCCATATAGAAGGAATGTCTACTTCAGTATCCAATAGTCAATGCGTGTATGTGCATTACATATTTTTGGTTGAATTTTCGACCACTGGACGACCTCAAGTACTTATTTAATACACAAGCAGGTTTTTTGTGACAATTACTCCTCCGAAACTACTGAACCGATTGATATGTTTTTGGTGTTATTGGAAAGAGCGTAATGTGAAGTTGTGCAGGAAACTTTCTATTTAGGGAAATAATTAGAGAGTGAGGCCCTGGAGCCCTTTAAAGTTTTGTATTTCTCCATAAGATTAACATGGGAACCAAAATTGTTATGAAAATCCAGCTGTTGCCAGAATTAAACGTGAGAAGAAGAACATATTTTAATTGTAAACAGTCAATAAGTTTATTAATTTAACAGTTTGCTACAAACATTTACTGACTTGGTTGAAATGAAATATTTACTATTTGAATTAAGGTTAGCGTAAGTATTAAATTAGAAAAAAGCGAGAAAGCCTAGATAATTTGACATACTAAAAAGAAAACTGAATTAACACTGTGCTGCATTTCTTATTAATCATTGAAATAGCTGATTTGCAAACTATGTCATCAGAAATTATGACTGTTATTCGTTTTAAAATATTGCCTGTAATACTTAGCAATTGCTCGAATTGGAGCAACAGGGACACTAGCATTAGTTTTAATGCTGCTCAAGCGTTCAAGCATGAAACAAATGCCTGTGTGGCTGTAGCCTTAGTTTTGTTACCGAGATGGTTGAAGTAACAATACACAAGCTATAGCTCACAATAAGTGGTCCTGTCAGTTTGACTTGATTAAAAAGTTGTTTAAAAGTAGGGATGGTCAGGAAATTTTAAATCTCATTACACAAGACGAGATTTATTTTTGGCCGAGATTTTTATCAAGCCGAGAATTAAAAAAAAACCCCAAATAATATTACTTTAATAACATTTGAGAAGTTTTGTTAAGTGTAAGCAGTGTGAGAAATGTTTTATTATTATAAAAAGTCAAAACAAGTAACTATTTTATAAAAATTAATATTGCTTTTATATTATAATTTATTTTATTTTAGGATAAGTTGAACTCTATCCTAACTGATATCACTATGTTTCCTAATCGTAGGCATTTTTAATAAGTTAGGCGTGATTAATAAAAAAATGTTATGCTGACGTTTCTTAATAAAAGATTGTAAATATTCTTGAGTGGAGGATAAAACACAATACAGAGTTGAGGCAATTATATATGGACCCAGACATAGTGGCCGAGGTGAGAGGTAGGAGAATGAGATGGGCTGGCCATCTACTAAGGAAAGAGGACGACTCCTTAGTCAAGAACGTCCTTTTGAACAATCCGGAGGGCAGAAGACCACCAGGAAGGCCCAAGTTGAGATGGCGAGACCAGGTTAGAAAAGACCTAAGAAGACTGGGAAGAAGGGAAGATGAGGCAATGGATAGAAAAATCTGGAGGCAGTGTGTTGGCGAGGCAAAGTACCACCTTGGGTACCAAGAGCCACGGCAGTAAGTAAGTAAGTAAATATTCTTGCCTATTATCATTATTTTTGTATTTAAACAGTCATCTAACAATGTTACAAAATCAGGTAAAAAATTTGAACATGCATTTCCCATTGTGTATGAGAAGGGAAATCCCGTCTCGATCTCGTCTCGAAATTCTATGAGAAATAAAAAATCTCGTCTCGTCTCGTCTCAAACTAAAAATCCAATCTCGTCCATCCCTATTTAAAAGTTTAAAAAGTATTTGACAAAAATCATTTATATGTTATGATAATTTCTATCCTGTTCTTTCTTTACTTTGCTTCATACATTGTTGATTATGTGAGAAATATTTTGTTTACTTGTTAATTTTTTTTTTTTTTTTAAGAGGTTGGCGGCCTCTTTTAACCTTGCATTTGCCCGTCAAAATAGACTACAGATCTGTGCGTGGAACGTATCCAGCAAAGCAAGGGGTGAGCCGGTACAGTACAAAGGTGAAATGTACTGATAAAAGTTAGTGGCAGTGACCAGGATCCGAACCCACGACACTACTGCCTCGGGCCCGAAGTCCGCGACGCTACCGACTGAGCCACCGACTCACATTACCAACTCCAAATATGTTTACATGTGTGTTATTGCTTAGTAAATTCAAGTATTTATTCAGGAATATTGTCTTACTTTTACATTACATGAGCACTCTCTGTTGGTAACTCATTAATATCCATCCTAAAAATGGCAACATTAACTCTGGGAATGGAATGTATAGTTCTGTATAATAGTCAAGGCGCTATATAAGCAAGAAAATTAATTTAGACCATTAGCATTTACAACTCTCCGAATTTAATTTTGGACAACTCAAGATGAATAAAACAGCTTTGATCAAACCGGACTGGGGATGTAAAAGTTGGCGCACCTGGTTCCACAGTGATAACCATGCCAGGCTGCATGTTGATGCTGCGTGACACGGAGCCAGTGTCATGGACGTCCATGCCCAAGTAGTGGCTAGCATGGTGGGGGCAAAGCTCATACGCCATCTGAAACAACACATTGGTTGGCAAAGAAATGTGTAGAACAAGGTTGCTAGTTAATACGGATAAAAGAGTTTTAAGAGACTAAAGTACCTTAAAGTACCGTGTAGTAGAAGCACGAAAGTACAAGGAATGTTATCAAACTACAAAGTACAAGGAATGTTATGGAATTCAATATTTTACAGTTTAGCTAAATCTGAAATAACATGTAATTCAAAACTTATCAGAACCAAACTATTCAAGGCTGGATATTTAATTAGTTATAAATCATTGAAGCAATAAAATACCATAGGATCTATCGAGTAAAATGGATGTTTCTGTTTGGAGTTTGGTATAGCCCTATTAATTTCTCAATATGATACTACTACCATACCACATTTTGCAAAGCATCACTTAGACGTCAAGTGTTACAGTTGTACAAGTAAAATTCACTTTAAAAGAGAGTATGATTGACATCAATACATTTAGACACTTTTGGCATTTTGGGGGCACTTAACCACAAAAACATGCTCTAGATTTTATTATTTCATAGGTGGTATTTTTTATAGCCAAGTTCAATGAGTGCCACTACACTTTATCAATTATTTTTCCTCAAGTCAAGAATAGTTGACACATTCCTCAACTGACCCTGGAAGGATGGTCCTTGTTGGCGGTCTTTTTGAAGACACCGGCTTCTATGAGTTTTTGCCCCAGCAGGTGACACATAACGTTGAACAGATGGTCCAGTGAGTTGGCCGGATGACACAGCGACATCAGCTGTTGTTGAGTCTGTTGTACGATCTCGTACAGGACCAACTGAGGTTGTGTGAAACGACCGGACACAGGCCATGTGCGTGTCAGGTCACTGCAGTACCCGCTGAGCGAACAGCCTACAGCAAAACACACTCAGTCAGTAATCATTTGAATCTACGAGTACTATAGTTTACATTAATAGTCAACTGAAGTCACTTATTTCCTTTGGGATCAGTCTGATTGCTTTTTTTGTCTTTTGTATTTTTTTTCAAGATTATCCTATTTCACGGATCATTTGATAGGTAGGTAATCTAAAATGTTTTGTTACAAAATTTGTCACTATAGACAACACGGTGATTTCAAAAAGTTTTCCAAATTTGTACATGATCTTTGATTACAGATAGAATGTTAATTTAATCTAAGATAGACTAGACATTCCATTTTAAGTTTTGAGACCAGTTTAACTCGATTAAAAATAAATACCCATGCCGCAGCAAACCTGCAGACTAAACGAATTTGAATTTGATTGGATTCATACTCAAATATTTCCTCAATAGATACATTCCCCGTTTAAATATCATTAGATGTAACGAGTACTTAGGTTTGCTGCCACAATAAAGGTAAAATGTTTTTTTTATCAAATGGTAATAGAAGGAAAATTTGATCAACATGTTTATAAACAAACAAACTACAACAGTTTTCTTTTTCTCTGTAACGATAACATAGAAATTTTAAACGTAGAGTTTGTAAATTGTTTTCCTCAATTGTAGCCCTTAATTATACAACACTTTAAATATACAAAATTATTAATTTTTTTTAAACTTTCCCTACACAATTGTACTTGAAATTGGGCATTTCCATGGTTTAACGGTAATAGCTACTTCCCTATAGAGAAATTTTGCTAATGTGAGTGTAGTTGAATTTTAATTGACTTGGCATTCAAGGAATGCTTTTATTTTGTGCCCTGATGAAAATTACTGATTTCTTCCAAGTAGCCAACTTAATGAAGCCAAATTGAAATTACAAAATATTATAAAAACTATAGCATCTTTTCTTCTATTGTATCACTCAACAATCTTCGTAATAAATAAGGGTCAAAATGGAATGTTATATTGTAGCTCACTGAATGAGAGACTCATTCAAAAAAACGTTTTGATTGTAATACAAACTGACTACAGCTGCCAGCTGGTTCATATCGATGGGATGTCCCTAAAGTGAATGTTTATTATATCTTAATCTCACCATGTGAAAGAAGTTAGGCTCACCGCTCACTTTTATATGAGACACCAGCTACAGTACCCACTCTAATGGGACCGGACTTAGGTAGAATAACTCAAAAGGTGGGTTAAAACAGGCAATCCCTACAAACATAAATGAAGTGCTATTCATTTGGAATTATATAATCATTATTTTGAAGTTGTACTTGCTTTATTTATGAAATAACTACACTTATCTCCTTTTAGCGAATTTCCCATATAGGGAATATTAGCGAATTTCCCATATAGGGAATATTAGCGAATTTCCCATATAGGGAATAAGCTATTACCGTAGTACTCATGGTACTACGAGACCGATTTAATTTTTTATTTTGAGGTCCCTAGAGGCCAAAAACACCATCCGTTCAAATTCATATATATATATATATATATATTTATATATATATTTATATATATATTTATATATATATATATGTGTGTCCGTTAGCGCGATAACTCGAGCCAAAATGATCCGATTTTGATGAAATTTGGTACAAACGTGTAAACCTACGTTTATTCGAACGAGTTCGCGATCCAGCATAATCGGACCATGGGAACGGGGGTTTATGGGGGGTTTTATGGGGTAAAAATGGGTTTTTCCCATTTTTGAACCTAAAAACAAAAAATTTTGCGATTTCTTTCTAAACCGTTTTGTAGAGCTTAAAAAAAGAAATAATTTAGTATATTGAAGCACTGTTGTATGCCTAACGGTCACGGAGAAAATTCAAAAATAGTGTAATTAAAAATTCCCATGTTATTCTTAAGGAGAAAATGAAAATTGTTGTAGTTTACTTGTTTATGGGTATATATTGATAAAATTTGGCAAATTTATTTATTTCACCCTATACTATTGACGTATGGTCAAAAAACACTTTTTACCTTCCCCGTAGCAGCAAACCTAAGCACTCGTTAAATCTAATGTTATTTAAATAGGGAATAATATGTCTTATTTATGGAAATATTTTAGTAAAAATGTAATCAGACGAGTTGAAATTCGCTTAGTCTGCAGGTTTGCTGCGGCGGGGGTATTTTTTTGTATTGATAGAAAAGTTACAAATAAACAAAAAACACAGTTAAGTCAAATACTTTCAGTGGAATAAATTATAGTTGTAGGCAAGAGTCAATAAAAATTCTTATTTTAATATCTTTAGTACTGTAGTATTTTTTTTTTTTTTTTTTTTTTTTTGCTTTCCAAATCTATCGTAATACAATACAAAACTTTTGTCGAAATTAAAGATACTAACAACCATTTTGTTACGAGACAGGATGTTCATTTGAGTTACAAAAACTATCTTATTCTTGGAGTAGTTAACTCCCCTCTCCTGCCCACCCTACAAGTTGCGTTGTTTGTTTAGTCTAGTGATAAGATAATTCTAGATTATTTAACAAAAAAGCAGCTGTTTTCAGAAATATTAACTTTTTGCTTTTTGGGATTAATACAAAAAACTTATTCTTAGTTATATCCTGAGGAGATATAAGCGTATGGTTCCCATCGCCGAACATGGGAACAAAAATACTGAGATTCCTAGAAAGCGGTGGTCAAACCAAACGGCTCTCAAAGCAAGGTTGGTTAAAACAAACTGTAACATTTTACGATCGAGGGCAGATAATCCGATTATCGGTTAATGAGAGGTCGGTTAAGAGGGAACTGTACCTTGAATTTCAGATTTTAAAATCATCAAATTGCCAAAAAGTACGTCTAAGATTTAACATTTACAAAATTACCCATCTACTTTTAAAATAGTCCATAGGCCTAAATCAACATAGGAGACCTTTTTGATCCACCATAAATGCAACTCCCTCACTATTCCCATTTCACCTGCGTCCATGAGTACCATTTCGCCGGGCTGGGTGACTTGTGTGTTGGCAATGTAGTGTATAGTGTTGGCGTTGTTGCCAGACGCCACGACTGGAGGGTAGGCCAGGAAGTCAGCACCCTTCATTCTGCTTTCGTAGTCCATCTTGGCAAACAACTGATGTTCTGTGACGCCCGGCTGAGTGAAGGCAATTGTCCGCAACATTGCTAGACATGCGATCTCACACGTGTGGGCCATCAGCTCCTGCTCTGCTGCTGACTTGATCAACCGCTGTTGATGCAGAACAGGCCTTGGAGACTCCGAGGACTGTGCAAAAGTTACAACTACTGTCAAATTTATTTCAAAATTTTACTTTACAAAATATTATAGAAAAAAAAATACTTTGCAACAAATCTGTAGTTGATTGCAATTTAGTTGAGGAACAACTACCAAAATTTACTAACCAATCTTGATCCAAAATTCAAATTTGTTTCCATTTACCCCATTCTATGGTACGGTACCTACAAAAATCAGCTATAATTAACAAGGCCTATCCAGTGCTATTTGAAGTAAAATGCTTAATTTTGCAGTTCCCCTTCTTCTCATTTCATAATTTCTTTAAATAACAACAGTGTGATTTAGATTGTTACAGAAAGTAGTTGTAATCAAAAAACTAAATATTTTACGAGTTACAAAATACACTTTGTAAAAATCACCATTTTGTCTAAAAAGTAGGGATTTTCTGACCAAACCATGATTAAGAGAGTAAAGCGTCATATTGTTAATTCTTGAAAGTCACACATCTATGCAAAATCAAAACTAGTTTTAGAGGTTCAATACATTTATGAGTGTTTTCGTAATAATGTGTATAAAAACCATGATTAAGAGAGTAAAGCGTCATATTGTTAATTCTTGAAAGTCACACATCTATGCAAAATCAAAACTAGTTTTAGAGGTTCAATACATTTATGAGTGTTTTCGTAATAATGTGTATAAGCGTTGTTTTTTGTTTAATAAGTATTTTTTATGTATTTGTAGACTTTCTGACAACCTCTTCGGAGTGATTTAATGACCCTTCTTCACCTGAAGATGACCCCATTGCTTGGTTGAAACTGGTCAATGCTCATCAGTGGTGTGATCACATTAAAATTATTTTAACCTCTAGTAGCCTATTAATTTAGATTGTGGTCAGGAGGCAGAAACAACAAAACTGAAACTAGTAAGTGTTTTACATCCATTATACAGCAAATTTACATTTATTACAGAATTTCGAGAGAAGTATCCTAGTTGACCGGTTGACCCTAAAATATTTTAGGGCAATTTAACATTAAAACTATGTGTTAGGCCTGTTCAATACAAAACTTACTTTACCAGTGATTCTTGACGAGAATGTCTCCATAACAGAGTGAACTTCCGGGTGAATATTAGAAGAAAAGTCATACCAGATTGTAAACTGTTTGTAAGTCTGGGCGTAAGATGATAGAAAAGTATTTAGTTCTGTGAATGGAAGGGCTTGATCCACCCCAAACAATTCCAAAGCACCTTGCACGCCTAGAAAATAAAACATTTAATTAAATACCCTCGCCGCAGCAAACCTGCAGACTAAGCGAATTTCCATTAGCCTGATTGGATTTAGACTACATCCTTAAAAATATCACATTTATTCCTTATTTAAATAGAATTAGTTTAACGAGTAGTACTTAGGTTTGCAGCAACAGGGAGAGTAAAAGGTTTTTTTTTGTTTTTTTTTTTAATGTTAAAAGTTAAGTAAGAAATAAATGTATTTTCCAAATTAAATCGGTCCAAAATTAATCGTATACGAAAAAGTAAATCGGTCCATGCGGTCGGCGCATGCTAATTGACAATTAACTTCACCTGATTGAACTATTGATCTATTGCATGCGCCCCATGTTTTTTTTTTTTAATCTTACAAGTATAATTATGTATTTAAGTATTAATATATTTATAGTTATTTTATACTTTTTAGTGTGTTTAAAAACATGGCATTTTTAAAAAGTATTTTTATTTAGCCTATAAATTATTTTCTAATTTTTAGTCTTTAGTGTGTAAATATGTTACATCTATTTTACGTAACCAAAACCTTTTTATCTGTAATCAGATGTTTTATCTTTACTTTGAAATGCTTGTTTTATATTTTTAGAATATCTCGGGAGCAGAACCTGTACCTCTTAACCTTTGCTCTTCTAACTGTCAAATTTAAGTATTTACTGACTTAAATTAATTGATATATTTACGGCAGAGGCCATTCGCACTTCAGACAAGCGCCGCTACCGCGCACGTCTGTTCCAAATGGTGCCATATTACGTTCCTAATCCAGTTACTTTTATAACTGTTTTGGAACAGGTTGCACACAAAGAAAACCTAGTATTAGGAACGGTAGTACCTCTAAACCTCACAAGCCGAAATGGATGGAATAAACTTCACGTTTTCTGCCCGCAACTTAAATACTGATTATGAAAGGAGACAGTTCTAAACTGTCATATTGATGGTCCGTAGATCCATGACGTAATAGTTGATTATAAAATTAAGATAAATAATAAAATTAAACTGTCATAACCTAACCAAACTAACCAGACTTGCTGATAATGAAAAAATCGAATGTTTACTAAACATGTCTCTATGTTTGAAATGAAATGAAATGAAATGAAATGAAATGAAATGAAATGAAATGAAATGAAATAATATTTTATTTCCCATTAATTATTTACAGACAAGTACATTGTATTTTTTTCTTTTCTTAAATATGAAACAGCAAAATATTACTAACTAGATAACAAAACAAAAATTATATACTGTAGAAATAAGTAAATAAAGTGTTAAAAAAAAAATACATTCTATAAGAAAGGAAAAAGTCTACATAGGCAGGGCCTGTGCGTAGACTGAGTTGCGAAAAGATTAATTTAAATGGGAAGTAAAAAATATATAAGAGAAAAAAAATCGTATAATTTAAACCTTTTTTTTATTTGTCTTGCTTGAAGCTGAATTTTTAGTGTTCTGGAATAAATTGACGGTAAAAAAAAATTCTTTGTGCAAACAGAGGTAGGCTAATTTATAATATCTGGTGAAGATTGAAGAGGAGAGGTGGGGTGTAGTGTATTAGTCAGTCAGTGAAAGTGGTGTATCAGTGATTGTGTAGGGTCAACGGTCAGGTCCACCCAACGCGATAACGGCCTCGGTGTCCTCTGTACTCAGACCAACAAGCCACCCCACAACATGCTTCTTAAATAGAGAGAGAGAGGGTGAATTTAGAATGTTGACATTTTGATATCTGTTACACATGTTACGATAAATGATTTGGGTTAAGTGAAAGCAATTCGTATTTGAAAATGATTTGAAAGTTTGTGGAACACTTACACCAACATTTCGAGAAAAGCGCGTATTGTGGGGATGAGTAATTTTTACAAAAATATTATCAAAGTTTTTGTACATGTGAACTAAAATAAATTTTAAAAATAACTGCCTGACTGTCAAAACTCCCGATTCTACAAAAAGATCGTCAGTTGAATATCTAAAGTGTTTTTTAAAAGCAACTTTAAGTATTGTTTTCTGCACTACAAAAACAGGTTGCAAGATAGTTTTGTAAGCACCACCAAAAGCAATAATTCCAAAAGACAACAATGATTGAACATATGCATAGTATGCTATTTTAATTTCTTGCTCTTCGAGAATATCACTAAGTTGCCTAAATGCATAAATATATTTACGTAATTTATTTTTTAGGTATTCAACATGTTCCGACCATTTCATCTTTGAATCAAAAACAATACCAAGATATTTGTATGAATCAACTTTTTCAATTTTGCTACAAAAACAAGAGTTATTGAAATGATTTCCACAGACATGAATAGTTAGGTTATCAAGTTTGTATTCGGTTATCTTGCGTAATGAAATTGGCATAAATTTTGTTTTAGATATATTAAGGGACAGTACATTTTGATCAAGCCATTTTTTTAGTAAACAGAGGTCTGATTCTGCCTTGTTTTTAACCTCCTCCCAGGATGCTCCGGTTACAAATATTAGAGTATCATCAGCAAATAATGTTAATTTCCCTTCTGTTTGAATTTTAGAAATATTATTAATATAAATGAGGAATAAAACAGGACCAAGGGTCGAACCCTGGACTACACCATACTCCACTGGCAATACATCGCTTGCCACTTCACCAAGTGCGACAGTTTGCAGCCTATCAGAGAGGTAGCTGCTGAACCAAGCGAGCGAGGTGCCACGCACCCCGACAAGCTCAAGTTTACGCAACAACCTACTTCTGTCCACTGAGTCAAAAGCTTTTTTCAAGTCTAAGAAAATTAACATGCTTCGTTTGTTGCCATAAATTGCCTCGTTAATGTATTTATTAATATCAAATAAAGCATCAGATATGTTTTTGTCACTCCTGAAACCATACTGATTTTCACTTAAAATATTGCACTGGTGGAGGTAAAAAACAAGTTGATCTTTGGCAATTTTCTCTAAAAGCTTAGCAATTACACTTAACAAAGAAATCGGACGATAGTTATTCATGTCTGTGAAATCATTAGATTTGTGCAATGGAATGATCTTGGCCAATTTAAGCTCGTTTGGGAATATACCAGATGTCAGGCTAATATTGACAATGTGCAGAAGAGGAGCACATAGAGAGTGGATGTTTTCTTTAAGAACAAAGGCCGAGATACCATCATGGCCCGGCGCAGACCCTCCGCGCAGACCCTGGACGTAACGTTCTATGTCAGCGTGTGTGATCGTGTTGAATGTAAAATTCGTGTCAAGTGAGAAGTCAGCGTCGTTTACGACTGGAGCCCCAGCTGAATTTATTGAGTTGGCCAATTTAGAACCTACTGATGTAAAAAAGTTATTGAAATCGTTTGCTATTTTAATCTTAATGTTCGCATTATTCGAAGAACCAGGTAAAACTTTTTCAAATGGGAAATGGTCCTTAGTGCAATTCCTGCCTGATATTTCACTAACTATGCCCCAAAATAATTTTGGATCCCTGTTAGATTCTGAAATTTTACCCCTATAATAATTTTTCTTTGCAATTTTTATGTTTTGATTTAAAGATAGGCGCAGGGCCCTGAATCTATCTAGTAGTAATAAATTAAACGGTTGGGTTTTGATCTTTTTACTTAGCTTGTCTCGTTTTCGAATTAATTTTATGAGATCTACGGTAATCCAAGGCTTTATTTTTTTAAATCTTGTAGAGTGATGTTTGATTGTTTTAGTTGAGGCTTTGATGCAGTTACTCAGTGTCGAACAAAAACATGCTGTGCACTGATTAACCTCGTGATTGCTCATGATTGGACTCCAGTCTGTTTTTGTAATATGTTCAGTTAATGTAGCGTGATCAATGTAGGTGCGAAATTGGTTCTGTGACTGAGTTTCAGTTCCTGTAGGTGTATGAATGGTGTTAGTGATTGTAAGAGCAGTGCTGTAATGGTCAGTGATATGAGAGTGTATGACAGCAGATTTGACTCGTCTCATATCTTGGAAACGGACAAAAATGTGGTCAATACAAGTAGATGTGTTGTGTGTCACTCTGGTCGGCTTGTCGATGCACTGGACTAGTCCAGCGCCTAGTAAAGTGTTTAAGTAAAGATCCGTTATTGCATCAGTTTTGTGTAAGTCGATGTTAATATCACCCAAAAAGATACAGTTAGTATCTTTACTTATGCGATTATAATAGCATTCCAAACCAGATATAAAATGATCAATTTCACAATCAAAAGTCCTATAAACAGCTAACAGATTGAATGTTTTATTAAAAAGACTGAATTCCAAAGAAATACCAAAAACTCTGTTGATGTTTACTTGTGTTACGGTAGCAGACAGTTGTTTGTTGATGAAAACAATGACTCCGTCATTTTTGTTGTTTTGTGTATCTGTCATTGTACAGTCAAACCCGTCCATGTGACCCACCTCCCCCCCGCTCAACCAACACTCTGATAAGACGATGATATCTAGATTAGCATTCAAAGACTGTAAATACACTGATAAATTGTCAAAATTTTTTGAGAAACTTCTGATGTTCGTGTGAAATATTTTAAGACTACTATTTATTGGGGGTTCATTAAAAAAAATTTCGCTTTCAAAAACATTATCCAGCTCCAAGCAAGAATCGTATTCAAAAGGTGTATTTTCATCTATGTTGCCAATCATCGTCCCGCATAGGCCCCCCTGCCCGTGCCTATCCTGATAACTTAAATAATAAATTAATATTTACATACATAAAATGAAATTATGCAATTATTAATCAAACCATACAAATCTAATCATCGAAAATTACTTGAATTAGATATAATATGAGTTAATACACGAAAATTTTACTATTAGGATTGCTTTACCTCAGAACACTTAAATACATAATTTCTTTTGGAACTAAATAAATAAAATTGTTATTGAATAGCTTAAATTAAATTAATGGTATTTTGGTGTAATAAATATTATAAAATAACTAATGGACTTTTCTTGCATCCCTTGCATCTCAATTAAATACTGAATAAATAATTCTACTAATTTTACATGCAAAGAAACATGCTATTACAAAGATTGAACTGAGGTAACAAATAATTTAATGAAATATTTCACTTATTAAACTCCATGCAATTGTTCAACACATGATCTTTAGAGTACTAGATAATTAGTTTTTCTCTCAATAGTAGTGATAAAGGCTGGTAAAAAAAAAATAAGTCAACACTTGCAAATAATAAATAAAAGTTAATGAATAATGAAACATATTTATGTTGCAATAATCATGCTTTAAAAAAAAAAATGTGAAAGACATAAACATAACAATAACAACGACCTTGATTAAATGAAACATTAAAATAGTGATTCTAAATTTAAATTCAAAGAGCAAAGCTAACTGAACTGAGATCAATAAATATTTTGATAAAAATGAAACTACTTTAGCTTTAACCATAGGAAGAAACATAACTGAATACAACATATAAGTTTATCATAAAATTAAAATATTATAAATTTTTATTTTGTAGTAGATTTGTAGTATATTTTATGCATGCCTAAAATAAATTATGAAAAAACTTAAATTATGAAATAAATTATGAAAATTACTAATCAAAAACATAGTTATTATGTTCATAAAATACAATTATAAATGCCTCAAATTCAAGTTTTTTTTTTTTTTTTTAATAATAAAATTAAACTGTCATAACCTAACCAAACTAACCAAACTTGTTGATAATGAACAAATCGAATGAAGGTCTAATCGAAAAAATAACTTAGTTCTGTTCATAAAATAACACTATAAAAGGCTTAAATTTAATTTTATAATGTTTTAATAATAAAATTAAACCCTCATAACCTTACCAAACTTGCTGATAATGAAAAAATCTTAGACAAAAAAATAGTATGACCAGCGGTATTTGAACCCGGCACCGTCAGATTATCAGTCCGGCACGCTATCCACTAATCACCGAGGCCGATGTCGTATCACCGTATCGTTGCAGTGATGGTGTTCGAGAGCCAATAGAATTGTGGAAAAAAGTAACTGTTCCCTTTGCATTATTTTGTAATACTGGAACTGGAACTGCAACGAGAACGGGGTTGTGACGTCATTTTGACGTGCGAATAGTCACTTTGTATATTTACATTATTTCAAAATGTAAACATGGAAAATGTGGAAGGCCATGGGGCGTAGCCCAAGGGAAATATGAAAATTAAATGATATAATATTGCATTGTCATCTATGTTTCGAGTTTCAAGTCTCTAGCTCATCGGGAAGTTAGTATGAAATTGATTGCAAAACTTGTACCGGACAAGAAAGCGAGCTAATAACAACGTTTTAGTAAAAAGGAGGTTTTGTACCCAATTGATTTAAGTTCAAATGTGTTTACTAAACTGAGAAAATTACAAATGTTCACACATTTGTTTTCATGCTAGGCCTACTCATAAACATTTTTCTGCCTAAAGCAACTTGGTTTAAGGGGAGTCGGATGGCCAAAAATTTTTTTTTATCAAAATTTGGTTTTTTATGTTGTATTATTTGTCATTTAACCCTAGATCTGGCGGTCATTTTATTCACCAGTGGCAGGTACATTTTGGCCCTTTTGTAATGGTAGGCCTACCATATATCTAGCCACAGAACATTTATTTGTGAATATAAGTACACACATGTATATATTTTCTGTTTCAGTAATAAATGTAGAATATAATAATATAAAAATATTTTTTTCTTAGCAATGCGTTAAGGGGTAGTAGCAAAAGGTTTGCAAATTTTTGGATTATACAAATTGGAAATTTCTAAAGCAACCCAAAAGAAAACCACAAAATAATTTTTTTACACATTTTATCTAAACGTAAAGGTTGTGTAAAATATTATTCCCTACGTAGCAATATTAATGTTTTTTAAATACTCAGAAAAATAAAATTAAAAAAAACTATTCTATATACATATTTTCTTGTTTGAAAAACTACCAAACTGTTTTTGTCATGTAGGAAATGAAATAATAGAATGCATCAACAGAAAATCAAATGATTCTGTACAATAGGAAATAAAACCTCATAGATTCAGAGGGAATTGTAGGGAATTTATTGTAGTTTCAGAATATGTACTAATATTGTATACAATGGGCGCCGTTCTGGGAACATGTACCGGTGCACCGGTGCAGATTAACCGGTGACTTACTCACCGGTACCACCCCGGGGCAAGATTCTTGGTACGGTATCCCAGAACGGTTAATCACCGGTTTACGGTACACATCGGATTATAATTTACACATCCACCTACTATTTACTTTATAATGTTTAAATCAAACAAACTTATCCTCACAGAATAAACTATTTGAAAATTATTCACTTATTACGTAATATAACCCCCTCATAGAATAAATTATTCACTCATTACGTAATTATAACCTATAAAACTGATATACATGATTCGATGGACCCGCCATCTTGCCGTGGTTGCATACTGTTGTTTAAGAAACTGACTAATCAGAGGCCGCCGGTGTATTATGCACCGTACAATTTCTCCGGTGCATAAATCTTGCACCAGTGGAGGAAAAAGAGGAAATAGCTGTCTGCTGGGTTAACTCACCGGTCTCCCAGAACAACACATTGTATGAACCCGTGCAAAAAATGCGTCGTTCTGGGAGACCGGTGAGTTAACCTAGCAGACAGCTATTTCCTCTTTTTCCTCCACCGGTGCAAGATTTATGCACCGGAGAAATTGTACGGTGCATAATACACCGGCGGCCTCTGATTGGTCAGTTTCTTGGACAACGACAACAGCATGCAGCTACGGCAAGATGGCGGGTCCATCGAATAATTTAATAGTTCATCAGTTTTATAGGTTATGTTGCGTAATAAGTGAACTATTTATTCTATGGAGTGTTATATTACGTATTAAGTGAATAATTTTCTAATAATTTATTCTGTGAGAACAAGTTTGTTTGTTTAAATATTATAAAGTAAATAATAGGTGAATGTGTAAATTATAATCCGATGTGTACCTTAAACCGGTGAATAACCGTTCTGAGATACCAAGACTCTTGCCACGGGGCGGTACCGGTGAATAAGTCACTGGTTAATCTGCACCGTTGCAACGGTACTGTTCCCAGAACGCGCCCAATTTAATTGAGAATCGCCAAAAACAGCCGTTTTTGTAATCAGGTGACCAAAACTTTCCACCACCAAAATCTATTTTGAACTCTCTAGTTTTTCAAACTATGTTTCTCGCTACATAATACTCACTCAATAATGTTTTATGCATGAAAATGAATCCTCAGAATCTCTTCTTTCTAATGGTATAAGATTTATTGGGTTTTAAAACAGTTTTTATATTTTAATAATAGAAAAACCCGACCCATGTCGTCTTGGTTGATAATCGACTAGCGCCACTGAGAACTCGCATTTTAGTGGTCGAAAATCGACCAGCGCCAGATAGAGGGTTAAAGCAAGTTGGGCAGCAAAAAATCTCTTCCACTACAATCCATTCCTTAGCTTTTTAGTAATACAGTAGGTGAAACAGTAAGGCTTATTATATAATTTACTAGTTACTACGCTATTATTTTTTCACCTATTACTTCCTTGTCAAGGACTTTTCAGCCAATCGCTGTTAATAAGAATCGCCGTTATTTCACTTGCACCTTCTAACAGTGCAGACAACATTGCTAAAATAATAGGGTAGGCCTATTCTCAGTAATCTATTACCAGAGTAGTAGGCGACACTTCAGTAATGGTATTATTTATCTTATTAAGTTAAAAAACGCCCACCTTTACAACCCACCTGTTCTCGGACCATCCCACTTTTCTGCGTGTTTATCTTTCTTCCTTAGAAATAATATACAGGAGGCGTTGTCCTCGTTCGGCACTGTTATCACAAGGGCGCTGTCAGGCTCCAGACATCCTGTCAAGTAGAGGAAGTCTGTATTCTGTCTGAATACATAAGGTATCTTCTCCGACATGTACACTTTGGTAGCAGAAGGAATAATCACAATATGATTGCTTTTAGGGTTGGTTTTTGATATGTTGTGAATAAACTTTCTTCTCCTTTCAATAAATTCACTCTTTTGCAAACCTGGGACAACCTGCAAACACAAGAATGAAAATTCAAGCAGGGAACAGGCCTAATGCAAAACAACAATCTGAAATGATCAGTAGCTTGACAGACACTATATATTGTATACATTTCCAGTTTTCAATCTGTACAGTACATTTTGAATGTTAATGCTAAGGTCTTCAAGAATACTGGCTAGTATTGGTACTTGTACCTCGGTTTATTTCCACAACGCAAGTAGGTAAATATTAACAAGAAGTAGAAACATAGTGATAAAGGACACCAAGATGAATTCAAAGTGGTATTTACCTCACCAGGTTTGAGTAGGTGGGGGTGAGTGAGAGGAGTTGGTTGGCCGAAAAGCCGCTTAGCAGGTTTATTCTCGACAACAGATCCTAATTCCTTAGCCTCTTTGGGTGTAGTGGTCGAATAGGCACAAAGTATCCTCCTTCTAACTAAAGTGACAGTAAGAATTATGTCAAAACTCACAATAGGATTGGAAAATTACATCAACAGAAATGATTAACATATGCTATGATCTACTTTATCTCTTGGATATACAATAAATTTGTAAAAGTTAAATGATTGAAGATAAAGAAACTGAATTTTAGGCCTACTCACCAGATTCCTTAAACATACACTCGCAAAGGGTTTTTTTGAAAAATAACCTTGATATAGGGAACATTTCTTTGTATTGGTCTTCTGTTTCACCTGTAACAGGATAAAAAATATCAAAAAGTGGCAATTGCAGAATAGGCTTTTATATTTGACTAATTAATACAACTATACATTCCATCCCCATGTTAAATTTGTAGCCAATTTTCTATCAAAATCCTCGTAGTTGATGTGAGCCACCTACAGATAAGCACTGATCTAAATGACTAAATTCTTCTAGGTGCCACCGAAACCTAGTGTGTCCCATTGTTATTTGTTATCTTTTCACATATCTTTTTTGATTTCTGTCAATTTTGCTATGTTTGAGTTACCATTGCTATTTTTGATCGATTGTTTAAAACTGTTATTGTTGGAACAAATGTTTACCATTGTTATTGTTTTTTTATATGTTTGTTTGTACCTTCATTGTTATATTGTTGCTTTCCTAGACAAAATAATATTTCCTGTTACCGATGTTGCTCCTGCCATGTAGAATAGGCTAAGTACATTTTTCTGCTAACATGCATGTTGTTACCACATAGGCTTCTTGCTTCCACATTGCAAATTGGTAATCTGCCGTTGAATAAATAAAATAAATAAATTCTGTCAAATATACAAACTTTTTTCCCACATCAAACTTATAGTTGACTTGGTGAGCTATAGCAACTGTTATGACCCATACCCTGGTGAGCAACAAAAAATAAGGTATAAAATAGAATTTTAGACTAGCGCATTCTGTGACTGGCTCACTCCGACTACATTCTTTTTTAATAAAAAATTGCTACAACTGGTCCATATAGATGGGATGTCTACTTCAGTATCCAATAGTCAATGCTTGTATCATAGCGAGGTACTGTAACTTAAATAACACTGACTGGCAAGTATTGTAGTAACTTAAATGTGTCAAAAACTTTAACACATGGTAAACTTGTACTTTTACTTGAGTTGATTACTAATGAAACTTGTAAAAATTGGCTTTTGCTGTAGTGCGAATAAATAAGTAAACAAATTTGTTTCTACACTATCATGAATCACATAGCAGGCTTGTTACGGTACCGAAAGTGAGATGTTTAGAACGTTTGTAAATTGTTCATTTGTAAGATGGATTCTGATCTGTTGATATTAGGGTTATGGTGGTGAGATACATATTTAATTGCTTAACACTGTTGTTGCTTAAAGAATGTGACCTACTGCTCAAGTGATACACAAAGACAAAACTATAAAGTATAAATGTTGACAGAAACTGTGACTTTTAGACCTGATTGATTCTCGACCTTAAGAGATAGTAGGCTACCTCAAACACAAGGTTTGAATCTGGTGCCAGTTGTTAATTCTAGTGTGTAGCCTAAGAAATATAGCAGTTAGTTATATAAACAAAAGAGAGAATGAAGTGGTTCTAACGACTACAGCTGAAATTATACAAATTGGATACCTTCAATTATGCAAGTAAGTATGGAAAATAGACTGAATACTGCAACTGCTTTCGAAGCATATCCAAAATTTGGGATCCAAATTACTATAAAAAACCACAAAAATAAGAATTTATAAAACCATAATTTACTTTTGTATGGATCAGAGGCTTGGACAAAAAGAAATGTAAAGAGTGAAAATATTCTCTTGCTTCAGAGAGAATTGGCCAATACGCAATGGCAAAATAACATGCTAAGCCAGGATCCAGGCTATGCTTTCGATCAGTTCCTTAAAGTACTTATTTTAAATTTTAACACAGTCTTTCCAAGTAAGAATTAACATAAGAAATCTCCCAGTAGCAGTAAACGAGACAAAAATAAAATAGGCCTAATAGATAAATCCTGGTATACACCAGATTTCAAAAAAACATAGTAACTATGTAAAAGCCATATGTGACAGAAGTATGAAAATAGTAGTGGAAATAAGGATAGGCTGTTCTCCCTCTATTTGAAGGCAAAAAAATCTTACAGAATCAAGGTGCAGGAAGCTAAGAAAAAAGCAAACATGAGCTACATTGAAGCGTGTCCGAACAAATGCAAAGCTGCGTGGGACATTGTTAAGATCAATTCACCTTAACCGGATGTACCAAGCTCTGTTAATAGCCCTGACGATTTCAACAACTTTTTCATCAGGTCAGTGGAGGAGATTGTGCATGTGCAGTCGCTGGCCGAGGACCCCAACGGAGAGGTATGGAACAGTGACGGAACCAATGTAAGAACCACAGAATGTATGCTGAGTCAATTCAACATGGTGAGTTCCAATCAAATACTCAATATAGCCTAGTTAAAATTTCATGAACTCTTCCAGTCCCGACTACTATGGTATTTCTTGCCATATCTTAAAATCAATTATAAGTACATCATATAATAGATCCACTCACAAAACTGATAAACCTATGCTTGGTCAAGGGTGTCTTCCCTGATTGTCTGAAGATAGCTAGAACGGTCCCAATTCATAAAATACCCCCGCCGCAGCAAACCTGCAGACTAAGCGAATTTCCATTTGACTGATTGGATTTACACTGAAATGTCTACTTAAAAATATAACATTTATTTTTGATTTAATTAAATAGAATTAGTTTAACAAGTACTTAGGTTTGCTGCATCAGGGAGGGTAAAACTTTTTTTTTTGTTGTAAAATGTGAATAGTTAGTAAGAAATAAAAACATTTTCCAAATTTGATCAAAATATGTTCACAAACAAGCAAACTACAACAGTTTACTTATTCTCCATAAGAATAACATGGGAATTTTAAATTTACAATTTTTTGGAATTTTCTCCGTAACCATTAGGCGCATAATAACGCTTCAATATACTAAATTATTTGTTTTTTTAAGCTCTACAAAATGGTTTGGAAAAAAATTGCTAAATTTTATGTTTATTGGGTCAAAAATGGGAAAAACCTATTTTTACCCCATAAAACCCCCCGTAAACCCCCGTTCCCATGGTCCGATCATGCTGGATCGCGAACTCGTTCGAATAAACGTACGTTTACACGTTTGTACCAAATTTCATCAAAATCGGATCATTTTTGCTCGAGTTATCGTGCTGACAGACACATATATATATATATATATATATAAATATATAAATATATATATATATATATGAATTTGAACGGATGGTGTTTTTGGCCTCTAGGGACCTCAAAACGAAAAAAAAATCGGTCCCGCGTCCAGGTCTTACCATGAGTACTACGGTAATAGCTTATTCCCTATATGGGAAATTCGCTAAAAGGTGATTTTAGTGTAATTTTAAACTACCGACCTATTTCTATATTGCCGGTACTCTCCAAGATACTTTCGAGTTCATCATCAAATCTCAGCTGCTTGATTACTTTGAGGACAATAACCTCCTTTCTACCTCTCAACATGGATTTCGGAGGGACAGGCCAACAGTCACTGCTCTGATATCCCTCATCGTGCATGCAAACAACACCTTTGAAGAGGGAGGTATTCTTGCCTTAACTATGAGTGACCTCAGTAAGGAATTTGACTGTGTCAGCCACAAGATTTTGCTCAGGAAGCTGTCAGCCTATGGAGTTAGTAGCGTTGCACTCCACATGCTTAGGCTACTCACTACTTAGACAGCCGTAAGCAGATAGTGTCTTTGGAGGGAACTGTCTCCGAATGTAGGCCTGTGGAGCATGGCGTCCCACAGGGAAGTATTCTTGGCCCTCTACTCTTTATTATACACATAACTGACCTGGACCTGAATGGAAAGACCCTTCTTGTTGCCGATGACTCAACCTTGGTAAACAGAGGATTAAGACGTTCTGTCAGATATCAATGAAACCTTCACCTCTGCTAAAAACTGGTTCCAGAGCAATAAGTTAAAACTGAATGAAGATAAGACTCAAAGAATATTATTGTCTCTAAAAAGAGAAATTCCAGCGGGGAACAATGAACCAGTCAAAATTCTAGGCTTCTGGCTGGATAACAGGCTTTATTGGAACTTTCATGTGGCCAAGGTCTACGTGCAAAATTATCAAGAGTAATTTGTCTTCTGGAAATTTATCATGCCTTGTTCCACAGTCATTTGAACTATGGTCTTCTGTTGTGGGGACACTCAGCTGCTTGCAGTGATGCTCTTATTCTGCAGAAGAAGGTGCTAAGAGTAACGGCTTCAACTCATGACATGAAAATGAAATATGGCAGATCATAAAAAAACAAGGAGATCTGAGACAACAAACTTCGGTGGGGTGACCAGGTTCAGAAAAACCTTCTGCGGATGGTTACATCTATTACCCAGCGGCAGACAGTCAACAGTGGAGGCAACTCGTTGGCAAGGCCAAAAACCTTTTTAGGTGTGAATGGCCAAGGAGGTAAGGTAAGCCTAAAAAATTACCGGTATGTTAAAATCATCTGCATGCGGTAAAACTGGTGTGAGAGGGTTTCTAAATAAACTGACAGGATGGGTAGTCTTGTCTCTGGGTTGCACTGTGGATCAAAAAGGCTATATTTTGTTACTTTTTGGCTTGGCCTAAGTAACTTATCCTCAGGTGTTTCTTAACTGGGCTACCCTAATATCAATTTTAAATATCGATACCGGTAGGCCTAAATAATTTATATTTTTAACTAAGTTATAGGCTAGGTACCAATTAGCCTATAAAATGAAACTGTCATAACTTAACTTAATATTATATTATTATTTAAGTTAGCATAATTATTAATATTATTTTTATTTAGCATTTGTTATCGAAACCATTATAACCTTATGTAGAAGTATCTAACTTAGTTATACAATTAAAATTAGTAATAACTGATGACCTGATTGTGAATGGCATTGCGGTGGAATAAATATTATTGGATAAACCAAACTTGCTGATTGGTTTACTAATCAGATCGATAGTTTCAATCGATATTAGGATAGGCACTGTTAAGAAACTGTAGGCCTACCCCTTAAAATTCATAAAAAGGGTACACTTCCATATCTGTTGGCACAAACAACCGAATGAGTAATATTGATTATTGGATTGTTTAGTTCGATATATCATTTGGTTAGTTAGGTTAGAACCTTACTTAACTTACCAAACCATCCTATCGAATAATCGATATATCGATCGATATTTTCATTCGGTTGTTTGTGCCAACAGATATGGAAGTGTACCCCATAAAAATGTTAAAAATATAAGCAAATAAGAGTTAGGCTAGGCCTAAGTTATATGACCAAATATAACGTAGAGGTACAGTACTCTTCTCAGGCAGACCACATTAGGTTAGATTAGTTGTACTACATTTACTTTTATTTAAACAGTTTGGGTTTTTAGCCAAACCTGATGTGGTCAGTATAAAGAGTACCCAAAATATTAGCAATGGTAAATAAAACAAGCTCAATTAGGCCTAACTTACCTACCAGAAGATTCCAAAAATGAAAAGAAACTACAGTAATTATACCATTCAAAATCCGAGGATTACTCAATTATTAAAAATCACTGTTAGACACTATTCCTATGTTAAAAATAAAACGTATATTCATTAATAATTGTCAACGTTAGAACTCTAATAATATGAGTAGGACAAGTTTTTAGTTGTTATTGTTTTGATATGAGATGAGAGTAGTCTGCTCTGCGTACTAGTGCCTGCCTGTTTGCTGAATTTTTATTTCAGGATCAGTGTTGCCTACAGTATTATTTTGAGGCTTCTGATTGGCTGAGGGAACATCATTACAGCGACGATTCGAGTGATGCCAACAACGGCCCCGGTGGTGTAGTGCATTGGATAGAGTGCTGGGCTGATGATCCGAAGGACCCGGGTTCGAATCCCACTCCAAGTTTGGTTGGTTTGGTTAGGTCATGACGGTTTAATTTTATAATTAAAACATTATGAAATTGAATGTGACCCATTTATAGTTTTATTTTATGAACAGAAATATTTTTTTCTGTTAAGCCTTCATTTGATTTTTCATTATTAGCAAGTCTGGTTAGTTTGGTTAGGTTATGATAGTTTATTTTTAGAATAAAAAATAGGATTTGAGGCATTTATAATTTTATTTTATGAACAGAACTATTTTTTCTATTAATAAACCTTTATTAGATTTTTTCATTGTCAGCACGTTTGGTTGGTTTGGTTAGGTTATGACGGTTTAATTTCATAATAAAAAATATAAAATTGAATTTATAATTTCATTCTATGAACAAAAATAATTTTTCAATTACTAAACCTTCGTTATAGTCAATCAGAAGCCTCTAAATGACACTGTTGGCAAAATTAATCCTGAAAAACGAATTATGCTGCCTGTTTGCCTGCTAGCCTGCAGCTCGAAACTCGACGTCCTTACTGTACCCACGGGACGGGCTACTCAGCTTGCGCATGCGCAGAACGCTCTTGGAGCACTTTCCGAGGTAGCTGTTACTTCTGATGTTTATTGGATTCTCACAGCTTTCAGCTGAAACTGTTATTCATTCCTTGAATTAAGTTTTGGTTACAGGCTGTACCAATTTGAAGTAGGTAATGTGATTTTATCAAACGGCTTTTAAAATGTAAAATTTTCCTGTGGTAGGACCTACAGACCCCCCTTTTTTTGGGGGTGCTCCACACCCCCAACCCACCCTTGATACAACCACCACTAACCAGACCCCCAGATTTATTAACAATCGCTCATTCTTGAGCAATCCGAAAAAATAGGTTAAGTGAGCATTTAAAACTTCATAAATAATCCATGCACATACAACATTTATTTGACAATACTTAATAACAAATCACTTCAGGGGCCCTATTTTTTAAATGGTTGACAGTTGAGTCAATCGTCAACACTCAACTCAACAGTCAACCATTTAAAAAATAGGGCCCCAGCTTCAGCACTTTCATTTTCATAATTATAATAACACTTGACTTTTCAAGCAGCTCAAGCATGGCCGCCTTTAACTACTTAAGGAGTTAAAGGCGGCCGTGGCTCAAGTCAAAAGTAAACAGACACCGAAACACTTTCACAATACAAAGATGCTCTGTGTGCTCAGTTCGCAACTGCAACTGTTGAAAGAAGCTACAACTATCTATCTAACAAGTTAAACAGTGAAGCTATTAAACAAATAGCTGCTATCCCAGGAACTGTTCCAAGGCCTTCTGTCATTGACACTACAGTGGTGTTATATAGTCAATGCTTCTGTGCATGTGGAAGCAGAGATGCCCGTGGGTACAGAACGTCGAGTGGGGCCCATTTCATAATAAAGTACAAACGTACAAACTAATATTATTAGTAAATCAGCTGATCGCCCAATGCAAATCTAATGGAAAATACAAGTTACAAATTGTAACTTGTAACTTGTAGTTTATTATGAAATGGGCCCATGGCCTATTTCATAATAAACTACAAACTATAGTTCGGCCGCTTAGAAAACGACCTGCGCGCTAATGCTAAACCAATGCTGGAGGAGGTCGCTTTCTAAGCGGCCGAACTATAATATTATTAGTAAATCAGCTGATCGTCCAATGCAAATCTAATGGAAATTACAAGTTACAAGCTGTAACTTGTAGTTTATTATGAAACGGGCCCCAGGTCGCGGCCTGTAGTTAAAGGTGGACGTGCCCTAAGGGGCTATGTTTTATACACTTCATCTATGGCAAGGCGTAACCCAATCATAGTAGATTTCTCATCCTAATGGAACAGCTGAAGACAATTTTATTCTTAGTTCTGTACGGTTTATGTAGAGGTCGTGTTTTGTTTACAATTTGTTTCCCGTTAATACCTCGTTTTAAAACCTCGTTTAACCAAATAATACGATATAATCATAAACAATAAATTGTCCCTTAGTTATTTAACTAAACAGTAAAGCACAAATCAAGAAATTAACCCTAAAATAATAGAAACAAAATTTCGTCGACACTAGCGCCCAGTGTGGCGTACATGAACTACACATGAAAAACGAGCTTCAAAATTTACAATGGGATGAGAAGTCTACTTACCCAATCCAAGGCCACACTAAAAAAACAACCGAAGCCAAAGCGGAAGAAAAAATCCCTTGGCTCAAATCCAGCATTCCAAAAAGGAATGAGTAATAAACTGGATTCAGAAAATTCTAAAAAAATAGTGAAATAGCCAGCAGACGTCGAGAGTCGGTATGTGATTGTGAATGTGCAGACGATCATTTTATAATCATATCGTTCGTTAATTGTTTGATTATTCGAGAATCGAGACCGACCAACGACCAGTTCCCAGTTATCAGGTTCCACTGACATCAGACATCATCAATGTTGTGACTTGTGTGTGAGTTGTCTCCTTTACATTACCCATTTAAAATAAAAATAAGAGGTAGGTTTTTGTAGAAAACCTTATGCTAACTTAATAGAATGAATTTGTTCATTTCAACTATTCTTAAACACAATTTTTTGTCCAAAGGCATTCTTGTACCAGCTTCTTGTCTAATTAAAACGAAGAATCTTGCAACTTCTAAAACGATGTCTAATGAAGAAACTTTGGCTCAGCAAGCAGCTCCAGGAACAGACACGATATTTGGGAAAATTTTAAGGAAGGAAATCCCTTGTAATTTTATTCACGAGGATGAAAAGGTAATCAATTCACTTCCCAAGAACCACAGGGAACGTATCATCCCGGTTACGTTCAAATAGGTCAAGAAAAATTGTATTTAGCCTAGATGTAACGATACACTTCCATATCTGTTGGCAAAAACAACCGAATGGAAATATCGATTATTCGATATGTGGTTTGGTTAGGTAGGTAAAGTTAACCTAACCTAACTAACCATCTGTTGGCACAAACAAATAACGATCGATTGTTCGATAGTACTATATCATTTGGTTAGTTAGTTAACCTAACCAAACAATATATCTAATGAAACAATCGCATAATCGATATTTTCATTCGGTCGTTTGTGCCAACAGATTTGGAAATTACCCAATAAGTAATTACCCTACCTAAATCGGTTATTTTGATCACTAAGACTTAAGGCCTAGTCTCAGTACAGTACACACACGCTCACTAAGTAACTTAGTATCGCGGTCGGGTCGATCGGATCAGACAACGCGACGATGGACACACGATGGGAGGTCTTTCATCCTCTGTGTTATTTCTTGGACTAAGTGTGTTGGCATTGGTGTGGAAGTCTTAAATCCAACATCAGGCCATGTTTAGCCTGGCTAAGGATGGCCAAGTTTGTCTAAAATATTGAATTGCCACCTTTAACTACCAGAAAAGTCCCTGAAAGACAATGCACCTTTGAAACTAATATTCTTTAGACCTATAGTTTCATATTAGGCCTACTGTAGATGCATTTTGATGTGTTTTAGTGTGTGGCATTTCATGATGTGAATCCCCAAGCTCCTGTTCACTTCTTGGTGATTCCAAGAAAACCCATCTCGATGCTTTCGAATGCAGTGCCATCAGATAGTGAGGTGAGTTAATCCATTACTTTTTCCAGTTTCGGTACTGTAAATATGTGTTTTAGGGGTTGTTTAATAGAATTTACTAATTTCCATATTTAACAACAGTATCTTTATTACTGAACTCAATCTGTGTGCAACTTGTAAATAAATCAAATGTAAACAATAACAATAAAGAAATAATATGACATATGATTATAAGCAGATCAAGGAATACTTTTAACCAAACATGCCCCTTTTCACAAATCTAATTTTTTTGGAGCTTTGACTATCCTTGTTCTGGTACGTTCAATGAAGGGTCGAATATACCACGAATTACGACGCAACTTTCTCCCATTTACTTCAACAATGTATGATCTGTTTCCCAGCACATCAACTATTAACCCTTCTTCCCACTGAAGGTTGGAAACATTCCTGATTATCCCTCCGAGTGTCCCTTGTTTTGGCCTTAACACGTTCACTGCGTTACGAGATCCCGGGGTCTCGTATCGCACCTAGCCCGTGGTGCGGGACCGACAACTTGCTATTTTTCCGTAAATTACGACATTGATATTTTGACCTACGATTATCGTAAATAAATGAAACTTGTACATAAATAATGTATTTTTATTGCTGAAACAGCTGGCATTCATGAAACAAACGAGATACATAGATCTCGTAACGCACTGAAGTAATAAACCTTTACTTTATTACGATACGAGACCTCTGGATCTCGTATCAAAAATAGTTGCTCCAAGCGCCACAGGTGGCGATAGTAGTCTAACATCAACAGAGAGCGCTAGGGTTATTTGTTGGTATATTGAAAGCTAACCTAATCATTGCGTTTTAGTGTGGTTAACTGTGTGTACACTGTTTATTGAGTTTTTGTAAGTATGTTTTCGTCCGATGAGGACAACCCTGACGACCCTCAAGTCCCTGACGATCCTGCTAAGGTGTACAATACGCGTAAACGACCAAAACTTATTGTTGTGAATGCCAGTAATAGTGCTTTCTTGGAACAACTGGTTACGGAAGGATTGGATGGGCCGGTACCTAGTAGTGCATTATCCGAAAGTAGTGACGATGAGCAAGAACTATGTGATTTCGATGGAAGCGATATTGAAGATCCTGACTATGTACCATCATCGGACGATGCTTCGTCAGGTGGCGATGGAGAAAACGATGAAGATGACAACTGCGAGATGGATGTGACAGCGATGACGGATGGGAGAACATTTCGTCAAGATTGTGACCAACGCCGTAAACTAACCGGCAGACATCTTGTCAACCACACACTCGGCGGAGGCGGAGACGATTGGACAATGGGCGAAGGCGGGGACGACGGAGCAGTCGGCAGAGGCGGGGACGATGGAACAGTCGGCGGAGGCGGCGAAGATGGAACAGTTGGTGGACGAGGTGAGGAAGATGGAACAGTCGGTGGAGGTGGTAGGGGCACGATCACGACCTCAGGTGGTACCAGCACATCGGAAGGACCTGACATAAACCAATTCGGGTGCTGTTGGGTCGAAGACAAATCACCTTTTACTTTACCTGAGACAGTTTATTTTGAAGAGTTTTGTGGAAATTCAAAAGTGAACATTAACGTTGACAACCCGGCTTCACCTATTGATATTTATCTCCACTTTCTAGACGAAGAGCTCTGGGACTACATGGCCCAAGAAACAAACAGGTATGCTATTCAATTTTTATCATCTAACCAACCTTCTGCAAAATCAAGGTCTAATGATTGGCTTCCCACAACATCTGCTGAAATGAAAAAATTCGTAGGTATTATGATTTGTATGGGCCTAGTTCAACTGCCGCACATCAATTTGTATTGGTCTAAGAATCCGTTATATGGAAACCCGTTGATTAAACAAACCATGACGAGAGACCGCTTCTTGTTGATAAAGAAGTTTTGGCATTTTGTGAATAATGAACGGATTCCTGACCAAAATGACCGTTTAGCTAAGATAAGAGTAATTGTGAATTACCTCAACTCAGCATACATGTATACGTTGGAACCTGGCAAGGATCTTGTAATAGACGAAACAATGATACCATGGCGAGGGAGGCTTGTTTTCAAACAATACATAAAGAATAAGGCCCATAAGTATGGAGTGAAAGTGTATAAGCTGTGTACAGTTGACGGCTATACACTTAAAATGATTTTGTATGCTGGGAAGAGCACAAACAGCCCCCATGGGCACACCTATGATGTGGTTTTAGATCTAATGGGGGATTTTGAAAGTGACGATGTCCTGATTGAAGGATTTCTCAACAAAGGAAGGACCTTAATAACTGACAACTTTTACACTGGCATACCCATCGTCGAAAAACTCCTAGAACTGAAAACGAGGATGTGTGGAACAGTAAATGTGAACAGAAAGGGATTGCCTTAAGGATTGAAAACTAAGTTGAAAAGGGGCCAATGCATTGGATTTAAGTGCCAGCATGGTACGAAAGTGGTAAAATGGACGGACAAAAGAAACGTGACAATGGTGTCATCATCCCCTAATCATGACAGTGCCCTAGTAAATTCAGGGAGAAGAAATAGAACAAATGAGCCGATACTGAAACGTAAGTGTGTGCTTGACTATAATAACGTGAAGAAGGGAGTTGACTACAGTGATCAGATGTCGTCATACTACACAACGTTACGAAGAAATCTCAAGTGGTATAAAAAAGTTGCCCTTGAGCTCATCACGGGAACCACATTGGTGAACTCGTGGGTTATTTACGGGAAGCTGAACAACGACAAAATGCCTATGCTTAAGTTTAGGGAATCAGTTGCTTTAAGCCTAATGGGCCTGGACGAGGCTCCTGTAAGACATATGACACCACCACAAAGAAAGAGGCCAGCTCATTCTCTCAGCAAATCAGAGGGTGAGGGAAAGAAGAAAAGGCGTCGTTGCAGGGGATGCTATGAGAAACTAAGGAAAACATCCTCTTCAAGAGAGGCTGATAAGAAAACCAAAACAGTGAACACCTTCTGCAAAGACTGTCCAGACCAACCCTTTTTTTGCCTGGAATGTTTCAATGAGAAACATGTGTAATTTTAATTTTAGTATTCAGTGTCTTTGAGAACATCAACATTTTATTCGTATGAAAAATATAAGAATCTTGAAAGGCTTATTTGACAAAATATTTTATTACTACAGTATATTTGTTTAGATATTTTCATTCAACACTTAAAACATTGGAATTTTTATTTTGTATAATAATATTACACATTTTTTCTATATTGCAATCCATGTTTTAAAATTGTAATGGAATAAATAATGTGCAAACATATTATTCATTTATAATTTTTTACCCTAGAATCAGCCATGAGAAAACGTATTATTATAAAAAGTTTAATTTTATATCTATAAAGTGATAAAATATTAATTTTATTGCAGTCGATTATTGTAAATAAATAGAAATCACATGTTTTATTGTAAATAAATACAAATAAATTATGAAGTATTACAAATGTGCGATACGAGATCTCGGGGTCTCGTACAATGACGTCATATTCAGTTCCTGGGCTGGCTGAAGATTGTCAACATTGTACTGGTTCAAATAAACAAACACAGAGCGCCCACTCTCCATTTATTTTGAGGTTATGATGCGCAAAAGATTACTGCGCAACGTAATCTCAGGGTCTCGTATCGCACCTGGGTAATCATAGCGGACGAGACCTATAGATCTCGTAACGCACCAGTGTAATAATGCGGGAAAATATATAACGCAGTGAACGTGTTAATGTCTGCCTCTATTTTTAGCTCATTTGCAAGGTTTTATTAAAACGGATCTGAGAAGCTTAAAAACAATGTTAATTATACTGTTCTATATACCATTTTGTTTGGAAAATCATGGGCTTCAATATTATATATAAAACATAAGGAACATTTGTTTAAAAAAAATTTTTTAGGTAAAAAAAATATATTTTGGAAAAAAAAAATAAGTTTGCGCTCAATGAAATTGTATAAATTATAGGCCTATAAATATTTGAAAATAGCCACTTTGTTCTAAATTTTATGAGGATTACAAATATATAATCATATAGTGAGATAAGTTATCAAATAAATAAGTTATGAGTGAAAAACAGATTTCAGTACATTGCGTTTAGCTAAGAATAAAAAGCCTAACCATAGCTAGGAATCTGGCTGATAATTTACATCAATATCACTACCTACTTCTTCAGGATCATCAACCAGCCCTTCAAAATCACTTAAATCTTCTTATAATGTATACCTAACTCGATCCAGTTCAATCCGATTCAGTCAGTCATAGAGCCTTTGCCGTAAACAGTGTTCGTGAGTCGCTGCAGCGACGCATGACACTACACAAAGTGAGGGTTAATACTTTTTGTCCCTTCATGAAAACACTGGTTTTCTTTAGTGCTGTTCTATTATACTGCATACCCTGGCCAAGTTTGCTTGTCACTTCTTTATCATCAATAATCTGTGGTTTAAGTTTTGATGGTGTTACAGGTATCTTAGTGTTCAGAACTCTACTTTGAAGTAGTTGCGAAGGAGAATACCTAAGATTCGCAACTGGAGATGACCGATAATTTAGCAGATATAAACTAAAGTCTGACTTTTCATGCTTTGACTTTTGCAACATTGACTTAACCCACTGCTTTCTCCGCGAGTCCATTACTGCGAGGATAATGGGGCTAGTAAACTTTACTTTAAACTTCCACAATTTACTGAAGTCAATGAATTCATAATAGTTGAATGGGACATTGTCACTTACAAAAATACTTCGTATTCCAAAACGAGCAAAAATTGGCTTCAATGCTGCAATGACAGTTGTTGCTTTTTTATCTCGAATACGCTCAACTTCAATCCATCTTGAGTAATAATCTATTAACACTAAATAACTTTGATTGTCGAAATCAGCTATGTCTGCCGCTACCTTGTAAAAAGGCATGTCAAAAACTTCATGAGGTTGAAGTGGCTCTTTCAATTTTGCTCGCATAAACTTAGCGCAAGTAGCACAGCTATCAATAAGATTTTTCAAATCTGAAATTAATCCAGGCCAGT